AGGGGGATTCTAGTGCCCCCGATTCTAATCCCTATGAAGGACTGTTGGTACACAAGTAAGGGGGAACATCCCAAAAGCAGACCAATAGAGTGGGGTAGGTTTTGTTTCTTGACAGCTAGTATGCCCCAAAAAGGACACCCAATATACACACCCACCAATGATTTTGTAAAGAGCCCGAAATACACTCACCAAAAACAGTAATACAAACAGGAATATGAATTATAAAGGCCGGTGGTCTCTTTTCTCTGTTACCCTTATACTTTCATACTGCCCCTAAAAACCCTAATAAGAACCCCTACAAAAGAACCCCCTACAAAACAGAAACCCTGCTTGAAGAGACCACCAAGCAACATGAAATATGAACGTTGTTTCAAATTCAGCTGGCCTACCTAAAACTTCGCTTGGCCGCGACGCTGGGGGCGTTTGAGCGCTTCGTTCTTGTCCGAATTCAAGTTCAAACTTTCAGAATGAGACTACTTTACAAAGAGGCAAAAATTGCCAACGTTTTGAACCACCAAGTAGTCGTCCAGTATCCTAAGGGGACTACAGGTTAACATGTGGGAAAATGGGGGGGGGGGGGGTACAATACCCCAAACAAGTTCAAGGCTACCTACTCTACTACGAAGCATGTGAATGCATAGCTTGCGTGCCTGAACAATTAGAATGGGGCTTTGGGGGTTATTCTAGTGTTATAGTATAACTATACAAGGGCCATAAGGACATGCTATTAGCAATTATCCCGACACCTATATTAGGGTGCACCTGCTGCATCTTCTTTTCAGCCTCGTTGTTGTGATGTCGCTCTTCTGCTCCCCCCCCCCACCCCCGCCCCCAAATCAAACTAGGAGAGGAAGTTGTGGTTTTGTTTTCTCAGTTTTTCCTCGCTTCCTCGCTCTCTCACTCTAGCACTCGCCCGCCGTGCTGAATACAGATGTACATTCTGTCAAACTGGCAAACACTTCGCTGCTAACTTGTGGAGGGTTTCGGGTTTGTGGGAATCATATGTGCAGGTGAAAGTGCGAGTACGTACAGTCTTCGTCCTCCTCAAACCTTCCTGAACATTTGTGTACAGTCTAGGATTTAGGCTTTACGCTTTAGGCTTTAGGGAACCCAAATGAGTTACTTCAACATTAGGTAGGGTCCACAAAATATTCAAAAACCTAGGCTCGACGCGGGGTGTCTCGCCTCTCCTTCGAGTAGTCGGCGGACAGACTTGCTGTCCTGGGCAGCTGCTGGTCCCTTTAGCCCGAAGCACGTCACCTTCAACCCTTCGACCCCTCAACCCTTTAACCCTTAAACCCTTAAACTCTTAGACCCTTAGACCCTTAAACCCATAAACCCTTAATCCACCCGAAATGATGGCAAACTCTGCCGAAATCATTTGAACCACGGAATTGTCCTAAGGATTTCGGGTCGGCAAGAAACTTGGCGAGGCAGCCATCTAAAACTAAGCCTAAACCGCAACCCGAAGTCTCGACCGTTGTGGCGGAGACCCCGTCCTCAACTATTGCAGTATACCAGTCTGTTGAGGGCGGGGGATATGACAATCAGCATTCACCAAAAAGCCCTAAAACCCTAAAGCCCTAAAACAAAAACAGCTCTAAACCACCCTAAACCCTAAACCCTAACCCTAAACCCTAAACCCTAAAACCTAAGCCACGCGAAGGGCTGACCGGTCCACCCCTGAGGGTCCTTGATCCCTTTGCAGTCGGTTAGCGCGACCGTCTTCATCACCTGCAGATTTAGGGTTTAGGATTAAGGGTTTAGGCTGTTTGGGGTTTAGGGTTTCGGGTTTACGCTCGTTGGGTCTATAGAGGTTTAGAGTTTGGGTGTTTTGGGGTTGAGGGCTTGGTATCTATGAGGGATTAAGGCTTATAAGGTTTAGACAACGGTTGTTAACGAGGGTTTGGGTTTCGGTAGCTTACATGGCCTATACCTATGCCCAACAGCAGGAGCATGCTTCCAAAACCCCCCGGCCCAGAATCCCAAGCCTTATAAGCAACCCTAGAACCTAGCGCATGAATCCTGAAGCCTGAGCCCCTAAACCCTAAACCCTAAACCCTAAACCCTAAACCCTAAACCCTAAACCCTAAACCCTAAACCCTAAACCCTAAACCCTAAACCCTAAACCCTATACCCTATAAACCCTAAACCCGAAACCTAGAGTTAGAGAAATGAGAATGAGTCGGAGAAATGAGGATTACCTCTTGGGACGTTCCTCCTGATACTAGCAGTCCTTAATGGGAACCCTAGGTTTGGGCCCTAAACCCTAAACCCTAAACCCCTGACCCCTAACCCCAAACCCTAACCTTTGGGTTTAGGGTTTTGGGGCCACAAACGGAGGTATGCAGGCTCGCCTTCATGTACCTCCGCACTCGGCTGACCAAGGTCTCTTTTTGGACCTGGCCGATCCCCATGGTCGGGTTTAGCATTTAGGTCGCTCTCCAAATTAGGGCCCCCTTTTGGGTCATATGTATATGTGTAATAACAATAATATGAGTAATAAAAATAATAAGACAAGTACTAATAAGAATAGTAACAATAATAATGACAACAATCATAATAGTCATAATAATAATAACAAAAATAAGGACCAACAGGGGACCCTAATTTCGAGAATTCCCCATTCAGGTTTTAGCGCTTGAGGGCTTCGAGCGGAGGCGCCAAGATGTGAGGCCTGTGGGTGCTCATGGGGCCAAAATCCTATTCCTAAACCTTAAACCCCTTGAAACCTAAACCCCTAAAACTCTAAACCCCTAAAACTCTAAACCCCAAAAAAACCCCAACCCCTAAGCCGCCCAACCCCCAAAAAATCCGAATTCTCAAAACCCCCAATAAAACCCCAAAACCCTCAACCAAACCCCTAAACCCTAAACCCCAAACACTACAAACCTAAACCCTACAAACCCTAAACTCTACTTTTGACCTTGAAAGAACCCAGAACCGAGAATGGCCATGGCATCTGTGGCCGGGCGGACTGCGCCGTCTGACTCCTCGGCCCAGTGCTTGTAGAGCCTCACGGCGTGAGGGTTTTGGGTTTAGGGGTGAGGGTTTGCTGTCACAGGGCGTAGATGCTGTGAGGTTTGGATACAGAATCAGCTCGAAAGCTTCGTCAGGCGCGAAAAGCAGCTTTGGCCCGATTGTGGAAGGCCATCCAACACTTTTCTCCCACCCCACGCCGTCCGAGGCGGCAAAGCCACCCAAACCCATTCCCTTTAGGGTTTAGGCCTAAACTCAGTCAACAGTCCACTTCCAAAAACTTCTTCCGTTTCAGGGCGTTTCGTGTCAGGGGCTTGTAAGAGGGTCGAGGGTCTAGAAGGCGCAGGGGTGTCGCTTGCATGAGAAGGGCGGGACCGACTCAGCACAGGGGGTTGTGGCGCACCCGCCCTGCCTGAGGCGGCCATCCTTGAGCACGCTGCAGCGAGGGGTCCGGGCCTTCTTGGGGGTAGCCAGTCCTTATAACTTTCATAGGAGCTGTGGGAGGCGGGCGAACGACCTGGGTCGGCTTGCGCCATCGAAGTCGAGGGGCCACCCCACTGTAGGGGGGCGGCCTTTAGGGTTTAGGGTTTAGGGTTTAAGGGCTAAAGTCAATTTGGGTGACAAACATCTGTGCGCACTTCCCAAAGGAATTCAAAGAAGGGTGCACTGAGCCCTAATCCTGTCAAATACCCAGTTATTTCCCAAAAGTGAGGTTCCCGAACTCCAAACCCCAAACCCCTAAACCCCTGATTCCCCAAAATATGTAGGCTTAGGGTCAGCTTTGGGGGCACTTTGGGGGTTAAAGCTGACTCAACAGACCGCGGTGTGTCGTTTCACCTCTGGTCTCTGAGCTGGGGTTTAAGAGTTCAGAGTTTTGGGTTTAGGGTCCAGGGGCAAACCCCTAAACCCCTAAACCCTATCCTAAACCCTAAACCCAGGGGTTTAGAGTTTAGAGTCCATTTAGGGCTTAGGGGTTTACAGGAGTTTGCACGAATGTTCGGGAGCAAACCAACAGTCCGCCGAACAAAATGCCACCAAACTGCTTGCCGTGTGTCATGCCCAGGGGCTCTGATGTTGCTTGTGAACATGGCAAGACAAACCGCTGCACGGCGAAATCATCGGGTTCAGGGCAAAGGGGGCAAACCCCCTAAACCCTAAACCCTAAACCCTAAACCCTAAACCCTAAACCCTCAACCCTAAACCCTAGAAACCCTCAACCCTAAATCTAGACCCTAAACCCTAAACCCTAAACCTCTAAGACCTCTAAACCCCAAACAAGCCTCCGAAGGTCCTCCTCTGTGAGGGCCGTTGCCTGTCCGACAAAAGGGCGTAAGGCACGGTGCTGCATGTTTTTGTTGTTTGCGTTCAGGGTTTAGGGATCTAGGATTTAGGGTTTTGGGTTTACGGAACCCCTTCAACCCTGGCTGTAACCCCGTCAACCCTAAACCACCTAAACTATTCAAACCCTAATCAAGCCACCATCTAAGCCCCACACCATCTAAACCCTAAACCATCTATTATATACTGGTTCTCCCCACACGATCCATAGCTAACGTAGTCTCAAAGTTTTTCCACGAAATTTGCACATAAAGACACTTTCAGAACGAAAATGACACTTTTGGTTGTAGAAACGCGATCGCAGCAACTCGTGCGCGACAGTTAAGAAGCGTGCGCGGCCAAGTATTAGATTCTAAACCAAGTCTGGCCCCCTGGCTCCGCAAAAGGACCCCAAACCCGACACCCAAAACCCCCTGTGACAGCTGGGAACGCGGCATGCCCGTTTGCTGCCTCGTCGACGGGTTCCTGCCGGTATCCGGAGCTCCGGACTTGAAAGATTTGTGAGCTTAGGCTTGGTGTTCAGACTCGGCTGAGGGTTCAGGGTTCAGGTTTCAGGTTTCCTAAAAGGGGTTTAGGGTTTAGGGTTTAGGGTTTCGGGTTTAGGGTTCAAGGCTCGGTTTTAGGCTTGAGGTGGCCTAGGGTTCAGGGTTTAATGTAAGGTTTCGGCGGGGGGTTGAGGGCGGCATCACAGAGGCCAGCCTGCTCGCAAGCCTGGAAGAACTTCACGAAGGCGTCCTGGCCGCTCCGACAAGGGTGGGGCTTCAATCACATCAGTTGGAGCACCAGAGGGTTCGGTCCCAGCCTCATAGGTTCATTCCCGAAAACTTTGACCTCCAGCAGTTTTCTCACTGAACCCTTCGGCCATCTTGATCGCGCCGAACGCTAAATCCTGGCCGAAAAACCCTCAACCCCTGAATCTACAACCCTAAACCCTAAACCCTAAACCCTAAACCCTAAACCCTAAACCCTAAACCCTAAACCCTGCCCCCCTCCATCCCAAGACCAGTCCTTGCACCTACCCCCGACCTGATCCACATCGGAGTTAGGGAGTTCTAGGCATAGAGCTTATAAGGCTTCATAGGTGATACAAGGCCTGTAGTGGGGGCTTCTGGCACGCTATCGCCTGCGAGTCTGCGGTAGTTAGTTAGTTAGTTAGTTGGTGGGCCGTTACACCTCCATCAAGAGTTCCCCTCATGAGACGCCCCACATCGTGATCATCCAAAGTGGTCCACCAACTGTGCCCAAAGCATGCGTAACTCGGCCAGCGGGTTGCCAGTGGTTCCGTGGTTCCGTAGTTCAAGCTGCGTCCAGAGCGGATCAGCAATGCTTGCAGCAGACGTGCTGTCCGCGTGCGCAGGCTGCGCAGGCGTCTCCCTCTACCCTTTACGTACTACTCCATCGAAGAAGAAGGGTCACCCAAGCACTTCCCTGCAGAACGCGTTAAAGGACCGCCCGCACTTCCGTGCTGCTCCAAGTGTTAAGGCTTTAGAAGGCTTTTCTGAGGCGGTAGGTTTCTTGCTTACGGTTACATGGTGGTTAAGGCTTTGGCGTGGGGTTTGGGGATTAGGGATCCGAGTCTGGGTTCGCAGCAGTCCAGAGCACAGCTTAACAGTCAGTAGGGCTCTGGGGTTTAAAGAGAAAACCCTACACCCTAAACCCTACAAACCCTCAAGCCCTAGACCCTAAACTCTAAACCCCTAAACGCCCCACACCCGTGTCCCGCAATATGGTCCCTTGCCTTCTTCAAAGGGTTCTGAATGAAGGGCCGTTGGGTTTTATAGAGTATGTAAGGGGTAGTGCCAATACTAAGGGGCCATGGAAACTACCCTAAGAATCCCTTCTGAGGGTAGTTTCATGGGCCCTTAATATGGCCCCTTACCCCTTACCTTCTTCAAAGGGTCCTGAAGTAAGGGCCGTTGTTTTTTTGGGGTATGTAAGGGGTACATAAAAGAGGTCCCCTTTTTTGAGCGCCCATACTTAGGGACCATGAAACTACCCCAAGAACCGTAAGAACCCCTAAACCCTAAACCCTAAACCCTAGACCCCAAACCCTAAACCCTTCGAGCCCCCTATGACCCCCAAGCGTTGCCTCGCTGAGGGAGTCACCGTCGCCCTCGATGGCCTCAGCGAGTTCGTCGGCCGTCAGGTCCTTCGCCTTCTGGTGGTGCCTCCATGGCTGTTTGGGGGGGAGTTTGGGGTTTAGGCTTACCCTAAACCCTAAACCCCAAACCCTAAACCCAAAACCCCTAAACCCCTAAACCCTAATCCGCCCTGAACAACCCCCAACCTTACTAAGGGACCCTTTGTCCCCCCCCTGCCGTCCCGCTAAACCCTATGAAACCCTTTCAAACCCTATAGAACCCTGTAAAACCCTATAAATAAAATCCTATAAACCCCATAAAACCTTATAAAGCCCTGTAAACCCTAAAGCCCCACCCCCAAACCCCAAACCCCAAACCCTAAACCCTAAACCCCAAACCCTAAACCCCAAACCCCAACCACCCCCCCCCCCCCCCGCGAGCCTGAGGGCGGCCTTGGCTTTCGCCTCCACCGCCTGCAGCTCGGCCCTTTCTCTGCCTTTTGCCATGTCCCGGAACCTGCAACGGGGCTCTTATGGCTGGCTTACAAAGGTTTGGGGTTTAGGGTTTGGGGGTTTAGGGTTTAGGGTTTGGGGTTTAGGGTTTAGGGTTTGGGGTTTGGGGTTTACGGTTTGGGGTTTGGGGTTTGGGGTTTACGGTTTGGGGTTTAGGGTGACATTTTATCATGTTACTATAGTGATGGTGGGACTGCGATGATGGTGATGATGATTCACTGGGTATGCTGACGATCACGGCTAACGGTCCGGACTGTGTCTACTATGACGATAATGCGCACAGTTCCGGTAATTACCTTAATAACCATTGCGAGCAGGCAATAAACATGATGATGGTTCCGTTGCGACGGCTAAGTTAAATCTAACATGATTTGGTGACTTTTGAAGGGTCATGGGTGGGTCTTGGGGCTACATGAACCAAAGCATTGGATCACACTGCCCTCCTCTATCGCCACTGCTAGTACGGCGACTGTTATGTGGAAGACGAGGACAAGGCCCTAAACTCTAAACCCTAACCCTAAACCCTGAACCCTAAACCCTAAATCCGAGGCTTTTGCGCTGCTCTCGGGGTTTGAACTGTTGAGTTGGTGTCTACGTCTGGTCGCTTTCCGAACAGCGAGGCAGGAAGGCCGTAGGTTTAAAGCCTCGCACCCCAGCCCTGGGCTTGTACTCCCCTATGAACCTCTAGATGCGGTTGCAGGCTGTTGCGCTGAGCCGCCCTCAGAAGAAGGGTCAAAAAAGAAAGCTGTTGGCTGCAGATATGTATAACGAAATGTGGTCTTTGTTTTATTCCCCCTGGGCTGTGTATCAAGAAGATGGCACATATTCCGGGTCTAAGCCACATTCTGTCTCCTTCTCCCCCCCCCCCCCCCCCCCCCGAACACACAACTTCCTAAAACCCTGAATCGTCCTAACCCTAAACCCTAAACCCTAAGCCCTAAACCCTTCGCGCTCTGAACCGCCAAGGCCTGGTGCAGCTGGAGCTGAGCAGCGCCAGCCGCGGCTCCAGCTTCGCAAACTTGTGCTCCAGCATGCGGACCTCTCCGTGGACGGGTCTGGCCCCATCTGCTGAGCCATGGACCTACACGTGAAACACCACCCCCCCCCCCGCCCCCACCCCCCAAAAAAAAACCTAAACCCTAATGTTAACCTCGTATTACTAAACCCCCGTAAATTAAAGTGCGCCAGGTGTCCCGGCCGCAATAATAAAGCCCTGGGAATAAAGTACGCCAGTCGGGGCTTGTTTTTTTTTGGGGGTGTCCGTTGTTCTTTGTTTGTTTATGGAGAGAAAAGAGAGGGAGGGTTAAGGGTTTTATGGTTTAGGATTTAATTAGGAAAACATGAAGCGATCAGATTTCGAAGAGAAACCTGAAAACCAAACTCATCAGAAACTTGCAGATTTTTATTTGAGAGCCTTACTAGAGGATTGAAAAAATCTTTCTGGCAAAGGGGGTAGCTTTGGAGGCCGGTGCCCTGGAAATAATCCTGAAAGATCTGCCCCTCGGAATTCCTGGTAATTCCTGCCTGAAAAAAATCTTCAAATGATCGCTTCATGGTTTCATTAGGTTTCGGGTTCATGGCTTAGGTTTGTGGAGTCTTATTGAATTAGGGTTAAGGGTTTAGGGTTAGGGTTAGGGTTTAGGGATAAGGGTATGGCATGGTCTCTAAATCCAGGGGCCCCTGCAATTAAAGTCTTAGGGTTTAGGGTTTAGGGTCTGGGGTTTAATTAGGGTTAAGGGTTTAGGGTTTAGGATTTAATTATAGGAAAACATGAAGCGATCAGATTTCGAAGAGAAACCTGAAAACCAAACTCCTGAGAAACTTGCTGTTTTTTATTTGAGAGCCTTACTAGAGGATTGAAAAAATCTTTCTGGCAAAGGGGGTAGCTTTGGAGGCCGGTGCCCTGGAAATAATCCTGAAAGATCTGCCCCTCGGAATAAAGTTCCTGGAAATTCCTGCCTGAAAAAAAGCTCTTTAGGGTTTAGGGTTAGGGTTTAGGGTTTAGGGTTTAGGGTATTCACCAAGCCCTGACCCGTAGAACCCTCCCAGCCCTTCTTTCTGATTCTCTCTGATTCTCTCTGATCCTCTCTAATTCTCTCTAAGGAAAGGAATCCTGAGTGATTCTCTCTGATCCTCTCTAAGTCTCTCTAAGGAAAGGAATCCTTATTCAAAGGGGCCCCCACTCTATTTGGGGGGGTTTGATTGAAGGGGGGGGGGGGGTTTATTATTACGAGGTCAACATTAAACCCTAAACCCTAAACCCTAAACCCTAAACCCTAAACCCTAAACCCTATTTCGGGTCCACGGGCTTTTGGTTTCCCATCCGAACCTGAGAGAAGGCCCGCCTGGCCGGTGAGCCAAAGGGAGATCTCCTCCTCAACGCCCTGAGAAGCGGCTTGGGTTTAGGGGTTTAGGGTTTAGGGTTTAGGGTTTAGGGGGTTTAGGGGGGTTTAGGGTTTAGGGTTTAGGGTTTAGGGTTTAGGGTTTAGGGTTTAGGGTTTAGGGTTTAGGGTTTAGGGTTTAGGGTTTAGGGTTTAGGGTTTAGGGTTTAGGGTTTAGGGTTTAGGGTTTAGGGTTTAGGGTTTAGGGTTTAGGGTTTAGGTAAGCAACCCTGATGCTCTGGGCTGCTACAGGCTCTCACCTTTTGCCTGCCAGTAGCTATATCTGGATCAAGGCCTGAAAAGCCGCGGATAGGATGCGAACAGCTCTGCACACGGTCAAGACCCACCGGCACAAGCCTGTGGTTTCACATTGATCTTCTTTTCTTTTGGGGTCTTGAACACCGTGATCAGAACTGCAGCTTCCTTGTCAAGAGATCGCAAAATGCGACCGTATCGCACATCCCTTTCGAGGATGCGCCAGCTTCCACGACCCTGCTGATCATGGAAAAGGGCATACGAAGTCCGGAAAGGATACATGTCTGCTTCAAACCTGGGCTCGGGGCGTCTGTAACTTCGAGCTCCGTGGGCCACCTGTATGGCCAGGCCATCTTTACGGTGCCAGCCACGTTTCGTGGCGAACCCCTGAAGAAATCCCATCACAGGATCTGTCGGGCTCACTTCCTCTCCGCTCACTACTTCAGGTCCTGGGCGCACCTTGGGCTTCGTCTTGATCGTCTGCTTCACGTACTTCGCGTTGTATCGGTAGCTCCATTCGCCCGCCATCAAGGTGTCCCGCATGTGGGCGCCGCACATATCCTTTGTCCCGGCGTCTACAAACATGTTGCTGGTCTCTGTCCAGCGCAGGGAGACATTCGGCTTGGCCAGCATCCCTCGGAGCCAGGCGATGCTGAAAGCCAACGATTTCTGGCTTCCGTACGAGGGAGTATCAGAGTTCCCCTTGTCAAAGGTGTCTTTGGCATCCGTCACGACAACCAGGCCGATTGTATCCAAGATGCAGTCGACCCCTTTGTGCGCCAAGTCGTAGCCGAGGGCCTCAGCCCAATGGCCGCGACAGTACTGCCCTATGTCAAAGCCTTCCTCAACTCCAAGCAGCTCGGCAGCGAAGGTACTTCGGCACACCCTTTGCAAACGGTGACTGCGGTAGTCCAGCAAAGTGAACCTTCCAGAGCTGCCCTGCAACAAGTCGCGCTCAGCCAGCAACACACAATAATAGCAGCTCTGAGAGTAAACTCTCTCAAGCGGCTTGTCGCCAACGGCGCCACCACGTCACCACGCGTGACATTTCCTAAGCATTGGCTTTGATCATCACGCCAACGGACGGCGTCTCGGCCTGCAGCACACTGAGGTGGAAGCCCATGTCAGCCCGCACTTGCGCTACAAGCCACTGGAGGGATCCCACCAAGGCTCGTAGCTGCTTGGCTTCTCCCGGAGTGAGAGCAGCGTCCATGTCTCGTCGGCGGCTCGCTGCCACGCTGATCGGGGACAGGTTGTCCACGTAGGCCTGCATGGAGACGCTGATCACGCCTGTGTTCAAGTCTTGGGCAACCTTCTTTCCGCAGTAGACGAAACTGTCCTTTTCGACGGAGCCAAAACCCAACTCCTTGCCCAATCGGCCTATCGAGGCCCAAGCTTCGGCGCTGCCTGTGATGAGAAGGTCATCGACGTGGCAGCACATCATTCCGAGGAGTTCCGGGTTTGGTCCTTCAGACCAAAGGAAGAAAGTCGCAGCATCCAGTGTGGATTGAGTCCACTTTTCTCGCTTCACACTCTTCTTCAACCTCAAGTACCACTCGCGGGGGGCGTCACTCAGGCCGAACACCCCCTTGACAATCCGGCTGAGGCGGCTGCCAACCGGAAGTGTCGGACTGCCGTCTCTGGACTCCATGTTCTGCAAGTACAGCTCGCGAACTCCATCCATGTAGCGCTCGCCTTTGAGAAAAGCACTTTTGACGTCGGCAGTGCCCGTTCTCCAGCCTTTCTTGAAGTTGCTCGACCCCAAACTGAAGAGTAGGTGTTGTGAAGTTCGCGAAGCAGTCGGCGCATCCTTGCGAAGGTCAAAGGCAGTCACGTCCTTATAGCCCGGCACCACCAGCCGGTGCCACCAGCCTCGCACTCGCCTTGATTGGCAGCGGATTCGATGAGGTTCGTAGCCCATCATTTTTGTCCGTAAACACATAGCGAGGGGTGAGGATCTTGTGCATCTCTCCCCGTTGCCTTAAGGTCGCCAATGTCCGGGCCGTCTCCTCCTCGCTCAAGGTCTCGACGGCGTCGTTGCGAGTCCAAACATTCCAGGCTTCAACGGCTGCCTCGCGAAAGGCATCTCGCTGCTCCTTGGTCATGGAGCGCCAGTGGTACTCCTTCCGAGCCGCCTGCACAGTCAGCGCTTCTCTTCCCGTTGGCCACTTCAAGCCCGCCTTCACGAAAGCCTCGTACTCTGAGCGACGGGGCAGCGGCCATCGACCATCCCACGTGCCATGGTCGTTCGCTTCAAGGTCCTCGCCAGCCGTCTTGTCCATCGCAACTTGGGCCTGCAGCTGAACCAACGGGTGCACACTGCCTTGCTTCGCCTGGGCAGCCTCAAGCACGAGCTCCTTCTCCAGAGTCAGGGCGTCAAAAGGCACTTGGTCGCCCTGCTGGCTCCTAAGAGTCTCGGCCTCAACTTCAGCCGGCCGCTTGGTGCCTGACAAATTCTCAGGCTGTTCTGCAAACGGCTCTGAAGGCGAATGTTCCTCCGCATTTGCTCCAGCCCGCCGAATCACATCCAGCAAGGGAGTACCTGGCGCACGCGAAGACCCACCTGAAGCAACTTGGCCCAACAAGGTGGATGGCCTGCGCGACCCAGCTCCACCCTCCGAGGCAGTGGCCCTGACAAGCTCGCCCGGAGACACAGGAGGTAGATCACGGCCACGCTGGTCACGAGCTTTCCGCATCGCTTCCTGAAGCTGGTCACGGAAACTCTGCGGAGCACTGTCATCTCCATGTGGAGCTGAAACTGCCGGCGGTTCTGAAGAGAGTCCAGCGCCTTCCAGAAGACCAGCTGTCTGATCGGCCAGCAGGTTCGCATCATCGAGATCGGGGCTCCCAGGCAGAGCTGAAACTGCCGGTGATGCTGAAGAAGAGAGTCTAGGGCCTTGTTCTCCCGTGGGCTCACGTCCTTCAGCGCTGCCGTCCTGTGGGACCACGAGCTCCCACTCTTGGTCTCGCTCAGCAGCCTCCACAACTTCCTTCAGAACAGCCTCCCACTCACCCGTGGCGATCTGTTCCATCGGAGAAGCCCGCCGAACATGTTCCAAGGCCACCTTTGTCAAAGTCCCCCTCGAGGTCACATAGCAGTTATTCCCCTCGAAAGCGACGAGCAGCCCTGGCCCACGCCACTTCCGCAAAAGCAGCTTCCGTTTGTCTTGGCCTCCTCGACGGTTGTACTTCTGCTCCCGCCAGTAGTAGACCAGGTCGCCGACCGCGGGCGCATCTGCCACCGTAGGGTTCCGCGATCTCGCCGCCTCAGCCTTGCGAAGGGCCCGGCTGAAGTGCAGCCGGAGCATGGCCATGCGAGCGGTTTCGCGGATTGCTACCAAGCGAGCAAACGTTGGTTGGCCCATTGCCTCGATTTCACCCAAGCGGCCTTCAGCCAGTGCATCGCCAGGAGGAAGTGGTGGCGTCCCACAGCCGCCTGCATCGGCGAAAAGCCACTGTCTCCTACATCCATATTGTAGGCCTGCACCGCCTCGCCCAGCCCCAATGCCATCTCATCGGGGCCCATCAGCGACTGGGCCATAGCACACGCACTAAGCAACGTCTTCAGCAACCCCCCAACTCTCTCGCACAAGGCATTCTGCCAAGGGGCCTGAATGGCTGTGTGATACATGAAGATGTTGCTCTGATGGGCGAAGTTCTCCAGCTCGATGCTTATGAGTTCCCGTCCCTGATCGCATATCAAGGTCCGGGGCATGCCGAAGACCGGCGCCCAACGCCCGTATGAACTTCACCACCTCGGCGCTGGACTTGTTTTTCACCAGCACGGCCATTTGGAACTTTGTAGCACCGTCCACGGCATGCAAAATAGAGTACCTGGCGCCCGCAGCATCGAATGCATCGAAGATGTCCAGGGCGACTTGTTCACCTGGCTCGCGTGGGCCCGGCAACGAGGCAGGGCGACGGGACTTGGGGGGCCGCCTCTCCTCGCACACACTGCATCGAAGTTGCTTGGCTGCCATCACGGCCTGCGGGGGGGCGCCTGCGATGACTAGCGCTCGTGCCAAGCGCAAAGGGCTCCTGTGGCCCGTGTTTTCATGCAATCGCCTCACAGCCTGCCTCACAGAAGCAGGGATTGGCACGTCCTTTTCGGGGTCCTGGCTCGGTTCGAGCGCCTCGTCCTCAGACTCCATTGTGCCGCCCAGGCCGTCAAGCAAATCGTCATCGTCCACAGCCGTCTCTGCAGCCAGGGTCTCAGTCACCTTCTCGGGGCCGTGGTCCTTGTCAAACTGTTGCTGGACCGCCTCCAGCACTGCTTCCACAAGGTTTTCGTCACGCTGGTCCCGAAAAGCATCTGCCACGACCCGGCTCGATGTCAAATAGCGCCGACCTTCTCGGGAAAAGTCGAAAAGGCCCGCCTCATCCATCAGCTCCCGGCCCTCCAGTGTACGATGCGGGTCGGCTCCGCGAAGAAGCTCCATCAAGAAGTGCCGTCCAGACCGCCGATGTGCCAGGGCTGCATGCATCACAGACGCCTCGGCATCCAAAATTTTCTTTTCAGCGGCGAGTCTGGTCCGTTCAGGGGCGTAGTTCAGGAGGGGCGATCTGCCCGTCGCCCGCAACATCAGAAAGTACGGCTTCACACATAGATCGGCCTGCAGCTGGCCCACAGCGTGCCCACGAGCTGCCGCCAACTTGAACAAGTCAGGGGCCAAAGGGGCCCGGTCATGAGGGTGAGGCACGAACGCCATGTCGATGAAGGGCTCGTGGAGCGCATTGTCATAAATCTGGTCCTGCAGCACTGCAAAGGCCTCATAGATGTTTTGCGGGCTCACCTTGAGAAGATTGCGATCATGCTTGCACTTGTTCCAGGCCTGGGATATCAGCAACCGTTGTCCCGTCTTCAGTTCTTGCCGAAGAGGAGGAATTACAGCTCGTTTTCGTTCGTCATCTGCTGGAAGCCCATATCGCTGTCCGGTGACAGGCCACCTTCCCCATCCAGTGGCCGGCTGCCGCTGTTGCTCGACATCATCATCATGTGCTGCATCGTCTGGTGCAGCATGGCTTCGAACCGGCTTCGACCATTGCACTCACCTGCTGGAGGATCTCGTCTTGTGAAGGGGTCGGCGGCTGCATCGGTCCGGCCGTCCGGTGCTCGATCGTCGGCTGTAGTTGCCCTTCGGGTTCGCAGCGTGGTACAGGAAGTTCCGCTGAAGCCGCCGCCGGGGTCGCCGAGGATGTAGCCACCTGAGCCGACGGAAGCGGAATGCCCCGAAGCGCGTCGAGGGTCGGGCGCAACTTTGTTTTGAGCTTCTCGACGGTGTCGTTGTCGTTCACCTCCACACGCAGCAACGTGGCCAGACGGATGAGGTCCTGTTTCAAGGTAGGCAAACCACCCTTGGGACCCAGCAAGGCCCGCGCAGCGGTCAGCTGCTCGGCTTTGGTCTTTTTCGCGATCGCCTCGGCTTTCAACTTGTCCACCAGCTGTGGATCGCGGCTCGAACTCCTTTGGTGTGGCGAGCTGCCAGCATTCCATCCAACATGGGATCTTCGACAAACGCCAGATTGACGCCCATCCTGTCCCTCAAGTAGCCCGCGTCCTTGAGCAACCCCAGGTCCTCGAACTTGTTCTGGAGGGCAGCTGCACGAAAATGCCGCCGCGGCAGGGCTCCACTCCGCACCATGGCTTCGGCTTGCTCCTTCCAGGCCGATGGGGACCGGATGTTGCTGTACGGCAGGGGCACGTACCGAAGCAAGGGCCGCTGCAGCAACCAAAGCAGTAGCCCAGCGAAGTGCCACACGTTTCTTTCGAGGAGGCGCAAACACATCCTTCGGAACCGCCCGGCCACACGGCCCGCCCTGCTTGTGTCTAGCCGCAACATGGAGAGGCGCAGTCAGTACCGGCTTGGTCATCGAATTTGAAACTCTCGAACCACTGTGGCCAGCATGTGGGCCCCGTGCTTGCTCAACCGCTAGTTGTTCATGCTCACGACCATTCACAGGGGGGCCCTTGACTGCTGCTGCACGGCGAAGGCTCCACTCGAACGAGCTAAGTTGAACCTCCAGTATCCCGTCCTGGCCTTCGCGTCGCCACGGTCTCGCCGAGGTGCACCAGGTCTCCGGGAAGATGTCGAGGAAGAAGTGACCTGCCGAGAGCTGCCGAAGCGGAATTCGAGAAGCATCAAGATGATCCGCTCGCAAAGCCCTTCTAGTAAAGCTGATCACTCCTCCGATGGCCTCCAAGAAGTCCCTTCCAAGGAGGAGGCCCAAAGACTCGACCTCGACAACACTCGTCCAAACTAACACGCAGGAACTGCCAACAACCATGGGAAGCCGATGTCGTGAGTAGCTTGCCTTCACTCCGTCATTCCCGAACTTAAAGTTCTCCCGCTCGACCTCCGTCTTCACAAGGGGCTGCAAGGCCTGCCACAAGGGAGAACTAGCAAGAGCTTGCAAGTAGCCCTCCAGCCAGCGACGGCCACACACGGTGCGATTGCACGCACTGTCAAGCGCCCCCACAAGTCTTTTGTCCACGGCCGTCTCATGCGGCTGGCTTGCTTCAAGCGCCTCTGCAAAGGAACTCCAAGACGAAACGACAGCGGTCTCATGGTAGACTGCGGGGTCTTCATGCTGCTCCTGCGTCGCCTCGGCCGCAAAGGACTCGACCAACTGGACCCGACGATGCGACGGGGAACTCTGCGAGGGTGTTGCCCCCGGCCTCGCCGAAGACTTGGGTCGAGCCAGGCCAGCGCCCGGCTTTGAGCAGCCTTGGTCGCCAGCCCAATGGCCTGGCTGGCCACAATCGTGGCAAACCCCACGCTTCTTGAAGCCAGGCCTCCCGGACTGCGGTGACGAGGGTGCCGAAGTAGCCTTGCCGAACCCGCGGTCCTTGCGCAGATCCTGAAGCTTGTGGCGCGCTTCGCGCATAGTCAAGAGAGCTTCGGCAGCAGACTCGACCGTTCCTTCCACTTCGTCTAGCACTTGCGGCTCCAGTCCTTCGGCCTCAGCCTGCTCCAGCTCCGTCGCCAAGGCCTCGGCCTCAGCCTCAAGCACATTGTCCAAGGAGATGCCGTTGCCCTCCTCCTCGGGAACAAGCTCTTCATCCTCAGCCTCCTCGCCCGGCTCGCCCTCAGTCTCGCCAAGCTGCTCGCCTGCAAAGGCTTGCCGCGACCGATATCCAAGAAACGGCCGCCTCGGCGCAAACGAGCCTGCCTTGCCGCCGCCTTTCGCGTCACGCTGCCTGAAGAACGGCCCGACACAGAACTTAATGCTCCAGAGCCACGGTACACGGAGAAGGTGGTCGAAGAGGACGGTGTGCCGCCAAAGCCGCCAAAGCTACGGCCGCGGCCTCTGAGGTCAGGGGCTCCCGCTCGTCTCATCAAGGGGTCTGCGGCATGAAGGTCTTTGAAAAGCCGCAGGGCTTCAGCCTCGACATCCTCGAAGCCTTCCCGGCCCTGCAAAGCCGTCTCCAGCAACTGCTTCCTCAACGGATCCAGCCCCAACTTTTCTTTCAGAAACCAGCCCAACTCGGAACTCGGGAGGGCTATCCCTTCACTCTTCAGCTCAGCGGCCAGGAAGCGAAATCTCGACATAAAGTCAGCTGGCCTCTCGCCCGGCTTCCTGCTGAGCTCTGTGTAGAAGAGCATTCGCAGCTCTCCCTTCTTATCCAAAGCACTCTTGCCGTTGATGCCCTCGAGCGCCTTCAGCAACTTGTTCAAGCCTGCAAGGGGGTCCTCCTTGGTCACGACAATCTCTACGCCGTCGGGATCCTTTGCACGGACCTCCTTCTGATACTCAAGCTCGGCCGGGGTGAACTTCCCCGCGCTGTCGCACAACGCCCGATTGCCGTAACAGCCACCTCGCTGCTAAGTTGAACTTCTTCGTGCTCTCCAAGTCCAAGGAAGAAACCCACCATTGCATCTCTTTGCTGAACGCCCTCCAAGTCACAGGGCTCCCGTCCCACGTTGGCACCTTGTACCAAGCAGACGTTGTCTTATCATCTTCGGCCATCTCTGCAAAGACGGAGCCGGACTCGTAGCGCCAGGCAGCCTAGCTGCTGCCAAAAGGAAAAACTCAAATTCAAAGTTCACAGCGGGGTGGCTAGCTCCACCCAAAAGAGGCCTCGAAGAAGCCCAAGCCAAAGAAGCTGGACCAATCCAGGCAGCCGGGTCCTCAAGGCGCAAAGGTTTTCGAAGAAGGGCTCAAGAAGCCGGAGCAGTCCGGACAGCCACGGAAAACCAAGAAGAAGTAGTAGACACTGAGGCGAAAAGGCAAGAGGGCCACAGCCTCCTGTTTCAGGCGTCCACCTGCCAAGGTCCAAGGGCCTGCCAAAAGGGTGCAGCAGCACACAGCAAAGGCCCGGCACCGATGGTCTGCGGGAGCTTCGCCGCAGGCCGTGCCAGAAGGAACTCGCCGAGGAGGTGGACACCGTCTGGGGACACACTGCTGTAGCACTGGCCGCAAAGTGGTAGAAGAAAGCGAAGTCGGCAGGTAGCGCAGCAAGGGTCCAAGGAAAGATTGCTCAGGCTCCGGTGCCACTAAGCAACCCTGATGCTCTGGGCTGCTACAGGCTCTCACCTTTTGCCTGCCAGTAGCTATATCTGGATCAAGGCCTAAAAAGCCGCGGATAGGATGCGAACAGCTCTGCACACGGTCAAGACCCACCGGCACAAGCCTGTGGTTTCACATTAGGGTTTAGGGTTTAGGGTTTGGGGTTTGGGGTTTGGGGTTTGGGGTTTAGGTTTAGGGTTTAGGGTTTAGGGGTTAGGGGTTAGGGTTTGGGGTTTAGGGTTTAGGGTAAAGGGTTTGGTCATTTGGTGTATGTGGGGCTTTTTCCGGCTTCGGCGGATATCGAACATGATGGCCCCTTCTGGGGTATCTATGCCTCAGAAAGCCCTCAGCCCCAACCCTAGACGCAGGTAAACCCTCAACCCCACGTAAACCCTAATCCCCACAAAGTGATCACCTAGATACCTAAACCCTAAACCCTAAACCCTAAACCCTAAACCACCTCGGGGGCAGGGGATGGGATCCTTCAAACGCGGCCTCTTTGCAGCCGCCAATGTCTGCCTTGAGCACCTCGAAGGGCGATCGTGCATCCTCAGGGGGCATTTTTAGGGTTAAGGGTTTAGGGTTTACGGTTTATAGGGTATAGGGTTTAGGGTTTAGGGTTTAGGGTTTACGGTTTAGGGGGGGAGAGGGGGGGGGGGATTTGGATTTTGGGAGGGTTGCATTGGGATTTGGCGTGGGTCGAGGTGGTGGCGGGTATTCCCTTAAGGCCCAAACCGCAACCCTGTCCCAATCTGACCCTAAACCCTAAACCCCAAACCCCAAACCCTAAACCCCAAACCCTAAACCCTAAACCCTAAATAAACCCTAAGCCCTAAACCCTAAACCCCAAACCCTAAACTTTTTTAAACCCTAAACCCTAAGCCCTAAACGCTAAACGCTAAACCCTAAACCCTAAACCCTAAACCCTAAACCCTAAACCCTAAACCCTAAACCCTAAACCCTAAACCCTAAACCGCAGCGCTCTACCAGACCATGGGCGCCTGGATCTGCTTCTCGAGGTCATCCAACAAAGCAAACATCTCCGCTGCTTTCATGTCCTTGCCCTGGTTTTAGGGGTTTAGGGTTTAGGCTTCTTAAGGTTAGGGTTTAGGGTTTAGGGTTTAGGGTTTAGGGTTTAGTGTATCCCAGGGCTCCCTAATGATTCCTACTTCTTCTTTTCTTCAGGGGAATCCGAAGTTTACGCGAGATGGCCAGCTCTCTATATTTCAGGTGGTCCCAAAAGGGAAAAGCCGCTGGTTAGACAGGTGAACCCCAAACCCCCATGGCCCTGCAACCATGTCGCCTTAAACCCTTTAACCCTAAAACCCCACGACCCTGCGGACCCTCAAACCCTAAAACCCTAGTTGCCGTAAACCGCATCATTACCTCAACGCCCTAAAACACTCTTCAAGCGCCCAACTCCCCCCCCCCCCCCCACCTGAAACCTTCACAAGCCTTCGAAAGACCTTAACCCTTTTGAAGCCCTGCAAAACCCTGAAGCCCAGATGGGGTCAGGTTTTGCTTGGGGTGTGTGTGGGGTTTGTTGAGGGTTGCGTAAGGGCTTCTTTAAGGCTCCGCGAGGGTTTGCGCAGGGTTCATCTGGGGTTTACGAATATATAGCGGGCCCCAAAAATAGACCCCACATAGTAGCATTCCCTTACAATAGGGAAAGTACCCCAAATTCGGAAACCACGCTCTGGGCTTGTTGGGGTTTAGGGCTGAGAGGGTCCCTGTAAGATCCCCAACTCGCCTGCAGGTGCAGGGGCTTGGCTAACTCCTCGACCTGGGCCCGGAAAGGCAATACCTAAGCCCTGTAAGGCTCACCCCACACCCCTAAAACCTCAACCTTGCACCCCTAAAACCTTTGCCAACCCTGAACCGCGGGAACCCTAAAAAAAACAATAACTCTCAGCCCAAACCCTAGACCTTTCCAACCCTAAACCCTAAACCCTAAACCTTCAACCCTTCAAACTCTCCGCCCTAAACCCTAAACGGCTTAAGCCAGAACTCACAAACCATGTTTCAACCCTCAGCCTCGTTCAAGCCAGAACCCTGAACCTTTTGAACCGCCTAAAATCGCCCTCAATCGCCAGGTGCCCGAAACCCCACACCCTAAACCCTGCCAACCATTGGATACGAGTATCTGGTTTTTTTCTTAGAAGCCTCGACCCTAAACCCTAAACCCTAAACCCTAAACCCTAAACCCTGTTTCTAAGGGTTCAGGGGTTAGGGGCTTGGGTTGCCATGCGGCCCTGGAGGGGGGGAGTGCGCCATTCTTCTGTGGATGGACATTGTTCACCACATTGTTCACCTCGAACCCTAAGCCATAAACCCGAAACCCTAAGCCCATAAGCCCTAAGCCCTAAACCCTAAACCCTGAACCCTGAACCCTGAACCCTGACCCCTAAACCCTAAACCAAAACCCTATAAACCCTTGTCGCGTAGAAGCTTGGGACGTTGGGCTTCGATAACTTTTAAAGGGCTGGGGAGCTTTCGAGGCGCTACGCTATGCTTGGATGCCTGTGCGCATTGGATGCCTTGGTGTAAGAGCCCAGAAAAAAAACCTACAGTAGCCTCCCGCCCTGAACCATAAACCCTCAACCGCAAATCTAAACTTTGGGGGCTGGGCAGTTCTCCTTCTACAAGCCCACTTTACTATCCCGGCGCGTTGTATGTGGGGGCGAGGCTATAGGGGCCGGTGGCCTCTTTATCTGTTACCTATACCTCAATACAGCCCGATTTCCGAAATATGATGCCCCCATAAAACAGCAACCCTACTTAAAGAGACCACCAACCCACATAAGGTTGAGGGCTTTAAGAAATTTAAAGGGTTGAGTCGAAGTCCCACCTTCTTGATCGCTTCGTCCGACTCCGCTATTCTCTGGTCCACTTCCGCCAACTGCGTCGGGAGTTCAAGCCAACTGGCGGCTCATCTACTTGTGTATTGATTAGGCTCAACTCTCCCTAAGTGATGCGGGCACCTAGGGGGCAGTATAGACGGGGGTAGTCGGGGAATGGGGGGCAAGAGTAAGGTGAGGATGCTGGTAACTTGTTAAAGCCCCTTTCAAGAGCGGGCCAGGGAGGGTTTCAAGTTCGGCAGGGCTTCGAAGAGAAAGCATCAGCTATTGGCATGAAAAAGCACAGTACCAACCGACTTTGCTGGTCTTTTTGCAACACGGCAGGTGCGCTTGCGAGAGCTGGATACATGCACATGAGTCCTAAGCCCTAACCCTAAACCCTAAACCCTAAACCCTAAACCCTAAACCCTAAACCCTAAACCCTAAACACTTGAAACACAGCCAACGGCTGTTCGAAGAGTTCCTGCCGCTCCTTGCGGGACTTCACTCCAGCCTGGCAGTTTTCATGATGATTTTTGAAGGTTGCTAGGTACTATGACTACTATTCGTGCTATTGTTTCTATGATTCTGATTACCACTATGAGTCCTATTCTTCTGAGTACGCATGATTGTTTGCATGATTATGATTGGTACTCGTATTATCATGCATATTACAGTCGTTTCATGAGTGCCGTTATGAGTCATTATTCTGATTGCAACGTATGATTGTAATTATTCCTATCGCTACGAATGAGGGTTATACTTGTTGTTTTGCTTACTTCTACGCATGATTGTTATGATGGTTGTCATTCATGTTGGTAATACTATGATTACTATGTGTATGGTGTATATATATATATGTATATATATATACATATATATATATACATACCGCCTTACGATGACCCTCGCCAGGCGGCTACACATCAAGCAGCATAAAGGCGCCAGGCACACGTGATCACCTGACAGTCGCCACAACTGACTGTAAAGGGATCTGGGAATCCCTTTTCAGTGACCTTAGGGGTTCTTTAGGGGGCTACTTAGGTGTGTCGGGGCTGTATATAAAGGTATATGTAAGGGGTTATATGTGGGTTTTATAGGAGAATAAGATTGAGCGTCCCTTCTAAGGGCCCCTGCTTCTACCCCTTAAGAATCACACGCTCGCAGGAGGACCTCGAGAGACACCTGGGGCGGCTTTGGCATCAGCACGATGTCCGTGTCAGTCTCCTGGCGGCTTAGGGTTTGGGGTTTAGGGTTTAGAGTGTAGGGTGTAGAGTTTAGGGTTTAGGGTTTAGGGCACGACACAGTGGCGCAGGAAATATGGCTATGTCCCAATATCAGGGGTACCCCTCATATACCCCCCAAAATACGGTGATCCTAATCCTAGGGACCCCCAAAAAGGGTACCCCCTACTTTTCGGAAACCCCCATGAAGCAGCAATAAACCATAAGCCTGCCACAATACGAGCTACTTCAGCAAGGAAGCCCGATTGGCCACAAATGCCATGAGCAGAAAATCATGCAGCCGGCTCTCTGCCCGGAAGTGGGTTTAGGGTCGGTTTAGGGTTTAGGGCTTAGGGCTTAGGGGTTAGTAGTTACGGAGTCCCTAAGGTTTAGGGCTTGAATCCTGTCACTTCATTGACGTAGGTGCTTATACTTTACAAGTTCGTTGGGTTTGGGAGTTACAGCCGACCGAAGCATGCCTGCGGCCACACGACAGACTCTTCACAAAGTTACAAGGTCCGGCGAACCCTAAACCCACTCCTAAACCCTAAACCCTAACCCTAAACCCTAAACCCTAAACCCTAAACCCTAAACCCTAAACCCTAAACCCTAACCCTAAACCCTAAACCCAATGCTGTTAGACTGAATCTTCGGAGTTCTTCTTTTTGCGTGGCTATTTTGGCTACACCGTGCTCAAGCTATAGGCCCCTAACTTCCCTAAAGATGCTGATTGCGCCCAAGTAGGGAGGTAGAAAGAATTACCTAAGTTCCCTAACCCTTCAAAGAATCCAAATTCTTGAAGATTCCCTAAACTCTATAAACCCTAAAACCCTAAAAAGGACGTGGGACATGAGCGCCCAATTGCCCCGGGGGCTCCTTGCTGTCTGAGGCGACGGCCACTTCGCCTGGAGAAGGGAGCATCATGAGGAAGGGCTTTTGCGCTATTATAACGGGGGCACTAATAAGAGAACTGAAAGCCCCCGTTTCGTTCTCTCGTTCACGCACTACATTAATACGGTTCATGCGCTTCTTTCATGCCCTAAAAACCGTATTAAATTACTGCGTTCTCTACGTTCTCTTCACACTCTTTTCCTTTAATATTGTCCCGGGCTTATAATATAACTCTTTTGCCCGGGGGATAATACTAATAATAGGGTGAAAATAGCGCCCAAACAAAGATATTATAAGGGCGCAGTTTAGGGTTTAGGGTTTAGGGTTTATTTAGGGTTGCCACACATATATGCACCCACCATTCACGGACCCCTGTGGTTCGTGTTGGGTTTAGGGTTCAGGGTTTCGGGTTAAGGGCTGATGTTTCGGCATTGCCCTCTTCCCCCCTTTGGTTTGTATTGGGCAGTGGTGGGTTTAGGTTTTAGGGCTCAGGGTTCAGGGTTCAGGTGTAGGGTTTCCCAGCGTATCGACGGGGCTCTACTGAACTTGGAACCCTGGCAAAATTTGTTTTTTCCTCTTTCTTAGGAATTATAGTACCCAGAATTGACAATTATTTCCAAGTACCCCTATGGGGGGAGGTTCGAGAAGGGCGCGATGTCACCCTTCAACACCGTACAGCCCCTAGCCCCCCCTAAACCTCAAGTTGCTTAAACCCTAGTAGACCCTAGTTAAACCCTGAACCCTGAACCCTGAACCCTAAACCCTAACCCTAAACCCTAAACGAGCAGGTGAACCTTTAGGTTCTTGAGTTCGGGCCTCTGGCAATTGTTCGGTCCTGAGAGGGCTTTGGGCTCGTTGAGGACTTCGCAAGGTCTGTCTCTGCGGCCTTTTGAGGTGGATCCCAGGCTCTTCATGCTTGTGGCGTAGGGAAAAAGGCGTATAAGGGCTCAGGGTTTCCCGAAACTCTAAAACATCTAATCCCTAAGCCCCGAAGCGCCTGAGCCCTAATCCCTAAACCCTGATTTGGGCCCATCTTTCTGCCAAGGTGCGGAAAAGTGGAGGGGGTGCCCCCCCCTCGACCGGGTAGCTGAAGAGGGCCTTTCCGGTTCAGGGTTTAGGGTCCTGCAGGAAAGCGACCTTCTACCCACCCCAAACCCTGTAGGGGTTTATCGGTAGCGATTAAGCCCTAAGCCCGAAGCCCTAAACATAAGGATTCTGCAAACACGGTTTTCCAGAATCCCCCTTTTTCGGGGCACTAAATTTTCCCAAATACTAGGATGCTTGTGTCTGTGTGCTTCTTGGGGGTTTGGGGTTTAGGGTGCAAGAAAATGGCCTGCCTTCAACTGCTGGTCTGTTAAGTCGGAGCTCGCCAAAAAAGCAGTTGGGCGGGTGGGGGGGGGGGGTCAGGAAAGCCTACACCCCGAACCCGAAAAAACCTAGCCCCAAGAAGCAGCTTGGGGTATGAGGGCTACCCGAAACCCTAAGCCCTAAACCCTAACCCTGAAGGAGTCTGCAGCACCTCCCGCAGCTGCGCCAGCTCGTCGCTGATGAGGGGCGTGAACCTGGAGATTGCTGCTTCGGGGTTGGCATCAACCTTGCAAGAGGGCTCTGACTGTGACAACAGCCTAGCTGCTGAGTATCCTGGGCCAAAGAAGGTTAACTTTTCTATCATTATGACTATATGTATATATGTATATACCCCGAAAGGTTAATGGTTACCTACTCGGCTGCTCTTTAAGGCAGGTTTGAGGTTGGGAGTTCCGCGGGGGAGGGGGGGGGTTCAGGGTTCAGAGCTCGGGGTCAACCAACCGGGTTTATAGGGCATAAGGCTTATAGGGCTTGTGGACTCATGAGCGACGTGACCAATGGGGAACGCCGCCATTCCTGAGTGGATTTTCAAGCAAGTCTCAACTTCTGTGGGCCCTACTCCCTGTAGAACCCCGACATACAGAACAAAGAAGCACTCCCTAAACCTTATAAACCCTAAACCCTAAAACCCCAAAACCCTAAACCCCAACACCACTCTTGCAGTGTTCGCTATCTCCAAGTGCCCAGACCCCTGGGAGGATCCAAAAAGTAGATCCCTTGAAAGGTAGTACGGGCTACTATTTTGAGGCTTCCGCTTTTTGGATCCTCCCGGGGGTCACCCTAAACCCTCAACCCTCAACCCTCAACCCGTTACTTCATCTACCGGACAAGGATGTCGAACCTACTCCGGCGGTGGAAAGAAGGCTGGGGCCAATGCGGCCTTGTGTCCTGACACGCTGCGCGGCAAGGATTCGATTTGAGGTTTAGGTTTTTTGGGGTCTTAGGGTTTAGGGCTTAGGGTTTAGCGTTCAGGGTTTTACAGGTTCAGAAGCTTAGAATCTCATGAACCATTGCTGCATGCTGAAGCCACAATAAGACCACATAAGGCTGTTGGTTCGCGTCGACGCGCGACCCTGACCCTAATCTTTCGGGAGATTTCTGAGTCTCGAAGACCCAAGCCAAACGCCAGAAGGTTGCTGTGATATTGTGTGCGCAATCGCATTGCGGGGATTTTGCGCCCTAAACCTGAATGACCAGAAAAAAATATGACCAGAGCCCACATCCTGAACCCGCAACCCTGCCAGCCCTCAAAGGGGCTGCAGGCCCGGAAAACAGAGCGTCTTAGGCCGTCCTGCGAGGTCCTGGCAGCATCGAGGAGTTTTCCTCTGAAGAACTGACCTGGGAAGACATCAAGATGTCTGTTTAGGGTTTAGGGTTTAGGGTTTAGGGTTTAGGGTTTAGGGTTTAGAGTTTAGGGTTTAGGGTTTAGGCTTTAGGGTTTAGGGGTCTGAAGTCTGAGGTTGCTTTGAGGGTCCCTTTAAGGCAGGGGATTCTATCCTATTTGTGGTATACAAGGGATACCCCTATTTTGGGAAATACCCTGTCTGTATAGAACAAATAACCCCACCGAAGCCCTTAACCCTTCAACGCTCAGCACCAGCTGTGGCAGGGCTGCATGTGCCAGCAGTTGAACTGCCAAAAGGACAAGCCACCAAATCTTGACATCCCAGTCCGCTGCCTAGGGCTTATGGGGCTTCGGGTTCCAAGCCCTAAACAGTAGAATTTGCTACAGCCCTAAACAGCCCTAAACAACCCTAAACCTTCTTCGGCAACCCCGTTTAGTTTAGGGTTGGTTTAGGGTTTAGGGTTGAGGGTTTAGGGTTTGGGGTGTCGGGTTTAGGGTTTAGGCCCTGAGGGGGGACGGGGGGGGGGGGGGGGTGGGAGCTGTTGGGGACCACCGCTCCTCTTGGCACCAAGCAGCGCCCGCGCGCGCCACTGCTGTACCAGCGCACGGACTTCTCCTGGCAAGCTCCCGTTGGGGGGTTTAGGGTTTAGTTAGGGTTTAGGGTTTAGGTGTAGGGTTTCGTACTTCTAACCGCAATTGTGAGTCTACTTCTTGCACACTTAGAGGACTTAGGGGCTGGGGTTATTAGATGCCCAATTTGGGGGCGGGGGGGAACCCCACACCGAAGGTGGGGAATAAAATACATACATATATACATATAAAAATAGGGTTTATTATAAGCTGTTAGAATTTAAACTCAACTCTTCTCCTCGCCCGGTCTACTCCTAGAGACTCCCTGGTCCAGAGACTCCCCGGAGCGCCCAACCCCAGAGACTCCCTGAAATGCCCAATCCCCAAATCCCCAAGGTGGGGATGTTCGAAGTAAAATAACTTTTTTTGGCCAGGGGGCGGGGCCACTAATACAAGGCGGCTCCAAATAGTTAGGGTACCCCAACAGGGAGCATGACTTTCAGAGGGCCTAAACCTCAAGTAAGTCATACTCGGACCTCTAAGGATGTACCCCTAAGAGGTTCCCTGAATATACACCCAATATGGCCCTTAGTATTACCTTAGGAATCTTCAAAAGGGTTCCCAAGCCCAAGGGTACCACCTCAGGGGGCCAAGCTAGAACCCCATGAAAACCCCAAACCCCAAACCCGAAACCCTACATGCAAAAAGCCCGAAACCCTAAACCCTAAATCCAAAAAGCCCGATACCCTTCCACCTGCAGCTGCTTTAGGGTTTAGGGTTTAAGCCCTAAGCCACCTGCAGCTGCAGCAGTTCGAAGGCCAGCGAGCGGTTTGCAAAGGAACCGTCCAGCCACGCCTGCCATCTCAGAGGGGGGGGGGGGGGGGTCCCTAGGTTTAGGGTTTAGGGTTTAGGGTAAAGGGTTTAGGGTAAAGGGGGTTCCCCTAGATTAGGGCTTATAGGGGGGCAGGGAGGTTTCCTCAGAAGGAGGACTGAAGTATTTCGAGGCACCTGCTTTGGGAATCCGGAGTCCTCAGCACCGAGAAGTGTGGAGATGAAGGCTAGGGGAGGTGCAGCGTCTTGGGCTGCTGGCTTGGAACTCGAAATCCTATGTTAAGAAGGGGTTCAGGGTTTAGGGTTTAGGGTTAGGGTTTAGGGTTCAGCTTACCCTGCTAAGTTCTAGGGCTTTTGCCGGAGTTGGGCAGGACTCGTTCCTGTAAATTGCCACCCCAAACCGGGCTTCGGGCTGAGTAGGATTTCGTAGGGTAGAGAAAAGACTCAGAGGGGCTTAGTTCTTTAGGGTTTAGGGTTTAGGGTTTAGGGTTTAGGGTTTAGGGTTGAGTTCGGGTCTAGCAGGAACCCCGGAGCTGAGTGGGCTTAGCAAGGTTGCTTTTGCAGGCTTTGATGGAGTGTCGGGCAGAACCCAAAGCCTAAGCACTAAACCCTGAACCGCACATGCCAGAGCACGTTGCCTCGAGCTTCCCGCCGTCGCAGAGGAAGCCCCCACCTCTACCGATAGAGTCCGGGGTTCTTTAGGGTTTAGGGTTTAGGGTTCTTAGGGTTTAAGGTTTAGGGTTTAGGGTTTAAGGTTTAGGGCTTAGGGCTTAGGGTGATGGGGGCAGCAGCTACCTAGGGAACCTGAGGGAAGCCTAAGGAGCCTTAGGGAGCAGTGGGGAGTAGTAGGGAACCTTGCCCCTTGAACCCCCCCCTCCCTTAAGGACCCTACAATCTACTAAGGGTGGTGAAAATGATGCTTTCCCCCATATCTCGTAAGAACGTCTTGTCACTTGTCCCATACTCTGCGGCTTCCCCCCCGGTCAAATTTGCGCAGTAGAAAAGCTACCCTCTCCGTACGTCGTAAGCGAAGGTTCCACAAACCTGCAACGGCTGTGTGTCATTAATGTTTCTGCAAGGGCTCAGGGTTTTACGACTTTGTGTACAGTATATGGGGCGTTCCGAACATAGGGGTTCCCTTTTGGGCAATGCCACTCAGAAGGATGATGAGCGCATTTTGGGGTGTATGAGGGAGATCCCCGTTTGGAGCAAATGCACACATGGGCTTCTTGAATGTCTCGGCATGGGAAGGGAAAATGAGTAGTAGAGCTTCCTGGCAAATGGGGGTGGGGTACCTTGTTGGGGTCCGCATTATCAGGGAATCCTACTGTGTGGGGTCTATATTGGAGGCCCAGGCCCCTAACTTTCGCAAACCCCCAGGCTTTTTCTACTCCCAAGGCATTTTGGAGTTAGAAAAGCTACATGGTTAAATCTTAAAGGAGCCCCGAAGCCCTTCACAACCCTAATCTTTGAAGAACAATAGCCCTTGCTTACACCTTCTGGCCTACATCGGCCAGGGTTTTCCTCCAGCGACTAGGCCTCGTGTTCACCACACATGCTGTTGCAGAGCAATTCGACGTGCGCTAGGAAGCATCTATCTAAGTCTGGATGCCTAAGTTTTTCTTCGCCATTCTATACTGTCACTTAGCCAGGCTCATGATAGCTTCCTAGCGCCCTACTGGGCATGTAAGGGCTCCGCTGCTGGTTCCGCTGATCCCTCGGTTTCTCAGGAGCCTGATACAGATACAGATTCCTTGCTACCCCAGTAACCATATTATAATAAGGGCACCCTTTTTTGGTTGGCTAATTTACAAGGGAACCTTGAACGCAAAAAAAAAGGACAAGGGTACCACTGGGCTACCATGATTCTGCAGCTGCCTGCTCATGTCTGCGTTCTGGGATCATCGGGATGCCTCTTACCCGCGGATGTGCGCTGCAAGTTTCGTAGCTCTCTTGAAACGTCGGTGGCTGGTCATTTGTTCCGGCTCTTGCGCCACCCACACGCCCGCCACGGCCTACAAGCCTCGGTCGCAGTCTGATGCTGCGAGTGTTTTTGCTTTCGTGCTCGGAACGAACGATCTGCTGTGACCAACTATTCCCTTAAGGAGAACGCATGCTGCATTTGTCAATGTTGGCTTGAACACCGTTTCAATTCTTTTCACATTCACTAGTCTCAACTAAGATTCGGGTCCTCAGGGTCTAGGGGTTTCAGGGTTTAGGGCTTAGGGCTTTAGGTCTCTGTTCAAGTATCGAGGGCCGAGAACCCGGCGAGCGAACGCCATCGGCCTCATCCAACTTTCTGCGCTTCTTTTCGGCCTGGTGGTCCCCGAAGGTGGGCTCGGAGAGTACACAAGATCCTTGGGGGCCAAATCATGAACCCTGAAAGTGTTCATGGTTCATACTACCTTGACAAGAACTTTCGTAGTGTAGGGTAATATGACCCCAAATTTAGGGTTTCTTTGGTCCCCAAGGATTGCTAACTCTAACAACATCCGCCAAATCATCCTGTCTCCGCGGCAAACCGACCCCGAAACTAACGCGGCGGGGCTTCTGCAAAATTGAGGTCTTCTTCTCTGCGGCTCCAACGTATTCGGGATAGCTGCCAGCACGCGGACGCTACCTCAGAAGAACTCCTGAACCCGACTGCAAGACCCTAAACCTGGAACCCCAAACCCTGAACCCTAAGCCCTACACCAAAACCCAAACCCTACACCCTAAATCCAAAAGTCTAAACCCAGCACCCTGCATCCCAACACCCCACACCCTAAAAAGTCCTGAACCCTAAACCCCAAACCTCAACCCCTAAACCCCAAACCCTAAACCCCAAACCCTAAACCCCAAACCCTAAACCCTAAACCCTAAACCCCAAACCCCAAACCCCAAACCCCAAACCCCAAACCCCAAACCCCAAACCCTAAACCCTAAACCCTAGACCCTAAACCCTAAACCCGAGCCAGATCTGGCCTCGGCCATGTCGGCCGAGTTCTGCGCGGCGAAGTCGAGCACGGCGCCTGAAGCTAAGACTCTGCGTGCTGTGGTCATGCCATGTTGGGGTTCAGGGTTTAGGGTTTAGGGTTTAGGGTTCAGTGTTCAGGGTTTATAAGGTTTAGGGCTTCGCGTTCGGACTCAGTTTGTGCTTTATTTCTTTGGGGGCGGGGGGGGCTTCAGAATGCTAAAAGGAGTGGCGGGACTAGTCAGGCTTAGACCCTAAACCCTAAACCCTAAACCCTAAACCCTAAACCCTAAACCCTTCTTGGGTTATGTACACCCCAGGGCCCCCTCTGCGCGCACTTCTGAGCTCGCGGCACTCGATTGCTTGGGCCACCCGGCTATCCTGAAGTTTGGGGATCTTGGAAGCGGGGGAGGGGTTTAGGGTTTAGGGTTTAGGGTTTAGGGTTTAAGGTTTAGGGTTTAGGGTTTAGGGTTTAGGGTTTAGGGTTTCGGGTTTTAGGGTTTAGGGTTTAGGGTTTAGGGCTTAGGGCTTAGGGTTTAGGGTCTAAAGCCCGAGCCCTTGACCCAAAACCCTCTAAACCCTGAACCTCAAACCCTGAACCCTAGTGCGTGGTTCGCCATTCACTGCGTGCTCATGGTTCAGAGACTGCAGAAGACCCTAAACCCTAAACCTACTCTAAACCCTAAACCCTAAACCCTAAACCCTAAACCCTAAACCCTAAACCCTAAACCCTAAACCCTAAACCCTAAACCCTAAACCCTAAACCCTAAACCCTAAACCCTAAACCCTAAACCCTAAACCCCAACCCTATAAACCCTAAACCCGAAGCCCGAAAAGCCGCAGGCTTGCACCGAGGCTGCAGCACAGCACAGCAGCGCCATGTTGGCGCCTGCGTGGTTTAGGGTTGCGGGTTCAGTGCCAAACCCCATGGATTTAGGGGCTTAGGGTTTCGGGTTTAAGCCATAAAGCCTAACACACAACAGTCCTGAAAACCAGAAATCTCAGCTGCAAGTCCTGAGCACAAAACGGCCCATCTCTTTGCAAGTTGTCAAGTTCCTCCCCGTAGCACTTAACAGGCGCACGCCCCCAACAATGAAGACCAAACGTTGGACTCTGGGGCACATGGACCCGACCAAAACCACCACAAATTGCAGTCATTTTGGGGTTTAGGGGTTTAAGGTTCAGGTTTAGAGCCGGTTTCGGGGTGAGGGGTCACTGCGCATGATCTCCGAAAGGCCGTCTGGCATTGAACAACTGCCGACGGTTGCTAGGCTTATCGCTGAGTCTCATCTAAATCTATGGTTCCAAGTATGGGCCCTTGAATTGGGCCCCTTGCTATATAGCCCTTAGAAGCACTTTTAGGAATACGGGCGCATACTTCGGATCCCACCCCTAGAGCCCCCAAAAAACCCAAAACAAAAACTCAGCACAAAAACCCCTGAAGCCCCCCATACACACCTACGTGGATTCTTCTATTCTATTCATAACCAAAAATGGGAAAACATGTGTTGAGCCGATTCCTGCATTAAGAGCCAACGTGTCTTCGGAGGAGTCGCGCCTGGGCCGGCCGCCTCAGACTCCTTCTGCCTGAATTGGGGGCTTTAGGGTTTAGGGGCTTAGGGCCCAGGGCTAAGGGTTAAGGGTTTAGGGTTTGAGGGTCTTGGGGTTTAGGGTTTAGAGTTTGAGGGTCTTTAGTCCTAGACTCCTAGACCCAAGACAAATCTAGTTATAACAAGGGTAATGTAGGGGTCGGAATAATTACGAAAAAACTCTCTCATAGTCCCTGTATAGCTATACTAGAATAATTAACCCCCAAAACCCTATTCTAATTATTGAGGCCCTATGATACCCTTTTTGGCTGAAATGGGCGTAAAAAGCGTGCCTAAATCCTAAAAAAGGAACAAAGCACTACCCTGCATGCTAAACCCAAAGCCCCAAACCAACCCCAAAAAAAAGAATGAGGGCCTGCTCTGTAGGGTTTGGGGTTTCGGTGGGCTGGGGTGTAGGGTTTCGAGGGGGGGGGGGGAGGGGGGGGGGGGGGGGGGGGGGGAGGGGGGGGGGGAGGGGGGGAGGGGAGGGGGGGGGGGGAGGGAAGGATGGGAGGCGGGGAGGGGATTCCCCCAATCCTAGACTGACCACTCGCGACCACGAAATGCCACGAACCCCATAAACCAACCCACAGGTTCCCTGATCTAATCGATCTTTGCCCTGGAGAAGCAGACCTGTAGGTTGGGATGTTCCCCTGAAACCAGCAGTCCGTAGTAGGGATTGTAATGGGTGGGTGGGGTGAGGGGGGTTACTGGTAATTTCTATTCAGGACTGTTAGTTTGGGGGGGGGGGGGGAACATCCCAAACTGTAGGGCTTGTATCAGGGAGAAGGGTTTAGGGTTCAGGGTTTATAGATGGCTCCTCATCGCATGTCTGCGGTCTCTTTTGCGGGATGCTAGAAACAAAAGCCCTACTTCATGTCCACTCTAGAGAGCTTCCTCAAGAACCCCCAAAGCCTACTTTCTTGGTCACATAAGCATCCTATGAGGGGTATGAGCATAAAAAACCTAAACACACGATAGGCTTGAGGATCTTCAGGCGGGGCATATATCCCGAAACTCCAAGACCTAGGGGGCTTCTGCAATGATTTGCTTTGTACTATTCAGGTTTAGAGTTTAGGGCTTAGGGTTTAGGCTTGAGGGAAAAGAGTGGGCCCTGCCGAAGCAGGATCTAACAACGAAAGGACATGTGGCAGAACTTTCGCACCTGCAACAGCATTCTTTTCGGGCTACCATGTCTAGAGAACCGCTATTAAAAACCAGCAATGGCTTGGGATCTGAGATTTCAGGCAAGAAACGCAGAGCAAAGTAAAACCCGAAATCCTGTAATCCCTAAACCCCAACCCCTAAATTCTAAGGAGTCCAGTCCTACTTCAAGACTCTGCGTAGGACAACGATGCCTCAGCGCATCTCGAATAGCTGCGGCCGCTTTTAAGACCTGCCGATCGCCACCCCCCGCCCCCCTCCCGCCCCCCACACCGAGAGCCCTTCATTAAAACCCTAAACCCTAAACCCGAAGCCCTAAGCCCTAAGCCCGAAACCCTAAAACTAACCCCTAAACCCGAAGCCCTAATTCCTAAACCAATGAAGTGAACACAGTGAACCAGACCTTGGAATCTTGTGTCCCAACCAGGCAATATTAATATCATGACCTGTGAAGTGGACACAAAGCCCCAGTTCTAGCTCCTTTTAACCGTAACATCTGGGTCTTGGGGCTCACTGCGCTCATACAATTAATGCAGCATTCATGCGTCTTTTCACTTCATTTCATTCCTTATAATGCTACATTTCTTGTATTCTCTTCGTAATCCTTTATCTCTCTTTAATGTATCCCGGGCGCATATAAAGATAGTAGCCTAACCCGCAACTTTCAGAGTTGAGAGCTCGGACTTCGAAGTTCGAGGAAAACAGAGAAGCCACGCGCTGCCTGCTTCTCCCTCACGCTCCCGGAACCCTAGACCCTGTACCCTAAACTTTAAACACCACCCCCTCTCCCTAAACCCTAAACCCTGAACCCTGAACCCTAAACCCTAAACCCTAAACCCTAAACCCTAAACCCTAAACCCTAAACCCTAAACCCTAAACCCTAAACCCTGCCTCAGGAAGATCCGGAGCGTTCCCTGGACATTGCAGGGTCTCTTCCGGCCCATCCTGCTAAGACTGGTTTAGGGTTTAGGGTTTAGGGTTGTGCCCTGAAAGGTTTAGGGCTTAACTGGGGTTTAGGGCTTAGGGTTTACTCTAACCATGAAAGGTTTAGGTTTAGGGTTTAGGGCTTAATTAGGGTTTACGGCTTAGGGTGTACTCTAACCATGAAAGGTTTAGGTTTAGGGCTTAGGGCCTAAACCCTTCTTGACATCCAAGGTGCTTTGCCGCGCAATTGGGGCCTTAACAGTTGGGACTTCTGGTTTGCTGGCCGGCTTTAGACTTTGGAGTTCAGAGTTTACCCAGTGTAGTAGTATTATGGAAGGAGGAACCTGAACATGTTGGGGTACCTAAGCCTAATTCCATAATAGTACTACACATGGGCCTTTGGGAAAGTCAGAGGTATCTGAGCCGCACATGTGGGGCTTCCGAAAATGGGGGTACCGTCTTGGGGAGTCACTCTGAACCCTAAACCCTAAACCCTAAACCCTAAACCCTAAACCCTAAACCCTAAACCCTAAACCCTAAAAGGAGTTTCCACTGTATTTGGGGTATAGAAGGTGGGGGTACCCCCTATTTTGGCAAATACGCATGTACCCTCATGCCATGCTCTCCTCGAATCCTGCGCAGCGCAGCACGCCCTCCTCCGCGTAGGAGCTTGAAGTTAAGGTTGCCAGCCTTAGGGTTTAGGGCTTAGGGCTTAGGGTTTAGGGTTTAGGGTTTAGGGTTTAGGGTTTAGGGTTTGGTGTAAACAAAGCTACCACATTCACTACGCAAGCTCGTATTCTGGTACGATCCTACTATTATGGTAACCGGGTTGAAACCTTCAACTTCGAGGACTGCATGACAACCAGCTGAGGCTGAACCACAAGAGCTGCCAGGACCCTCACAGACCTCGGCAGGCTGTGCCCATCCGAAACTATTCTTGGGCTCTTGTTCAGTAAATAACCAAGACACCAAATCAAGAAAACAAACATGCCAAGGAAACAAATCGTATCCTTATGATGGTAACTGAGTTGAAGTTCGAGCCCGGTGTTCGCTTCCATACCCTGTACGCTTATATTGGTTGGTGGTCTCTTTAGGGCATCGAGGGGCTACATTCAGGCAGAAGGGTAACAGTTTTAAAGAGGCCACCGGCCTTTATAACTATAAGCCCTGTAAACCCCTGAGCCCTAAGAGCAACGTGCCTCCTCAACGCCGAGAAGGCGGGCGATCGGGGGATTCCTGCTGCCAGAGCATCCCGATCACCTCCCTCAAGATTCCCCCTGATTCTCAGTAGGGAATGTGGGAATGAGGTACCTTATGTAATCCCTTAAAGGGTATATATAGGGGGAAATAGGGTGCCTCATTCCCTACTAATAAGAACCAGCGAGTATTTCTTTAGGATGGTTGGCTTGTCTACCTCAACATATGTTTCTATACTCCTCCTTTTTGCTCTTCTAACTCTTCTGGCGAAATCTGTTGACCATCGTCCCATCCCGCGCTACACATTCAATTCTTCCTGTTTGCAAAACTAGCTTCTGGTTTCAGCATATGGGGGGTTTACGAAAAACGGGATCCCTAAAATAGCCCCCAAATAGTAGGATTCCCTTAAGATTCCCTTATAGTAAGGACCCCAAGAAGGTACCCCTAATTTCGGAAACCCCCATATCGTCGGGAGATGAGTGCCTACCTGTGGCAGCAAGTTGAAATATGGGGGGGTTTCCGAAATCGGGGTACCTTATTGGGGTCCTGATTATACGGGAATCCTACTATTTTGGGGGTTCCCTCATTTTCGTCAAACCCCACATAGGAAACACCGATGACGAAGGTGCAAGGAAGGAGGCAGAACACAAGTCTTGCAGGAGCTGAACATAGAGCATCACAGAACGCGGGCCCACCCAAATTTCAGCGCGGAGCCGCCAGATCATTCAAAGATCCATTATATCGTAGAGCTGAAGCAGATCGAAAAAATGCAAAGACAACATTCAGTGGACAGCTTACCTTTTTGGAAACATTGGCTCAACAAACATGGTCAAAATAAAACACTCCGTGACGGACGTCACGCAACACGATGCGAGAAAACCACGCAACGAACTAACAAAGAACAAATTAAGATGTAAGCAGGAATGCCACATGCCAAGCGCAACAGGGAATATCCCAAGCTGGCCCAAGCTAAGTGCCAGAGGACGAAGTTAAAACATTGAGAAGAGCAGACCACTTCAAAAAGAAAGGGTCGTAAACTTAACCTGGTCAAAGAACATTTACACAATACCAATAGTCGAAGGCTTTGCTAATTCTTACTTGCGCGTTGAGTTCTTGAAACAATACTTTTTTGCGAACGACTCTCCGAAGAACGTATGTCAAAAACAAGGTGTCAGTGTATGTTGCCATGAGAAAACACTCAAGTTTGAAGTCTGCTGGAAGTGCGAGGCCGCAAACAAAGTCACCATCTTCAGCTGTGTGTTGCCAGTTGATCTATGCCGCTTGGTCTTGACAATTCTAAGAATGATCGGTGAATGAAGCAACTAGCAAGAATGACCTAGTTCGATGAACACTCTTATTGGTCAAAGGGAAGAAGTGCGAATGATATTCTTACGCTTGTATTGTCATAATCATGATACTCACACAACAACCGATAGAAGCAAATACAAGAATGTCACCAAAGGTCAACTAACCCGCTTAAACAAGCAAGGAAGCATCTCATGAATATCTCAGATTACTCTGGCTGGCTGGTGGCTTGGGGCTATGGAGAGTGATCAGGGGTTGAGACTAGGGCATCGTGGGTATTGACCCTAAACCCTAAACCCGAAACTGGGATAAGTGTTTTTTTCCAATCGAAAAGTGCCAGAGATGGGGTAAGGGTTGCTCCTAGGATTTAGGGTCGGTCCTGCCCTGGCCCAAACAGGAATACCCCCTGGCTAACACTTTTAGGGTTTAGGGTTTAGGGAGTATGGGGTGCCTAGTTCCCCTCATTCTCCTACTGGGGACGCAGAAGCTTGTGTGGCACCTCTTCCGCACTTGCCGGAACTTCTCATTGCCAGGCGCGCGGGCAATGTTGCCCAGGAGCTTGCACACCTCGAGGGTATTTGGGTTGCTGTTTAAGGCCTTAGGATTTACACCAAAACCTCTAAACCGCCCAAACTCCCAAACCCCTAAACCCCTAAACCGTTAGCCTGAACCCCGAAACCCCGAAACCCCTAAACTCACTGAGCTCTCAATACGATGGCAATCACCTAGCTGCTGGAAGGTTGGCTTCAGGGCCCTCAAAGCTTGGATGATGGCACAAAAGACAGGTGTTCAGCACGTCAGGGGGGCCAGAGCGCACGAGGATCCGCGACCTTGTTGTGCGAGAGGTACAGTGAAGCAGGCTTCTTTCTTCCGAGGCAGGGATGAGGGGTTTAGGGTTTTAGGGTGGTTTTTGCTTAGGGGTGGAAAGGGGTTTAGGGCTGTTTTAAAGGCCCTAAACCCCCAAACTGGGCCCCCGGCGGTGTCCAAACCTCGCCGGGCACGAGCCCCTAAACCCGAAACCCTAAAGCCTACCTCTAAATCCTAAAACCTAAACCCTCAACCCTAAACCCTAAACAAGACTGAGGCCTTGCAAGTGATCATTCGAGGTATTATGGCAATAGGTACCCAATAGCCCTAAACCCTAAACCACTTAGTATGGCTTCTGCGTACCGTACCTAATTCCATAGTATAGTACCACAAATGGCCCTCTGGGTGATGAGACTTGACCAGGCTGTAGAGACTCTAAGGGGGACAACATAGGGTTTAGGGGTTTGGGGTTTAGGGTTTAGGGTTTAGGACTCTGCGTTGGACCGCCGCGGCCCTTGGGTTTTGGGACACAGTTTTAAGGTCCCCGAAGGAATATAGGGGCCCAAGTGAAGATTAGGGTTTAGGGTTTAGCGTTTAGAGTTTATGTTTTAGGGTTTAGGGTTTAGGGTTTAGGGTTTGAGAAAGTAGTGTGCCCGAACCGGATGCAGAACCTTAGATTTGGACCGCTTGAAGTCGAGGTGTTCGGGTTGGAGGCCTAAAAACCAAACCCTAGACCCTACACCCTAAACCCTAAACCCATGAACCTCAAACGCTCTGAGCATGTAACGCTGAAGCCCGACACCCTAAACCCCGAACACTCAAGCCCAAAAACCTGACACTCTGAAATGCTAGACAAGGGCTTAAGGCCTCTAAACATCTCTAAACTCTAAAGCCCTAAACCCGAAACCCAGAGGGCTAAATCCTAAACCCAAAACCCCCCAGGCTGCAGGTTCGGAGGCAGGCCTCTGCTCGCTTCGGCGACACTTCGCTCAGAGCTGCTGAGGAGGCGCAGCACGTCCATGTGCGCAGTGGCGGGGTGCCGTTTCAGTGGGGATTTAGAGGGTTAGGGTTACAGAGGGTTTAGGGTTACAGGGACAAGGGTTTAGGGCTAAGGGTTTAGCGGATATGCGTTCTTGTTCACGCTTGGAGTCTTACAGAGCACTGGCATGTTGAACATTTCCCGAAAAGCTCGAAGCTTGTTGCGGGTCCAGGAGTCTATTAGGGCTATGGCTGAGCAGGGATTAAGGCTGAGGGTTGAGCATTCTGCTCAGACCAGTGTGTGAGGGGGGGGGGGGTGGCTAAGGTTCAGAGAGCCTTTTGTATCACACTTCGCGCCCGATCAGCTGCAGGCAGACGCTCGAGACGCCATCTTCAAGCCCCCTTATCCCCTAAGCCCTGAACTCTGTTGTTTGTTATTCACCCTGGACCCTATACCCTATAAGCCCTGAACCCCATAAACCCCACAAACCCCGTAAACCGCATAGTCCCCATAAACCCAAAAAACTCCATCAACCCAAAAAAACTCCACAAACCCATAAACCCCATAAACCACATGAACCACATAAACCCCATGAACCCCATAAACCCCATAAGCCCCATAATCCGGCAGCCCGCAAAGCCCTCAGGTAGGCCCCAGCCAAGCGTTGGCAGCAGAGGGTATGGGCTGGCCTTTGTCTTAAACGATTCCTGGCGCAGCGGAAGCAAGGTTGGAAGGATGTCGGGCTCAGGGTCTTCGGGTTTCTGGGGCGGGTGGTGGATGGTGGTGATTCCTGCTTCGACGTCCAAGGCCTGAGAAAGGCCAAGACTGTAAATCCCAAACCCTAAACCCTGAACCCTAAACCCTAAACCCCACCTTCATGTCTTCGATCTCCTTATCTCTGGCTTCCCGGGCTTTCCTCCTTTTTAGGTCCTGCAGAGCCAACAAGCGCGGAGGAAGATCTTGGTCATCGTAGCCCTGCTCACTCTGCCCATCTTTGACTACGTCATTCAACCACCCCCCCCCCCCGCCCCGAAGGCTTAGGGTTTAGGGTTTAGGGTTTACGGTTGAACCCCTGAACCCTTACAACCCTAACCTATTTGCATCTCTTAAGGTCCAAACCCTGAACCTCCCTTTCCTTCGCTGGAGTCCTTGGCCTTTTCGCGGGCCATTCCCACGTGGATTCGCACACGATGGAAGTTTGTCTTCTTCACCCCCTGCAAACATTTCAGGGGTGTAGAGGGGCCGCTCCCAGTTGGGATTCCTCTGCTTTGCAACATTGCGTAGTACGTTTTTGGCGCGTGCAGAAAGATCCCTACAAGAAATGCAACAGCACTGCAAGGGAAACCCTAAGCCCCAACCCTCAACCCGAAAACCCCCATTGAACAACCCTAAACCCTAAACCCTAAAACCCTAAACCCTAAACCCTAAACCCTAAAACCCTAAACCCTAGACCCTAAACCCTAAACCCAAAAGTCCCTAAAACCCGAATCCAGGCCTTCGCCCCTTCCTCCACGAGGGCCTGTCATCCCCGGGTCGCAGGCTTGGGGCTCCGCGGCTCAGGGCACCAATTTTACAAAAAAGCAGGGCATGTTTAGGGTTTAGGGTTTAGGGCTTAGGGTTAGATAAACCCCAAACCCTAAACCCCAAACCGCCCTTACTCCCCCCCCCCCCCTCACCACAACCCAAAATCAAAAAAGCAGGGCATGGTCATGGTGCCCCTGGTGGTGGCATCCCGGGGGCCTTGAACAGCGCGTTCAGGGCGGCCTCCGGCATGGTGAAGCCAAACTCCTTCTTGGCGTAGGCCGCGATCTCGCGCCAGCGCAGGCGGGCACGGAGGTGGGCTCTGGGGTTTTTGGGGACTTGGGGGGGGGGGGGGGGGGGGGGGGGGGGGGGGGGGTTGGGAGGGTAAGCCTAAACCCTACAGAAGCTAAAAGGCTTCTTTTTTGGGATGGGCCGAAACTTTCGTTTAAGCCCTGTAAACCCTACAAAACCCTCAATCATAAAACCCTTGGGTGGTTGTGAGAACATGGGAGCCCCACGAAGGATCCTTCCAGCAGGAACGCAGTAGCGATGCAGAAGGAATGCAAGAACTCTGGCCGCAAGCATTCCGAAGGCTACCTTACCAGGTTTAGGAGTGCATGGTTGTTTAGGGTTTATAGGGTTTAGGGTTTGGGGTTTGGGGTTTAGGGTTTAGGGTTTGGAAGTTTAAGGTTCTGAAGGTTTCGATTGGAAGTTGACCTCCCCACCTCCTTCTTGTCCAGCACCGCGTCTTTGTTTGCGTCATACTTCGCAAAGAGGGCCTCCGGCAAGCCGGACCGTGCTCTGCGCACGGGAGTGCGCAGCTCGGTGGTAAGCAAAGTATCGCAACATGGCATACTAGCAACATACAGTAAGGCTAAAATACCACAATGCTATACTGCTGTAAGACTATCGTTCTGAAAAACTATAGCGCTATACTACAAGAATACTGTAGCAAGATAATATGATAATACCACAAGAACATAATCCCATAATGTTTATACTACTATCACCAGGCCAATAACTATACACTACAACCCTGAAAACAAACAAAGGACCCCCCACCCACCCACCCACCCACCCCCCCTGCCCCGGCCCCCCCACTCCCCCAAATCCGGGCTATACCCTAAACCCTAAACCCTAAACCCTAAACTCCAAAACCTAAACCATTTCCCCGAAATCTCTGCTAAACCCATTAAATGGAGCCCTTCGCTGAGCCCACGGCCATCTGCTTGTCCATCTTGCCCTTGGCCGCCGCTCGGCGCAAGGCCTGGTCATCCCTAAACCCTAAACCCTAAACCCTAAACCCTAAACCCTAAACCCTAAACCCTAAACCCTAAACCCTAAACCCTAGACCCTAGACCCTAGACCCTAGACCCTAAACCCTAACTCATCTGAGGTGGGTACAAGGGGCATACTTGGAGGTTCATGGTACTTATGAACCCATTATAACTGTACTTATAACTGTACGTGTAACCATGTTAGGGCACTTAAGGGGCTTATAAGTGGGTTATAAGTACAGTTATACTTGGTTAATAAGTACCACGAACGTCCAAGTAAGGGACTAAGGGGGCCATAAAAGGAGTAGGAGGAGGCATAAGCGGGGGCTCGTCAGGGTTGTTTGAGGATTTTTTAGGGTTCAGGTTGGGATGTTCCCCTTATACTAACAGTACTTAATAGGCATTTCAATACAGGGTACTCTAATCCCTACTAAGGACTGTTAGCAAAAGGGGCACATCCCAAGGTTCAGGGCTTTTTCGGGTGTGTGTGTGTGTGTGTGTGTGTGCGTGTGCGTGTGTGCGTGTGCGTGTGCGTGTGCGTGTGCGTGTGCGTGTGCGTGCGCGTGCGCGTGCGCGTGCGGGTGCGTGTGCGTGTGCGTGTGCGTGTGCGCGTGTGCGTGTGCGTGTGCGTGTGCGTGTGCGTGTGCGTGTGCGTGTGCGTGTGCGTGTGCGTGTGCGTGTGCGTGTGCGTGTGCGTGTGCGTGTGCGTGTGCGTGTGCGTGTGCGTGTGCGTGTGCGTGTGCGTGTGCGTGTGCGTGTGCGTGTGCGTGTGCGTGTGCGTGTGCGTGTGCGTGTGTGTGTGTGTGTGTGTGTGTGTGTGTTTCTGTTGGGTGGTTTAAGTGTTTAGGGGAGCCTGTGCGTTGGACCTGCTTGTCCCAAGTCTACCCTGAACCCTCAGCCAGACCAGTTCATCCTCAACCTTCCCTGCACCGAAGCTCTCTAGACCCTAGCGCCTTCAATTTTGGGTCGGCGGTTTAGGGGTTCAGAACCCCACAACCCTCAACCCCAAAACCCCAAACACCCAAAACCCCTCAAACCCCTAAAACCCCTAAAGCCCCAAAACCTGAATGGCCTGCTGCTTGGACGTGGTACTGGACTTGATCACCGTGTCCTTGTCCATGGACACGGCAGCCATCCTGAAAACAGAACTTTCCTAAACCCCAATATCCCTAAAACCCTAAAACCTCAAACCCTCAAACCCTCAAACCCTCAAACGCTCAAACCCTAAACCCTAAACCCTAAAACCCTAAACCCGAAACTGCATGGCTTCCCCGGGCGGCTTCCTCTGCATCAGTTTGGAGTTCTGGTCCTTCAGGTCCTTCAACTCGGGGTCGGCCGCCTTCCGTTTTGGTAACCAAACAAGGTTCGGAGGTCTCCTTTTAAGGTTGAGGGGGTTTAGGGACTAGGGTTTTGGGGCGGAGGGGTTTAGGGTTTCGGGTAGTGGGGTTGAGGGGTCTAGGGTCTAGGGTTTTGGGGGCTGAGGGGCTTAGGGTTTAGGGTTTTGGGGTTGAGGGGTTTAGGGTTTAGGGTTTTGGGGTTTAGGGTTTAGGGTTTTGGGGTTGAGGGGTTGAGGGTCTAGGGTTTTGGGGTTGAGGGGTTTAGGGTTGGGGGTTGCAGGATTTTTGTTGAAGGTCCCGAGGTGAGCTTGTGGCGATGATCGCGGGACCCTAAACCCTAAACCCTAAACCCTAAACCCTAAACCCTAAACCCTAAACCCTAAACCCTAAACCCTAAACCCTAAACCCTAAACCAGGGCCCCTTGGGCCTCCTACTTAAGGGGACACCAGAAGGGACCCTGACATCTTATTCCCTAATATAGCCCCCTACATATAGCCTCAGAAATATTTAAGATCCTATATACCTAAGTAGCCCCTAGAATACCCCTAAGGTCCCTCGGGGTCCCTCCTCTACTTGAACTACAGTTTGACTCATTCCTTCCCTCTAATAGTAAACCCTACCCCCATATTTTGTGTTTTTCTAATACTCCCTTTGTAGCTATGAGATGTTGTATTGGGAACAGCTGCAGCAATCGCTAAGTATCCACTACAACTGCCTCTGACCTGGAATACTTGAAGCTTCATCATGGGTGCTTCTAACCGCAGTTCTAAGTCTACATATAACCTACTAAGGGGACTTAGGGGGCTTCTAAGTACCGTTATCCTTGTGGTTACAGGTACCCTGAACCTCCAAGTATCTCTGCACATTCCGTGCTGACGTGCCCAGCAGTTTCGGGGCACAGTCGAAAATTTGGGGGCTTCGATGCTCCAGGACAGGAAAAACGGTTCAGGGTATAGGGTTGCTTTAGGGTTTACTTAAGGCACTTATTCAACGTCAGCGGAAGGTGAATTGGCACCATTGCCCCGCTGCTGACCTTCCCAAAGCCTTCGAACGCTTCTCTTCAGGAGCTGCACTCGACCCTCGCGCTAACCCTAAACCCTAAACCCTAAACCCTAAACCCTAAACCCTAAACCCTAAACCCTAAACCCTAAACCGCACTATCTGGGGGTCTACAGGTGAAGCCCGCGGCACAGGCACGCGCGACGTCAAAAGCCAAAGAACTTCTCGTTTTTCTGCTGGGCCCCAACGCCCTCTCCACGGCTGGCCCCCCAAGCAAGGTTTAGGGTTTAGGGTTTAGGGCTTCGGGCTTAGGGTTTAGGGTTTAGGGTGTAGGGTGTAGGGTGTAGGGTGTAGGGTTTAGGGTTTAGGGTTTATCCCTAAACCCCAAGCCCCAAACCCCTAAACCCTAAACCCTACCTACAGCTGCCTGGAAGATGTTGCCAACCTTTCGGACGAGATCAGTGCAGACCTTGGAGAGCTTAGGTTTAGGGTCTACTTGGAGGTTCGTGGTACTTATTAACCAATTACAACTGTTCTTATAGCCCACTTATAAGCCCCTTAAGAGCCCTAATATGGTTATACGTACAGTTATAAGTACAGTTATAATTGGTTAGTAAGTACCATGAACCTCCAAGTAGAGGGTTTACGCTTGATGGTCGAGGGTCGAGGGTCCTAAGCCCTGTGTTTCAGAGATGTGGCCGGGGGGCGGCCATGGGCCTTTCAGTGGGCATCTTGGCCATTGGGTGTTGAAACCCCTCTACACCCCGATAAACCCCTCTACACACCTACAAACCCCAGCAACCCCTACAAACCCCTGTAAACCGCCTATAAACCCCTCTCACTCTAAACCCCACACCCAACACCAGGGAGAAGGGGTGAGGCCATAGCCTGCTTGCCCCCCCCCCCCCCCCCCCTCCCTGCGCCCTGTGAACCCTTCAGAGTTTAGGGTTTAGGTTTAGGGTTTAACCCTATAACCCTAGATCCAAAGCCATTGAAATCTTGGAGGCAAGCCCGCCTATGAAGTTCTACTAAGCCCTAAACCCTAGAAAGCTCTACAAACCCCTACAAGCCTTAAGCCCTTGAACACCTCCGCCCACTCCCCATCCCCCCCGCCCCCCCTCTCGACCTCGTAGGCGTCGTTGGCTTCCTTGGTGGCTGTGTCGATGCTGGCGATGATGTCCTTGACCTGCTTCTGGAAGACAGGCGTGCTAGGGTATCTATAGCAATTCTTGTATACAACCATTATTTTCATGATCGCACTAGTCTAATGAGACTAGGGTTTGCCTCAGAGATGTGGAAATCGTAGCACACCATGCTTCTGGACTGCCTCACCCACCCGCCCTTCTTCTCCAGACGCAGTCAAAATGCTGCACTTTCGCAGCCGCTGTGGTCTCTGAAACTTGGTACCTGTAAACGCTGAAGTTGCTGGAAACCAGGTGCCAGGTACGTTAAAGAGTTCAGCATGGGATGTTCCCCCTTACACGAACAGTCCTTAATAGGCATCCTAGTACCCCCCCCCCTATTACAATCCCTATTAAGGACTGTCAGTAAAAGTGTGAACATCCCAAAGTTCAGAGGTCGCTGTAGACTTCGGAGCCCACTTATCCGCCCACAGGCGTGCTGAAGCGGGCGAAGCCCGCGCAGCGCAAGAGTGCGGCACCACACCCCCGACCTCATCCGGGAGGCACGACTTGCTTGGACCAAATTTAGGGGTTCGATCGTTAGGAGCATGCTGCGGTTCGAAAGAGGTTTGGGGTTTGGGCTTCATGTTACAAGTTGGTTCTTCAGGGTTTAGGGTTTAAGGTTTAGGGTTTAGGGTTGCCAAACTAAGCACCGCTGCCTGGCACATGGGCAAGTATGGCAAACCCCTTTCAACCCTAAACCCTAAACCCTAATAAGCCGAACTCGGGATCCAGGCACATCGCGAGCTTGCTTACTCGATCTCCATATCCTGCACACATGGGCATTGCCCCACAGAAGGGGGTTCCGGGTTCCCCCCCCCTTATAACCCCTACCAACCCTAAACCCTCAGCCTTAAACCCTAAACCCTAAGCCCCCAAAAATGGGAACCCCTAAAGAGGGTACCCCCGATTTTGCGAAGCACCCAGATCTCAGGCTTAGGCCCCGAAAAATCCCAGCAAGAACGCAAGAATGAGCGGAGAGAAGGAGTCAAGAGGCACCGGCCTAAGCAAGGGTTTAGGGTTTAGGGTTTAGGGTTTAGGGTTTAGGGTTTAGGGTTTAGGGTTTAGGGTTTAGGGTTTAGGGTTTAGGGGCCAAGAAGCATCCATCTACCCTGAGACTCTGCTCTGAGCTATGGATGCTTCTGCTACATGCTTGGCAGTCGCCAAGCCAAGCTCGAGTTGAGCAAAAAACGTTTAGGGTTTAGGGTTTAGGGTTTAGGGTTTAGGGTTTAGGATTTAGGGTTTATGGTTCTCGGCAAAGGAGGTTTCAGCCACGCTAGCCTTGGGGATACTCTCGTCGACGATGGTGCCACCCTCTTCTGCATCAGCATCCGGCCTGGTGCTGATAACCCGCTGATTATGTCAATTTCCACTAAACCCTAAACCCTAAACCCTAAACCCTAAACCCAAAAACCCTAAACCCTAAACCGGCAGGTACCTAGAGGGGGCTGGGGCGGGGTGTGGCCAGACTTGCTGCCTTTGGACCATGATCATTCTAAACCCTAAACCCTAAACCCTAAACCCTAAACCCTAAACCCTAAACCCTAAACCCTAAACCTTAAACCCTACACCCTAAACCCTAAACCCTAAACCCTAAAATGGTTCAGCGCCTGTAGCTGGGCGGGAAGACTTGCACAAGGATGGAGCACATTGCGCCACCTGCGACGCGAAGGGAAAGGCCTACTTGGAGGTGTTCATGGTACTTTACCCAACCAACTGCGTACTTACAACTGTACTTATAACCATATGAGGGCACTTAAGGGGCTTATAAGTGGGTTAGCAGTAATTACAGTTAAGAAGAGTAGCATGAACCTCCAAGTATCTCATGAGAAGGAGCTTGGAGGTGCATGGGTTACTTCTAACCTAGGGTTTAGGGTTTTAGGGTTTAGGGTTTAGGGCTTAGGATTTACCATTACAAGTCTACCTATAACCTACTTAGATGACTTTCGGGGGCTGCTGCAAGTGCAGTTTTACTTGGGGTCAGAAGTAGCCATGGACCTGCACGAGCCCAGCAGCAAATTCCCCCGAAGACCCTGCCGAGCCTTTGCGCCCTTTCTTGTGCGCATCTTTCTTGGCCTGGACTAAGGGAAAACAGCAATAGGGCACCCTTTCCGGTTGACCATAAGGATACAGCATTTCAGGGGTACATCATTGTTCGGTACAAATACCCGAAGTCACCATTGCATCGTCAGGGTCCATTCCATAGTTTTGGGGCAAAGTACACCATATAGGTCGGACAGGAAGTCAACTTGTCTCGAAGGGGCATCTTCGACCACACAAAGTATCGGGCAGTCCGTCAGCGATTGCACGAAGATATCCTGAATACCCTAAAGAACCCTACATCTTGTGCACCACATGAGCCCAACCAATGGGATCAGATTTCCCTAGACTACTCTCATCCTGAGGCAGGTATATGGACCATAAACCCTCTTAGGGGCTCATGTGGTCCGCAAGGTCAACTCTAAATCATCTCAACCATTAGGCCCTCTTGGGGGGGCAGGTGCTATTCCCTAATGGTCCTTCCACAATCATACTACAATAACCCCAGGCCCCTAAATGACGGGATGGCAAATCCCCGGCCTGCTCAAACTGCTTGGCGTAGTGAGGGGCCACATCCTGCAACTCTGGGCCGTACCGCAGGCGCACCTGTGCCCGAGATGCCCTATAGCTTGCAGAGGGTGTGAGGCTTCGGGTTGATGGGGTTTAGGGTTTAGGGTTTAGGTTTAGGGTTTAGGGTTTAGGGTTTAGGGCTGCGGGATCGCCACCCTATATAAACCCGAATCCGTGGGGAGTCAGCTGGGGAATGCTGGGCTATTGGCATCGACGATCATCGAGTCGTCGAGGGTCGTAGCTGCAAGTCTGGAGAATTTCTGCCAACCCTAAACCCTACACCTTGCAAACCCTAAACCCTAAACCCTAAACCCTAAACCCTAAGCCCCAAACCCTAAACCCTAAACCCAACACCTCATAAGCCGCAAAAGCCTCAACCCGAAGCCCTCAGCCACGCCTCAACGAGGGCACCATACCGGAGCTCGATCCAATCCACCTGTGGTCGGTTCTGTAAGCCCAGAAAAACTCATTAGGGTTTAGGGTTTAGGGTTTAGGGTTTAGGGTTTAGGGTTTAGGGTTTAGGGTTCAGGGTTCAGGGTTTCGGGTGCAAGGTTTCGGGTTTCGGGTTTAGGGTTCCAAGTACGGGCCCTTATTTTGGATCCCTTGATATATTAACCCTTACATACACTACGCATAATCATGGCCCATACTGCGGATCCCTGTAACCAACGGTAAGGGACCATGCAAAGGGCCCATGGCTCCATCCTCAGATTCACGGTTCAGGGCTCAGCGTTTTTGGGCTTCGTCCCTGAAGGAAAGAATAGAACCATGACCCCAAACCCTAAACCCTAAATCCTCACAAGTTTTTCTTGGTGCTGAGCTCTAAAGGCTGCACTCGGGGCTAAGTCACGTCCTTGAGCGCCTCCGAACCCTTCGTTCGGTACTACTTGGAGGTTCATGGTACTTATTAATCAATTACAACTGTGCTTATAACGTACTTATAACCATATTGGGGCACAGAAGGGGTCATAAGTACAGTTATACTTGGTTTTCTAAGTACCACGAAACTCCAAGTAGGGCTGATAGGTTTTAGGGTTAGGGTCTGTGGGGTCTCAAGCTTAGTCGTTGTGGCTTCTGGTTTCAAAGCGATCCTCGAGACGAACCGTAGAGCAGCGGAGCCTCCCTTTACATCTCCTCCCTACATCATGCAACCCATCACAAAAAGCCTCCAAGGCATGTGGCCAAAACAAGGTCTGACCACCCTAAACCCTAAACCCTAAACCCTAAACCCTAAACCCCAGACCTTAAGGTTTATAGTTTACAGGGCTAGAGGTGTTCAGGCTGGTACCCCAAAAGCCGCCCCTCACAACCCTCAAGCCTGGACTGCCTTGGGGCCCTGCCTACAAGCAAGGCCGATCGAGCTGGATGAATGAGTTAACCCCCCCTAAACCCTAAACCCTAAACACTAAACCCTAAACCCTCCCACATAATGGTTTAGTACTTTATGGCAGAGGCAATCCTAAACCTTAGAAGAAGCCCCTTGAGGGAACAGACGGCAACGCTCGCAATGCGGTAGTCGCAGGGCCCATCTTGGTTGGGGATTGCACCCTAAACCCTAACCCCTAACCCCTAAACCCTAAACCCCAAACCCTAAACCCTAAACCCTAAGCCCGAAACAGAACCCGAGTAAGGGGCTAGCCTACACCAAGCCCTCAGAGCCTCTGGCCTTTACAAGTAGGGCGGTTCGAACTGAGGCTCTGCAACGCGAGTGTTCTTAACGCAGGATTCTTCAGGTTGAAAAACTTTCGGGTTAAGTACTCTACTAGCAATTAAGGGGGCTTTTGGGCAGAGCCAACAAGAAAAATGAGAAGTAGGGGCCTGTACCCTAAAAACCCAAAACCCTAAACCCTAAGACCTAAACCCTAACACCTAGCCCTAAAACTTAAACCCTCAAACTTAAACCCTAATTAAACCACAAACCCCAAACCCCTGCGAGCTCTAAAACGTTCTTGCCTTGAGGATTGCATCCCCCACGCACTTCGGCACGAATGCTCCTCCGTCCGGCCTGGCCATGCATTTAAAAACCCTAAACCCTAAACCCCAAACCCTCAACCCTAAACCCTAAAACTCCATTATCCCGAACCCTGCCCCATGTATCCTAAGCCCCGAAGCCCTCAACCCCAAAACTCTGAACCGCACTCAAAGCCTAGATCCGGGTTTAGGGTTTAGGGTTTAGGGTTTAGGGTTTAGGGATCCGGCCGCGGGCCTGAGCGGCTCGTTGTTCTCGCCCTGCTTGGCGTAGAGGCCCTCGTCCTCTCCCAGCCTCCGCCAGGTAACCCTAAACCCTAAACCCTAAACCCTAAACCCTAAACCCTGGTCCTCTTTGGGGTTTACAGGCCCTGGGGATCCGCCACGAAGCATCTCAGCGACATTTTCTGCCTTGACTTGCTGTGCACTCTCCATACAAGACAAGTGCAGCCATGATGCAGCGATGGCCTTAGCCTCTCTGTTTTGTATATAACATTAGAATTTGTGCACAAATATGTTACATGACCTTATAGTCTAAATAAATACACACACACATATATATATATGTATTAAATAAAGCAATATTATATGCATTACATAAACTATTTATTTATCATTTAGCATTTATGTATATGTGTATATATATATATATATCTGTATATACATATATATATATGTATATATATATATGTATATACATATATATATGTGTATATGTGTATATACATATATCTATATATATGTATATATATATATATCAAGCCTAGCCTGGAAAGGGGCTCCTTTGTTGGCACTCAAGCCTGAGACGAGTCCCACAGCTCCAACTTGTACAGTCGTGCCTTTGGGGCGAGCAGTTTGTTGCCACGCCTGAATTTCGCTTCGGGTTTAGGGTGTAGGGTTTAGGGTTTAGTATGCTCTGCACACGTCTTTTCGACTGCAGGGCAGGGAAAGAACTCAGAAATGTGCCACATGATGCGGCACACGCCTGGCAAACTGTTGCTACTACTTGTACCATGTAAGCTTGTGCAAGCTATAAAACCCAGGTACGGCTTGTGCAGTTTCTGGGCAGGATGTGCCTGTCTGACCAAAAGATCTCAGAGCGAGAGTCCTGGAGCTGTGGTTGCTTGAGCTTCGGCGGGAGCGGTTGAGGCTGTAGCTCCCGTGGGGTTTTCAGAGGTCTGGTAGCCAACCCTCTGTTTCACTTTGTTTCGCCAGTCTCTGGCTCTCGTCGGGAAGGTCAGCGAATTTTCGAAAGCATCAGTCGTGTCCCTTGAGATTCGCCAGGCAACATAAAGTACAAGCACCATGGCCAAAGAGAAGCTGGCCGCCCACACGTAGTAGCTGGCCACCACCTGAACACTGCTCACAGCTTCAAAGCAAAGAGAGTCAGTGAGGCCTCGCCAGAAGCTTTGCATGAAGGAGCAGTCAAAGCCGTCAAGCAGGTCGAAGACTGGATCGACCAAATGCAGGTAGACGATGGCTTTCAGATCCTGAGCGATTTGGAGGATGAGGTCTTGGACCACGTCATCCAGATACTGGAAGATCTTGTAGAACCACAGGTCGAACGACCGGACGTTTTCCTCGAACTCTGATATGTCGCAGTCCTGCTCGAAGAAGGTCACTGTGTTGTTGGGATGCACACAGCTGTTGATCCATGTACCGTTCTCTTTGGTCATGGATGCGAAATCGCATTTCGTACCAGCAGGCGCCCCAGGCTGCTGCAAATACCTGCATCGAAACAGCGGCAATGTGAGAAGTGGTAGCTTCCGCTCCAGCAGGAAGGCCTTTGCTGCTTCACACTCACTTTCATGTAGGTTCGACGCGCTGCAGTTGCCTTGCAAGACTGCAGGGCAGTCCCACGTCACATTCTGCTCCGGGAACATTCCTTCCACGGGAATCCCACTGCCAGTGCTGAAGCCATCCACGACCATGGAGTTTAGTCCGGGAACTTTGACGTCAGAAAGCCCTGCTGGAAGGAGGGATGGTAGTGTGAGATCATCACCTAGGCCCAAGACTAACCTCGAAAAATAAGGACGCCCGTTTTTGCTCGATAAGGGGAGGGTTTGGTTGAAGGGGGGTTGGCTGGAGGTTGGCTGGTGGCTGGAGAAAAGGGGTTAGCTGGAGGGGGGGGGGGGTGGCTGGAGGGAGGGGGTTGGTTCCCTAAACCCCCCCTAAACCCTAAACCCTAAACCCTAACCCTAAACCCTAAACCCTAAACCCTAAACCCCCCAAAAGGGAATATGGGCCTACTCTGGATCCGAGTCACACAAGGCGCTGACAACGTAGTAGCCTGGAGGCATCAGGCGGTAGACCGGATGCGTTGCAATGTCCACAGGCGACGGCCAATACATCGCCTTCAGGTTGACGTTTCCCAGATAGCCTTGGCAGCTCAGCAACCAATATTCTAATGGGGGTAATCCTGTTTGGGGATGGTGTCTTCATAAAACCCAGAACTCAACAAAATTGGCAAAAGGGTACCATTGGGCTACCAAGTAGCTTCGAACCGTTGACAGGATGGGATTGTCCGCCAGCCGTATCGGTTGAGTAGCCAGGGCCATTTCAAGCACCAGGTACGCCCCGTTAATCTGGTTAGCCACGAGATCCGCAAGCAAGTGCCGCGCAGTGTCCGTTTCACCGTCGTAGGTTGGAAACAGCGCAGGGAGCTCGATGATGTCAGCCACATTGCGGGTGGAATTGCTGTCGGACGTCAAGCTCATGCAGCGATCTGCGACGTTCAGGGCCATGCGGACGGTGTCGTCTACAGGCACATTGAGGGACTCCAACAAAGTCTCGCCTGACTGCTGGTCGAAATCCACCATCGCCAGGCAAACTCCCCCACCCACCATGGAGACGAGGATCAGGATGCCGCCAATCAAGAAAAGGATTCCGGCAAAGATGTAGGCTCCGCACATGGCACCGGCACTACTTGTGCAGACAGGCACCGGGTCCGGTGCAGCTCCGCCCCGGTGCCAGAGGCTGTAAAGCACCAAAGCCAAGAAACCAAGCACCGCAACGATCAGGCTGGCAACGAAAACCACCATAAAGCTCGGATAGAGGACCGAAGTCTCTCCCGCCAGGGCTTCGGTGCCCTTCTCAAACCCATCGTCGGCCTGTCGTACAAAATAGCCAACCTGGTCAAGAATTTGATCCTTCATGACCTCAATTGGCTCTTTTGTTTGCCGAATGGTGCTTCGCAGATTGGATATCGATGAGCCATCATCCAGCTGCCTCGCCACTTCTGATCTGAACGCGTTCAGGGCAAATGCGACACCCTCGTCAAAGAGGCGAACCAGCGAATCCAAAGATGCGCCAAGGGGCGCACAGATCGCGCAGTGGTGGTAGTAGCCCAACGGATACTGGTTCCTTGGCTCCCCCAGGAGGAACGGCAAGGAGTCCAACATGTCCCGCACGAGGTTTACCGCCCGCTCCAGCTCCTCTGTTTGGCTCAGGACGCTCTGCACGTCCTCCAAAAACGCGGAGCCCGGCTCCAAACTCTGTGAAAGGTTGTCCAAGGCCGTGTAGGCTGGAAGTAGGCCAACGAAGTTTTGGGATGGATTGCCGGCAACCGTGTCTTTGAGAAGTTGGGCTGAATAGCAGCCTGTTCCTTGGATGCCCTGCTCGATGCCCTTGTGCTCCAGGACGCTCATGGCACACAGGGCGACCACCAGCCCGGCGAGCAACAGAAAGCTCGTCCAGAGGAGGATCTGGAATGGAATGGCTCTGCCAAATCTGCATTTCCTCTGACAGCAGCAGCAACAGCACCTCATGCATCCCGGGCAACATACAAACCAGCAGGCGAAATGCCAGACTATCCAGAGCATCAAGGCCATGAGAAGCGGAGTAGCCTTGCGAATTGCGAAAGTCGGACTCACCGTCTCCTGTAGTGTGCTCACCAAGTCTTTCGTCTCGCCATCTTTCACCGCGCTGGCTGTCTGCAGCAGGGCATCATAGACCACGTTGCCGTTCCCCGCGCTGAGCTCCAGATTCTTCCGGGCCTCCTCATAGTTGATCGGTGGCACCTCAACAGGACAGTATTTCTCCACGAGCGCGTCCGCCTGCTCCAGCGTCCTTTGGTCTGCCGCACTCTGAGCCAAGCCGGTGAGCACGCAACTGAGCACCAGGAGCTTCAGCATGGTGTTTTGCGAGGTTCTTAGCCCAGGTGAATTCTATGAAGATGTTGAAACGGTAATACCTGCCCACGGTATTGTCAAAAAAACGACATGTATTCTGTTGTTTGTGGCTCTCACACATGCCCTGGAGCCCTCGTGTTCTAAAAGCTTCGGAGGCAGAGCATTCCAACAGTCGCGCGCCGCGCGCGAGCACGCACGAGCTAGGCACTGCAGCTCTATAGATTTGTACGACCCTCCATGCCAAACCCTAAACCCTACAACCCTACAACCCTACAACCCTATAACCCTATAACCCTATAACCCTATAACCCTATAACCCTAAACCCTAAACCCTTACCACATCTTGAATATGTGTTGAGTGCAAAGCATAGGAAAGTATGGCGTCACAGCCTCCGCGAGGGTCCGCACTAGTTCCCATAGGTTGGGATGTTGCCCCTTATACTAACAGTCCTTAAGAGGGAGTATAATCGGGTGGGTACTATAATTAAACCCTAAACCCTAAACCCTTTTAAGGCTTAAGAGTGAGTATAATCGGGCGGGTACAACAAATCCCTATCAAGGACTGTGAGTCCCAACCCATGGGGCTTGGCTTACACTTTGACTTGCTTTGCAGACTCCATTCCAGACATGCCTTGCTTGCAGCCATGAGCTGAGCATCAAAAAATGTGTGGGTATATATGGTTCAGCGTCGAGCGTCCTGGGCCCCCCCCCCCCATGGTATCCCCCCCCCCCCAAGTCTACTCTACGGTCCCTAAACCCTAAACCCTAAACCCTAAACCCCCAAACCCTAAACCCTAAACCCTAAACCCTAAAACCTAAACCCTAACCCTAAACCCTAAACCTTAAGTCTTAAACCTTAAACCCTAAACCCTAAAACCCTGAACCCTAAACCCTAACCCTAAAACCAACCCCCAACCACACCACAGGGGGGGGGGATCATCTTAGTACCCCATCCGCGGGGAAAACCCTAAACCCTAAACCCTAAACCCTAAACCCTAAAACCCTAAAACCCGTAAACCCTAAACCCTAAACCCTAAAACCCTAAAACCCTAAAACCCTAAACCCTAAACCCTAAACCCTAAAACCCTAAAACCCTAAAACCAACCCCCAACCACACCACAGGGGGGGGGGGGGGGTACCATTGGGGGGGGGGGGGGGTAGGGGGGAGGGGGGGGGGGCCCGCCGGGGCTGAATCATATATATATATATGTACATATATAATGTGCATATATGTATAATGTACAAAAGCAGAAATTAGGAATTTAAGTACATCATAACATACATTAGATACTGAATATCATATATTCAATACTCTCTCTATATATATATATAATATACTATATGTTCTTGTTGTCACTGTATATCGTTTATGGTATCTTATATATACTATATGTTAGACATTATGTTATTATATATATATATAGATATATATGTATGTAGATATGTATATGTATATATGTAATACTATATGTTTGTATAATATGCTGGAAGGTAAACATTATAGATATACATGCAAGCTATTATTTATGTATATATTCAAGCCTGGCAAGGGGCTGATTTGTTGGCACTTAGCCTGAGACGAGTCCCGCGGCTCCAATTTGTACAGTCGTGCCTTTGGCGAACGGCTTTTTTCCACGCCTTAATTTCGTAAGACATACGGAATGGATTCCGTTGGTATGCTCTGCACACGTCTTTTCAACTGCAGGGCAGGGATCTTGACAACTCAAAACTATGCCACATGATGCGACATGGCAATTTTTCTACGACTTGTACCATTCATGCTTGTACAAGCTATAAAACGCTTGAAAAGGGAAAACGAAACTGCTTGTGCAGTTTCTGGGCAGGATGCGCTTGTCCGACCAAAAGATCTCAGAGCGAGAGTCCTGGAGCTGTGGTTGCTGGAGCTTCGGCGGGAGCGGTTGGAGCTTCAGAGGTCTGGTAGCCAACCCTCTGTTTCACTTTGTTTCGCAAGTCTCTGGCTCTCGTCGGGAAGGTCAGCGAATTTTCGAAAGCATCCGTCGTGTCCCTTGAGATTCGCCAGGCAACATAAAGTACAACCACCATGGCCAAAGAGAAGCTGGCCGCCCACACATAGTAGCTGGCCACCACCTGAACACTGCTCACAGCTTGAAAGCAAAGAGAGTCAGTGAGGCCTCGCCAGAAGCTTTGCATGAAGGAGCAGTCAAAGCCGTCAAGCAGGTCGAAGACGGGATCGACCAAATGCAGGTAGACGATGGCTTTCAGATCATCGGCGATTTGGAGGATGAGGTCTTGGACCACGTCATCCAGGTACTGGAAGATCTTGTAGAACCATAGGTCGAATGACCGGACGTTTTCCTCGAACTCTGATATGTCGCAGTCCTGCTCGAAGAAGGTCACTGTGTTGTTGGGATGCACACAGCCGTTGATCCATGTACCGTTCTCTTTGTACATGGATGCGAAATCACATTTCGTGCCAGCAGCCGCCCCAGGCTGCTGCAAGTACCTGCATCGAAACAGCGGCAATGTAAGAAGTGGCAGCTTCCTCTCCAGCAGGAAAGCCTTTGCTGCTTCACACTCACTTTCATGTAGGTTCGACGCGCTGCAGTTGCCTTGCAAGACTGCAGGGCAGTCCCACGTCACATTCTGCTCCGGGAACATTCCTTCCACGGGAGACCCACTACCAGTGCTGAAGCCATCCACGACCATGGAGTTTAGTCCTGGAACTTTGACGTCAGAAAGCCCTGCTGGAAGGAGGGATGGTAGTGTAAGATCATCACCTAGGCCCAAGAGTAAGCTCGGAATAAAAGAAGGTGCCCTTTTTTGGGTTTAGAGGGGCTTATAATGGTAACCTGAACCCCCCCCCCCCCCCAAAAAAAAAAAAAAAAAAAAAAAGAATAGGGGCCAATTCCGCGTCCGAGTCACACAAGGCGCTCACAACGTAGTAGCCTTCAGGCATCGCGCTGTAGACCGGATGCGTTGCAATGTCCACTGGCCAGGGCCAATACATCGCCTTCATGTTGACGTTTCCCAGATAGCCTTGGCAGCTCAGTAACCATATTCTGATGGGGGCAATTGGGGGGCTGGTTATAGTTTTACGGGAACCTAGAAGCTAAACAAAGGGCAAAAAGGTATCACTGAGCTACCGAGTCGCTTCGAACTGTTGAAAGGATGGGATTGTCCGCCAACCGTATCGGTTGAGTAGCCAGGACCATTTCAAGCACCAGGTACGCCCCGTTAATCTGGTTTGCCACGAGATCCGCAAGCAAGTGCCGCGCAGTGTCCGTTTCACCGTCATAGGTTGGAAACAGCGCAGGGAGCTCGATGATGTCAGCCACATTGCGGGTGGAATTGCTGTCGGACGCCAGGCTCATGCAGCGATCTGCGACGTTCAGGGCCATGCGGACGGTGTCGTCTACAGGCACATTGAGGGACTCCAACAAAGTCTCGCCTGACTGCTGGTCGAAATCCACCATCGCCAGGCAAACTCCCCCACCCACCATGGAGACGAGGATCAGGATGCCGCCAATCAAGAAAAGGATCCCGGCAAAGATGTAGGCCCCGCACATGGCACCGGCACTACTTGTGCAGACAGGCACCGGGTCCGGTGCTGCTCCGCCCCGGTGCCAGAGGCTGTAAAGCACCAAGGCCAAGAAACCAAGCACCGCAACGATCAGGCTGGCAACCAAAACCACCATAAAGCTCGGATAGAGGACCGAAGTCTCTCCCGCCAGGGCTTCGGTGCCCTTCTCAAACCCATCGTCGACCTGTCGTACAAAATAGCCAACCTGGTCAAGAATTTGATCCTTCATGACCTCAATTGGCTCTTTTGTTTGCCGAATGGTGCTTCGCAGATTGGATATCGATGAGCCATCATCAAGCTGCCTCGCCACTTCTGATCTGAACGCGTTCAGGGCATATGCGACACCCTCGTCAAAGAGGCGAACCAGCAAATCCAAAGCTGCGCCAAGGGGCGCACAGATCGCGCAGTGGTGGTAGTAGCCCAACGGATACTGGTTCCTTGGCTCCCCCAGGAGGAACTGCAAGGAGTCCAACATGTCCCGCACGAGGTTTACCGCCCGCTCCAGCTCCTCTGTTTGGCTCAGGACGCTCTGCACGTCCTCCAAAAACGCGGATCCCGGCTCCAAACTCTGTGAAAGGTTGTCCAAGGCCGTGTAGGCTGGAAGTAGGCCAACGAAGTTTTGGGATGGATTGCCGGCAACCGTGTCTTTGAGAAGTTGGGCTGAATAGCAGCCTGTTCCTTGGATGCCCTGCTCGATGCCCTTGTGCTCCAGGACGCTCATGGCACACAGGGCGACCACCAGCCCGGCGAGCAACAGAAAGCTCGTCCAGAGGAGGATCTGGAATGGAATGGCTCTGCCAAATCTGCATTTCCTCTGACAGCAGCAGCAACAGCACCTCATGCATCCCGGGCAACATACAAACCAGCAGGCGAAATGCCAGACTATCCAGAGCATCAAGGCCATGAGAAGCGGAGTAGCCTTGCGAATTGCGAAAGTTGGACTCACCGTCTCCTGTAGTGTGCTCACCAAGTCTTTCGTCTCGCCATCTTTCACCGCGCTGGCTGTCTGCAGCAGGGCATCATAGACCACATTGCCGTTCCCCGCGCTGAGCTCCAGATTCTTCCGGGCCTCCTCATAGTTGATCGGTGGCACCTCAACAGGACAGTATTTCTCCACGAGCGCGTCCGCCTGATCCAGCGTCCCTTGGTCTGAGGCACCCTGAGCCAAGCCGGTGAGCACGCCCGTCAGCACCAGGAGCTTTAGCATGGTGGTTTTTTGAGGCTCTTGCCCCAGGCTCTCACAAATGCCCTGAGCCTGTGTGTTATAAAGGCTGCGAAGGCAGAGACCGAGCTTGGCATTCTGAAAGTGCACCCTCCATGACGAGCTACCTTCTAAACCCTAAACCCTAGCCCTAAACCCTAAACCCTGAACCCTGAACCCTAAACCCTAAACCCTTACACACATCTTGAATATGTGAGTGCAGAGCATTGGAAAGTATGGCATCACAGCCTCCACTCCACGCAGGTGTTCTGCACGAGTAGGCTGCCATCAAACGGCCTGGCTCGACGACAGCAAAAGCCGACAAGAGCCATATGCCAACTCTCAACATGACCAGAAGAACCTACATCGTGCTGAACGTAACAGACTATGAGCTTCCATCTATACTATACTATATATACATATATCCGCCGACCCGAGCTTTGAGCGGGGGAGGCGCTAGTGAAGACCCATAGTCTTGCCGCTCTCTCCGCCACTCCGCCCGCTCCGCCCGTTCCATCGCGCCCGCTCCGCCCGTTCCATCGCATGGCCCCCATGCCTCCATGCCCTCGACCCCGGCTCCAGCTCATGGCCCCAGGATCCCACATGGCTGCCACCACCCACACCTCATGGATGTTTTGGCATTCTTTTAGGGGCTCCAGCTCATGGCCCCATGTCTCACATGGCTGCCACCACCCACACACCCTCCCCCTCCATGCACCCTTCCCATGGCCCCGTGGCCCCATGCCCCTATGCTGCCTTGCTGTCAGACTGGCGTGTTTTAAGGGCTCCAGTGCGTGCCCCACTCCCGCCCACCCCTCCCGCTGCCTTGCTGTTAGAATGGAGTGTTTCTCCAACGTTGGAGTAGGTGCCCTAGTAGGGGCTGCTTAGTCTAGCGTTGGAGTAGAAGCGTGCCCTAGTAGGGTGCTGCTTACTCCAACGTTGGAGTAGAAGCGTGCCCGTCGAGGGGCTGCTTATTCCAACGTTGGAGTAAAAGCATGCCCTAGTAGGGAATGCTTACTCCAATGTTGGAGTAAAAGCGTGCCCTAGTAGGGGGCTGCTTACTCCGCTTCTACTCCAACGTTGGAGTAAGCAGCCTGGAGGAAGCAGCTCCCTGGAGTAAGCAGCCCCCTTCTAGGGCACGCTTCCCTTCGCTGCCCCCGCCCCCCCCACCCCCCCCACCCCCCCCACTCCCCCCGCCCTTCCCACCCCCGCCGACCCTCCGCTGGACTGGTGTGTTTTAAGGGCTCCAGTGCATGCCCCACTCCCACCCACCCCTCCCGCTGCCTTGCTGTAGTGTTTTTAAGGGCTCCAGTGCCCGCCCCCCAAGCCCTCCCTTCGCTGCCCCCCGGCTCCCCCCGCCCTTCCCACCCCTCCGCTGGACTGGTGTGTTTTAAGGGCTTCAGTGCATGCCCCACTCCCACCCACCCCTCCCGCTGCCTTGCTGTTAGTGTTTTTAAGGGCTCCAGTGCATGCCCGAGCCCTCCCTTCGCTCCCCCCGCCCCCCCCGCCCCCCCCGCTCCCCCCGCCCTTCCCACCCCCGCCGACCCCCTTCGCTGGACTGGCGTGTTTTAAGGGCTCCAGTGCATACCCCACTCCTGCCCACCCCTCCCGCTGCCTTGCTGTCAGAATGGAGTGTTTTTCAGGGCTCCAGTGCATGCCTGAGCCCTCCCTTCGCTGCCCCCCCCCCCCCCCCCCGCCCCCCCCCCCTTCCCTGTTAGAATGGAGTTTTTTTAAGGGCTCCAGTGCCCGCCCCCCCCTTCGCTGCCCCCCCCCCCCCGCCCCCCCGCCCCCCCCCGCCCCCCCCCCGCTCCCCCCGCCCTTCCCAACCCCCTCCACTGGACTGGCGTGTTGGGCTCCAGCGCATGCCCCACTCCTGCCCACCCCTCCCGCTGCCTTGCTGTTAGAATGGAGTGTTTTTAAGGGCCCGAGCCCCCTTCGCTGCCCCCGCCCCCCCCGCCCCCCCCGCTCCCCCCGCCGTTTTTAAGGGGTGCAGTGCATGCCCGAGCCCTCCCTTCGCTGCCCCCGCCCCCCCGCCCCCCCGCCCCCCCCACTGCCCCCGCCCTTCCCACCCGCTGCCTTGCTGTCAGACTGGCGTGTTTTAAGGGCTCCAATGCATGCCCCACTCCCACTCACCCCTCCCGCTGCCTTGCTGTTAGTGTTTTTAAGGGTTTCAGTGCATGCCCGAGCCCTCCCTTCGCTGCCCCCCCCCCCCCCCCCCCCCCCGCTCCCCCCACTCCCGCCCTTCCCACCCCCGCCGACCCCCTCAGGGCTCCAGTGCATGCCCCACTCCTGCCCACCCCTCCCGCTGCCTTGCTGTCAGAATGGAGTGTTGTTAAGGGCTCCAGTGCATGCCCGAGCCCTCCCTTCGCTGCCACCGCCCCCCCCGCCCTTCCCGCCATTTGCCTCTCTTTTTGAGGTGTTCCTCTTTTCTCCTACGCCTGGGCAGAAGGTAAAACTTCGTCCGCTACCTTGGTTTTATTTCCGTTTTCATTGTTCTTTGCGTTTCTCTGGGTTTTGATCAAGCATTTGCCTGTGTTTTTGAGGTGTTCTTCTTTTGTCCTGTGCCTGGGTGGAGATAGAGGTCCGTCACCTTGTTGCTTTTATTTCCGTTTGCATTGCTGTTTGCAAGCTTGTTCGTGTTTCTTGGCAGAGCATTTGCCTATGTTTTTGGGCTGTTCTCCTTTTGTTATGCCTGGGTAGGAGAGAAACTCCATGACCTATTTTGCTTGTATTTCTGATTTCATTGTTCTTTGCCTGCTTCTGCGTTTGTGTTGACATTTGTTCCAGCATTTGCCTCTCTTTTTGAGGTGTTCCTCTTTTCTCCTATGCCTGGGCAGGACATATGCCTGGGCAGGAGGTAAACCTCCGTCCGCTACTTTGGTTTTATTTCCGTTTTCATTGTTCTTTGCGTCCTTTGTCGTTTCTCTGGGTTTTGATCAAGCATTTGCCCGTGTTTTTGAGGTGTTCTTCTTTTGTCCTATGCCTGGGTGGGAGATAGAACTCCGTCACCTACATTGCTTTTATTTCCGTTTGCATTGCTGTTTGCATGCTTGTTCGTGTTTTTTGGCATAGCATTTGCCTATGTTTTTGGGCTGTTCTCCTTTTAATTTGTTCTGCCTGAGTAGGAGAGAAACTCCGTGACCTATTTTGCTTGTATTTCTTTCTGATTTCATTGCTCTTTGCCTCCTTCTGCGTTTGTGTTGCTTTTGATCCAGCATTTGCCTCTCTTTTTGAGGTGTTCCTCTTTTCTCCTATGCCTGGGCAGGAGGTAAAACTCCGTCCGCTACCTTGGTTTTATTTCCGTTTTCATTGTTCTTTGCGTCCTTTGTCGTTTCTCTGTGTTTTGATCAAGCATTTGCCTGTGTTTTTGAGGTGTTCTTCTTTTGTCCTATGCCTGGGCGGGAGATAGAACTCCGTCACCTACATTGCTTTTATTTCCGTTTGCATTGCTGTTTGCATGCTTGTTCGTGATTTTTGGCATAGCATTTGCCTGTGTTTTTGAGCTGTTCTCCTTGTCATTTGTTCTGCCTGAGTAGGAGAGAAACTCCGTGACCTATTTTGCTTGTATTTCTGATTTCATTGCTCTTTGCCTCCTTCTGCGTTTGTGTTGCTTTTGATCCAGCATTTGCCTCTCTTTTTGAGGTGTTCCTCTTTTCTCCTATGCCTGGGCAGGAGGTAAAACTCCGTCCGCTACCTTGGTTTTATTTCCGTTTTCATTGTTCTTTGCGTCCTTTGTCGTTTCTCTGGGTTTTGATCAAGCATTTGCCTGTGTTTTTGAGGTGTTCTTCTTTTGTCCTATGCCTGGGCGGGAGATAGAACTCCGTCACCTACATTGCTTTTATTTCCGTTTGCATTGCTGTTTGCATGCTTGTTCGTGTTTTTTGGCATAGCATTTGCCTGTGTTTTTGAGCTGTTCTCCTTGTCATTTGTTCTGCCTGAGTAGGAGAGAAACTCCGTGACCTATTTTGCTTGTATTTCTGATTTCATTGCTCTTTGCCTCCTTCTGCGTTTGTGTTGCTTTTGATCCAGCATTTGCCTCTCTTTTTGAGGTGTTCCTCTTTTCTCCTATGCCTGGGCAGGAGGTAAAACTCCGTCCGCTACCTTGGATTTATTTCCGTTTTCATTCTTTGCGTCCTTTGTCGTTTCTCTGGGTTTTGATCAAGCATTTGCCTGTGTTTTTGAGGTGTTCTTCTTTTGTCCTATGCCTGGGTGGGAGAAAGAACTCCGTCACCTACGTTGCCTTTATTTCCGTTTGCATTGCTGTTTGCATGCTTGTTCGTGTTTTTTGGCATAGCATTTGCCTATGTTTTTGAGCTGTTCTCCTTTTAATTTGTTCTGCCTGAGTAGGAGAGAAACTCCGTGACCTATTTTGCTTGTTTTTCTGATTTCATTGTTCTTTGCGTGCTTCTTCGTTTCTGTTGTCTTTGCTCCATCGTTTGCCTATGTTTTTGAGGTGTTCGTCATGTCGGGCGTGTGACCCCAACCAACCCGCTTCGTGAACCTCGCGCGCCGTTTGAAGCCTCGCTTCCAAACGCTCTTCTGACCGACCCCTGGCTCGCAATCCAAACTTTGCCGTTGTGCTGCTCGCAAGGCTAAATGCCCTGGATTAGCCGAAGGATTTGAGCCATGGGGGGCCTTCTAAGGGAGCATAGGGCACCGGGATTCGGTGGAATTTGGAATCTGCCCACTTTGACGCTTAGAACAAAGCAAAAAAGGCCCGACTCAACAGGACGTATAGAACAACGCAAAACGCAAGTTTTAAAACTTCCTCCTCCGCCGGTCTTTGGGTCGGTCGCCCGCTTCTCCCACCCTCCGCCGGTCCTTGGGTCGGTCGCCCTGTTTTTGCAGGATCCGCGTTGGTTCTCGGGGTGCCGGTTGCCCCGGGGGGTCCTTGGGTCCCCCTCCCGTGGGCCTTTATGCAAGCACATGGGGACAGATTCTAAATTCATCTAGGTTTTTCTAGTTGGGGGGGCTGCCCTGCTTGGTCCCTTCCTGGGACCCTGCAGGGGCCCCACAAAACTGATACGGAGTTACAGGTAAACTTAACAAATTTGTATTTTTCTTTCCTCGCTCACTTGCCCGCAGCCGCCTCAAGGGTCAGGAATCCTATCAGAGTGCCCAGCCTAGGTATGCACAGTAGGACACTCTGAGGCTGTACAGTCTGTACATGAACGAAGCCATGCCGCCAAACACCCACACCACCCGAACCCCACATCACCCCAACCACCCACATGACCCGAACCACCAAGACCGCCCCAAGCCACCCGCCCCCTGAGCCACCCACGCTGACGAGCCGCCATCCGCACCGCCCGCCACCAGTGTGAAGGCCCCCCCCTCTCCCAAAAGGCTGCGAACTAGCCCTAAACCCTAAACCCTCATAGCGTCATCCCTGCAAAGGGCGCCCAAATCCTCCAACTACCCCAAGCTGCCCAAGCCGAAGCCACCCAAGAAACTCCCTAAGCCCTGAGGCACCCTAAAATGGCGGGGGGTGGGGTCGGCGGCACTGGCGGTAGCCATTAAATCGGGCAGCGCGAGGTCCCCAAAGGACCGAGCAAATGCGGACCTTTTAGCCCGGGTCGTCCCGGGAATAGCCTTGCTGGCCTCTGGCCTTCTGCGAAGCAGAATTAGGCCGGACGCCAGTGCCGCCGACCCCCGCGTGCCGCCGGTGAACGGTTTTTTTTTCGTGGTTTTTTGCGTCGCCACGGAGGCCCCCAGAGGGCGCGCATCATGAGCATCAGCGGGTCCAGCCCGGGACCCCCAGGCGCGCATCAGGAGCATCAGCGGCTCCCGGGGCGGGACCCCGGGGGCGCATCAGGAGCATGATGCCCCCCAAAGGGCGGGCATAAGCGACGTGTCTAAGCCCGCGGCTAGGAAAAAGGGAGTTTAGGGGCCTTATAAAGTGCTTAGAAACTTTAAGGGAGTCTAGGAGCCTCAAACGCTTAGAGATTTGAAGGGAGTTTAGGGGCCTGAACATGCTTAGAAACTTTAAGGGGGTTGAGGAGCCTCAAACGCTTAGAGATTTTAAGGGAGTTTAGGGGCCTCAAAATGCTTAGAAACTGCTCGCCCCGCGCTTCTGCCTGCGCTGCCCGCCCATGGGCGCAGCCCCTTAAAATATATATATATATACACATGCATAACCCTAAACCCTAAACCCTAAACCCTAAACCCTAAACCCTAAACCCTGCTTAAAATTCAACAATTCAACTTGGTCCTACAGTAGGCCAGCCCCGGCCTGTTGATGAAGAAGGAACCCAACACGGGGTCACCACGCCGCAGGACCTCTCCCAGAGGGACCCTTTGTAGTATTATTTAGGGTTTAGGGTTTAGGGTTTATAAGGTTTAGGGTTTAGGGTTTAGGCTTTACTATGGAATTACTAGGTGCCCCTTTCAGAAGAGGACTACAAAGGGACCCTCTGGGTATGTTAGCGGTTCGTAGGGATTCGGGCAAGGGCAGGAGGCAGCGGCATTGTGCACACACCCCGCGCAAGTTTGCTTTTGTGGTTCTGCGGCGTTCTGTGCAAGTCTGGTACGGGCGGCTCGTGCAGACACTGCAGCCGCACTTTCTTGAGTTCTTGCCTCCCGGCCGTGCTGTTCGCTGCGTTCAGATCCGAGCGTGGAGGAGGATATCTCTTTGTCTTATACAACACTTCTGGCTGCATATAAAGCGCGGATGAAAACCGCGCCTGCCCATATCCTACGCCTTAAGCCTTCTTGGCGAGGCCATCAGGGAAGAGGTCAGCGATGGTCTCCGCACCCTCCGGGTCCTCCACTTCCTCCACATCCTCCACATCCTCGTCTTCGTCGCTGGGCGTTTTGAAAGGATGGTCCGGGTCAAACTTCTCGCCCGTCACGAAGGTGATGTTGTAGGCCTCGCACCATGCCTCGGAAAGAGGGCACATGCCGAGCCGTTGAACCGCAGCTCTGGCTTTAGGGTTTCGGTTTCTGGGGCTTGCTCTGTGCGTGGCTTTTCGGAAATTTGGGGTTCCTTTGGGGGGGAGCCCTTCCTTTATGATTATGTTTAGGACCCAGAAGGCTGCCTATGTACTCTGAGTCCTCTCAGAACCCGAAACCCTGTAAACCCTATAAACCCTGCAAACCCTATAAGACCTAAGCCCTAAACCCGAAACCCTAAACCTTAGGATGTTATGTTTAAAGACCTTCAAGGTTGCTGAGCTGCCCGTCTCTTAAAGGACGATGACGACGATCACTCGTACGAAGGGTTTAAGGTTTAGGGTTTCCCTCTTAACAGGGTGATTTCAGTACCTCATTTCCCTACTTCCCTAGTAAGAACCATTTTCGCAACTTTGTCCCTCAAAATGAGCCCTTAAACGGGACCCCTGATATCCCCCCTATGTACCCTTATAGACCCCACGAACATGCAACGGCCCATACTTGAGAACCCTTCTAAGAAAGTAGGGGTCATAGTGAGGGACCATGAAACATCCCCTTAGATAAGAAGGCACGGGGCCGTTTAATTTAAGGATGTAAGTCCCCCTAGAACCCTAAGTGCCCAGCACTAAACCCCAAACCCCAAACCCCAAACCCCAAACCCCAAACCCCAAACCCCAAACCCCAAACCCCAAACCCTAAACCCTAAACTAAACCTGGTAGGGATTTGCGTCCCAGGAGGCCCCATGGCAGGAGTCGCAGTGCTCCTTGGACCCGGAGCAGTACTCCTCGGGTGGGTACTCAGAGGTTTGGGCTTGGGGTTTAGGGTTTAGGGTTAGGGGTTTAGGGTTTGGGTGCCTTGCAGGTAGGGTCCAGGGTTTAGAGGCTTAGGGGTTTAGGGTTTGGGTGCCTTGCAGGTAGGGTCCAGGGTTTAGAGGCTTAGGGGCCTGGACATTGTAAAGGGGCGTTCTGTACACTGTACATGACTCATTTAAGGAGCCTGGCTGACTGTATCTGCAGCTACCGCTGCTAGGACAGATGGTAAAGTCCAATTATCTGTTATCTGGAATCGGAACTACCAGATAAACACCTTGTACCCTCGAAACCCTGAACCCTAAACCCTAAACCCTCAACTTTCAACTCTTCAACTCCCGCCCCGCGGTCCTCTGCCGATGCCACCGAGTCATGCCCGAACGCCGAGCTGCAGGGATCTGCCTTTAGGGTTTAGGGTTCGGGGTTTTTAGTGGGGTTTAGGGTTCAGGAGGGTTTAGTGCTTAGGACGGTTTAGGGTTCAGGAGGGTTTAGGGTTTAGGAGGGTTTAGGGTTTAGGGTTTAGGAGGGTTTAGGGTTTGGGGTTCAGGGTTTAGGAGGGCTTAGGGCATATTATATAAACTCTTGCCTTGTCTTTGAAGGCCTTGATGCACCTCTCAGCGCAGGCCGTAGGTTGAAAGGGCGCTAGGGTTTTAGGGTTTTAGGGTTTTAGGGTCCAGGGCCTAGGGTTTAGGGTTCAGGATTTAGGATTTAGGGCTCAGGGTCCAAGCGCTTAGGGCTCTCGGCCACAGTGTCTAGACCCAGGAGCAACCAAGGAATAAAAGGGTGCCCTTTGTTGCTTGAAAGGGGCTTGTAGGGGAACCCATACCCCAAAAAAAGGGAATAAGGGCCTACTCTGGGTCATAGCTGCAGGTCATAGCTGCAAGATGACTTGTAGATTGCTCAACAAGCCGCCGTCTGTGGGGGGGGGGGGGGGGGGGGGGGGGTTGTGAATCGGGCAACTCGGACCAACCCCCCCGGAAGCACGGGGGGGGGGGGAGGCGCATCCCAGAATGGGGGTACCGTTTGTGGATATTCGATCATGGGGGGGGTGATCATGTTTTAGGGATACTGAGAGACGCCCTCAACCCGAAATCGAAAAAGTCTTCTTGCCTAAGCCCGCTTATGCCCTAAACCCCTAAACCCTGAAAAAACCTGATTTTGCCCTAAACCCCAAACCCTAAAAAACCCTAAGCCCTTAAAAACACCTAAGCCCCAAACCCGAAACTTTGCCCTGAACCCGAAACCCTAAACCCTAACCCCCAAACCCTAAATCCCAAACCCTAAACTTTGCCCTAAACCCCAAGTCATTGAATATCAAAAAAGACACTAAACCTCAGACCCGAAAAAAAAAAAACTAAACCCCAAACCCTCACCCCCCAACCCCAAAGCCCCAAACCCTGAACCCCAAACGATGTTCTTACTTGACCCCTAAACCCTAAACCCTAAACCCTCAACCCTCAAACCCTAAACCCCAAACGATGTTCTTACTTGGCCCAAGGCACTTGGGACCAGCACACCATGAGCCCCCACACTTGCTGCAGCCGGCTGCACCTTGGGACCGGGAGGCACAGGACCCCCTAAAAAATCGGGGCTGGAGGATTTTTGGGTTGGGTTTAGGGTTTAGGGTTTAGGGTTTAGGGTTTAGGGTTTAGGGTTTAGGGTTTAGGGTTTAGGGTTTAGGGTTTAGGGTTTTGGGTTTAGGGCTTAGGGGCTTAGGGGCTTAGGGTTTAGGGCTTAGGTTTTAGGGTTTAGGGTCTAGGGTAAGTTTGCCACTTTGTGTTGTTCTCAGTTTGCTTTTCTTGGGGGGGTGAGAGGGAGCAGGGGAGGGGTTTACAGGGTTTCTGAGCATGTGGACCACAAGCTTTTTCCAGGGTTTAGGGTTTAGGGTTTCGTTCGACATAGCCATACAATCATGTTATCATATAGCCAAAAACTCATAGAACCATGTAATATGTCATAGAATCATAAAGTACCATAATCGTACAATCATATGACCACATAGAACCATAAAAGTACAGCAACCACACAATCACAAAATGATCATCCCAAACCCTAAACCCTAAACCCTAAACCCTAAACCCTAAACCCTAAACCCTAAACCCTAAACCCTAAACCCTAAACCCTAAACCCTAAACCCTAGCGCAGTTTACATAAGAAACTTCGAGCCCAGGGAGCTTGCGCACGCGGCGTCCTGCGAGACGTCCGCGCAGGCTCCGCACACGTTCCTCGGATGGCCCTTGAAATTCTCTTTGGGGGTTTAGGGTTTAGGGTTTAGGGTGTAGGGTTTGGGGTTTAGGGTTTAGGGTTGAGCGTTTAGGGTTTAGGGTTTAGCAATAAGGGAACACACAAAACTATCCCAATGGCCCTACCCAGGTTCTGAGCGAAGGCATCGCCGCGGTAGCAGCAGAAGCCCTGAGCGCTCGATGCGGCATTGACCGTCTGGACCTTCTCCGACTCTTCGGCTTTTACCGCAGGCTTCGTAACACCCCGCTTGCACCACTCTCCATTGCAGGATGCACAGTTCTTGGCTGTTTTCCCGCAGAAAGTGTCACTCTTGGCCTTAGTTGCTAAGTTCAGAAGCCGCCCCAAAGTGTACACTTTTTAGTTCTATAGGGGATTCTGGTATCCCAAAGATGTGTAAAGTGTACTCACTCAGCTACTAAGTGGCAGTCCCTGTCTCAAAGGCCGTTCCACACTTGTCGTTCGGATCTGCCGCTCCCATGACGCACTTGGGCTCGCACCACGAGCCACCGCAAGAGGCACAGGAACTCTTCCGGGAGCAGGAATTCCTAGACCCAAGAGGAACCTAGGAATAAAAAGGGTAGCCTTTTTGGGTTTAGAGGTGTGTATAAGGGAACCTAGACCCCAAAAAAAGGAGATAAGGCCCTGCTCTGGGTCCTAGATTCTTGTAGGAAGCGATGGAGGACTCGAAGCACGTGCCGCACACATTGCTGGGATCGTCTCCCGAGAAGCAGCAGAGTCCGCCCTGCTTCTCTTCCCAGGCCTCCTGCGTCATGTTCCCCCAACCGTCGTCCGGTGCTTCCTGGTCGTCCTTCTTGGTAGCCCAGCAACCATATTAAAAAACAAGGGCACCCCTTTTTCGGGTTGGTTACTTTTGAAAGGGGAACCTTGAAACCCTAAACCTTAAACCCTAAACCCTACACACAGCCTTGTGGACAGCAACCGACGCCAAGGTCTGTTCACCCCTCAGCTGGCGCAGCGACAGGGAGCACTCAGACTCTTCGCAGTCTTCCGGGAGGCTTGCCTATGCTGAACTTGGGGAACCTTGGCAACAACTACAATTACAGCTGTTTGTTAGGAAATAGAGTAACCGAAATTACAAGTTTAGCTGTTTCTTATAGGAATGGTAGTACCCAAGAAATGCAAAGTGATTCCCAAGTCTTCCGAAGATTGCGAGCTCAGACCAGGCCGGAGCCAGCAAGGCGATGAATCCGACCAAGGCCCGCGCCATGAGTAAAAAACGCTGTGAGAGAGCCTTAGTTGCCGAGTTCTTCGGCCCCCAAAAAAAGTGCACACCTTCAGTTCTACAGGGGAATTGTAGTACCCCAAGAAGGTGTAAAGTGTACTCACTCAGCTACTAAGGAGCAAAAAGCAAAAGCAAGAGAGCCAAGAGTCGGTGAGCACTTGTTACTCACGCCAGGACCCTTGAGCCAAGGCCCGGAATGATACACTCAGGCCTGCAGGGTTTAGGGTTTAGGGTTTAGGGTTTAGGGTTTAGGGTTTAGGGTTTAGGGTTTAGGGTTTAGGGTTTAGGGTTTAGGGTTGCCCAACACCACCCCCTCTATCCCCGCGCGCCCCAACCCCCCCCACGATGCGGCCTTGAGACTCTGGGATCTGAGACTCATTCAACGTACCCCTTGGGCATGCGGCATACCCTTAACTAGGTTGCTCAGTAACCTAGGATGAAAAAGGGCGCCCTTTTCTGCTTAAAGGGGTTGATAAAGGAACCTAAACCTACCAAAAAGGGAATAAGGGCACAACTGGGCATCCTAGTTAACAGAATTTCGGGTATGGAAAAACTCTTCGTTATATTCTCCGTACAAAGGGTTGTAGAAACTGTCTCAAGGGCTTACCAAGAAGATACTCTACCCAATGCGTCCATTGGACAGTACTATTATGGAAGTACGTACCCAAAATGGGGGTTCCTGAACATGGGGGTAGCTTAGTGGGGTCCTTATTGTAAGGGAATCCTACTATTTGGGTGTCTATATTCGTGTTTTTCGTAAACTCAAAAAAGGGCTTTGGGCACCTAATTCCATAACGGTACCACAAATGGACCCTCTGGGTACTCTTGGATCCCCCTGTCCTAACAGTCCTTAATAGGGAGAAATGTACCCCCTACTATGATCCCTATACTTGGAGGTTCATGGTGCTTACTAAACAATTATAACCGTAATTACTTATAACCCACTTACTAGCCCCCTAAGTGCCCAATATGGCTATAAGTACAGTTGACAGTACAGTTACAAATGGTTAACAAGACCCGAAACCCTAAACCCTAAACCCTAAACCCTAAACCCTAAACCCTCAACCCCAAACCGAAGCATCTGCAGAGGCGTTGGCCGGAGTGTCGGGCATCCCTGGGTGCAGGACCGCCTGGCACAAGCGCAGCCGCAGTTTAGGGGGGGAAGGGTTTAGGGTTTAGGGTTTAGGGTTTAGGGTTTAGGGTTTAGGGTTTAGGGTTTAGGGTTTAGGGTTTAGGGTTTAGGGTTTAGGGTTTAGGGTTTAGGGTTTAGGGTTTAGGGTTTAGGGTTTAGGGTTTAAATTTAGGGTTTAGGGTTTAAATTTAGGGTTTAGGGTTTACAGGGTTTAGAGGGATTGGGGTTTAGGGTGCAGGCAAGGGACCTCAGGGACGATGTGAACCCTACAAGGTGCTCAGCATCCACAGAGTTCAACAAAAAATGCTCGCGCCTAAGGCCTTCTTGGGAATTGGGTTCCAGCCGCATCCGAGACCCCATGGAAGACTCATTCATGCCCCTTCAAGACCCACTTGGCGACTCATCGCAGGCCGGGCCCACGTGTAGGCGGGACCCGTCGCCGGTTGGAGACAGGTCTGGCAAGGCGTAGGCAACGGTGCCGGGAAAACGAAGACTTGTGACCATGAGCCACCCAGTTCTGGGAAAGAATGGTCCTTTCTTGGGCGCAGTACCTTTGGGATGTTCCCCCTTCTACTAACAGACCTTAGTAGGGATTATAGACCCCCTACTGTAATCCCTAGAAGGGACTGTTGGTATCGTTAAGGGGGAACATCCCAAGCAGTACCCTAAATGAGGGCTCGGAATGACATGTGCAGCACCGGGTACGAATCAAAACAAAACCAAAAGAGACCCATCAGCCTCGGAAAACAATGTGGCCAAGGAGGGTCATCTCGACCTGGGTTTAGGGTTTAGGGTTTAGGGTTTAGGGTTTAGGGTTTAGGGTTTAGGGTTTAGGGGAGCAAGGCAGATCGACCCGCTTGCAGGGCAACATGCATGAGACGAAGCTCACTTGAGTAGGGTGCCCCTGCAATGTCTTTCCAGAAGAGATGTGAGTCCGCTTTACAACAGCCTTTCAGAAAGGACCTGCGTACTTTTATGCATGCACATAGGATCAATGATATACACATGCTCATACATACATATATATGTACATGTATATACTTCAGGCAATGCTCCTTGCACACACAGACTCTTCTGCTGCTTTTCCGAATCCCAAATGCACAGTTCTTATGATCTCAAGATCGACCACGACAGCCGCGCACCTGCCTTGTGTGACGTGGTGGTTTGCGGGTTGTAGGGTTTAGGCTACATAACGCTGTAGTACCTCAACACCTAAACCCTACCGGTAAACCCTAGCCCACTAAAACCCACATACCCGAAACCCGAACCCACTAAAATCCTAAATCCCCAAGAAAGACTGTGCAAGGCACCTTGACGCCTCGCTGGGTCTTGTTTCCCAAGTCGAGGTCCTTCTCCGTCATCTCGTCCTCGCCCGTGCCGGAAGAGTCAGAGCTGCGGTTTAGGGTTTAGGGTTTAGGGCCTTTAGGGTTTAGGGTTGAATTCACATGCTGAAGAGTAGATTTGTGATATTGCATACGCTGCACAGTGACTCCAGATCGGGTCTAGAGCACATCTTGGAAGAGGTTCCTGGCATTGCTGCAAGAAAATGCAATGAACCCTAAACCCTGAACCCTAAACCCTAAATCCTAAACCCTAGGTCTAGGATCAAGTGCCACACATCTACGGCGTCTGGTAGGCGAAGCTCCCGCAGGCATCTCCCTCTGACTTTCTCACATAGCCAGCGAATGGAAGGTTAAACTTTGATTTTTAATGGTCCAACAAGACATGTATGGAAACCCAAACATAAGATTTCAAGTGTTGGCTAGGTAAGTATCGGCTGCCCAAGATATCCACGCTGGAGCTCCCAGAGCCAGGCCTCCAAAATTTGGAGGCGCTCCTCCTCAATATAGTACCTGCCGGTTAGCCCCGTGGCTTGGGTTTTAGAATGGTTTAGGGGTGTGGAACTTTTGGAACATTGGGTTGCTTGAGGCACACCCCCCCCGCCCCACCCCCCCAATCTCGCGACGTACCCTTGCCACACAGGAGTCACCATGTTGAAACATTGACACAGCTAGAAGGGAGCAACCTTAAACCCACAAAAAAGGCAACTCCCCAAGAAAACAACGCGGGTTTGGTTTATAGTGTATAGGGTGTTTACCTGAAGCCTAAACCCTTAAACCCTATATAACCCCTAAACCCATAAACCCGAAACCTTACATATAGGTTTTGGCGTCAGCAAGACAAAGAATTGCAGGCCCTCTGCCTACAAGGCCGGAGGAGGCAATGCTTGCCCAGTCTAAGTGCCCAGTCCAAGTGTGTAGGGTTTAGGGTTTGGGGTGTAGGGTTTGGGGTTTAGACATGCAGAAGGAGAACAGTACGGATGCAGCTCCTTTAGATCCCTGTGGCCACGGAGAACGGAAGCCACAAACCCATCTCAGTGTAATGCTCTGATGCATGCCGAATCCCCATACCTGCGTTGCAAGCCTGTACAAAAGGGACACCCTCTCGGTAGCCCAGCAACCATACTATCATAAGGGCACCCTTTTTTGGGGTTGGTTGCTTTATAAGGGAACCTTGAACCAACAAAAGGGAAAAGGGCACCACCGGGCTACGCAGAAATTCCTGAAACAAACAGTCGCCTACTTCGGGATCATTTTTCCTCTGGGCAGGCGCGCCGGCGCGAGGATTTTGCATCCTCTCGCCCGTAAACACAAGTGCCCTGATGCCTGGCTGCCTGTACAGACTAGCAGCCATAGGAGGTATGCCGTCGGCCCTCCGTAGCCCCCTAAACCCTAAACCCTAAACCCTAAACCCTAAACCCTAAACCCTATTCCCCGAATTCTCGATTTTTGAAGCTCGGACAGCATACCCACTGAGAATTCCGGGCAAAGACATCACTCGCTGTCGCTGATCTCCTGGCAAGCCAGGGCGCGGACCCAGCTTGGGCCAATTTCCTCGTTTAGGGTTTAGGGTTTTGCTTAAGAACCACAAACGAAATGCTTAAGACCCCCCAACAATAAGATAATATTCTTCCTTGTGAGGGAAATCTAGGGATTTTTGTTTTCTTATAACTTTTTTTTGGGGGGGTTTCTTGAGCAAATAGTAGCAAACCCCAACTTCTCCGCCGTAGATCCTGCTCCCCTGAAAGCCAGTAGACGCGCAACCTAAACCCTAAACCCTACAAGCCCTGTATGCCCTCATCCCACGGTCCGTTCCCTTTCCCAACATGGTGGTGCCCTTTCGGGCCCTCAGTATATTAAAGGGACGACCATCTACCTCGAAAATTTGTTCAAGGTTTATAGGGTGTCTGGTTTCATGGTTTCCCAAAAACCTAAAATTTTAAAACCCCCCCCCCCCCCCCCCCCAAACCCTAAACCCTAAGCCCTAAACCCCAAACCTCAAGCCCTAAGCCCTAAACCTTAAGCCCTAGGGTTTCTAGGTACCTGTACCCCAAACCTCAAGCCCTAAGCCCTAAAACCCTAAGCCCTAGGGTTTCTAGGTACCTGTCATGGCAAGGGGCGAAGGCAGCCAGGACCTCGGGGGCTCGCGGCGGCGGTCTTGATCGCTTGAAACCTGGGACCCAGATGTATCGGCCCTGTATCTTGAGCCCCTTGATACACAAGAAGCCTTATATATATTCCAAGGAGAATACAAAAAGATTCCAAGGGAAATACGAAACATAATGGAACACGTAATTGTATATCAAATAAAACATCAATGCACCATGAGGCAGCACAATACGAAAGCAAGCTCAGGACATCTTTTTCACCAGGCGTGTCAATCAGGGCATCTTGTCTTGGGCGATTTTCGCACGCAAGCTCGAAGCAAACTTGTAAAGCATGTCTGTAGGATGCCACATGATGGCATGTGCTTTCTTATCGCGAACTAGCTTCGCAATCTCGCTCGGCTCATACACAGTAGTATTAATGACTGCCCTAACGCCTGCGCCTGAGCTTTGAAGCAGCTCCTTCAAAATCTGCCGGCCGACATGCTTTCCATCAAGCGTGAGACTCATGAAGTTCACCACGTCCTTGACGGCCATCTCTTGGAAACGCGTCTGGATGTCGCTCAGACTATCTCCCTTCCTCAGAGTTTGGATGAAATCGAAAGCGAGTCCAAAGCGAAAGTAAGAAACATGACCGCACAACTACAAGTGTTCAGAGAAGGCACTTCAGATCATTGCATGCATCCACCAAATCACCAGCGCGGAGGCCGCCTGATTGGAAGGCTACGCTTACGCAACAAAGCGATGCACGGAAAAAAACAGCGTGACAGCAACCTGAAGCATTCCATGCCAAGGCACACTTGTCAATGATTTCTGCGGCGTCCGACTCGTGGCCGTGCTTCTCGAGCATGTCTGTCGCGTCTCCCTGGGTCATGTCGCTGCGGCCGCCGGCATCAAACGCCTGAGCCGAGGCAGCAGACGAGGCGACCACCACAGCCTCACATGCACTAATTAAGACAAGGATAAGCCGGACTCAACCACCAAACAGAATTGCTTCCATGGACTGACTATAATGCGCAGGGACGTGTGCCGGTGCATTGTAGCTCGAATCACTCGACATGTCCTTCGCCGTGGTGGAGACCAAGTCCATATCTCAGGGGAGCTGCTCGCAAACACTGCCTCCCAGTCAACAAGTGCACACAGGCCTCCTTTGGCGCTTCGAGGAATGTCCAGAAGCAGGATGGGATATTGGGTCAGGTTGTTTGCATACTTCTTCTTCTGCAGCTTGGCGCGGACACGACGAAGCACCTCACGAAACATGTTGGAGTCCTTCACGCCAAGCTCCTGGTACAGGACGGGCTTCCAATCTTCCACCTCGACCGTGAAGCCCCACACCCCGCGCACACCGCGTAAGGCCTCTTGCACGGCCACTGTCTTCCCGGATTTGTAGCGGCCACTCACGATGGTCGCGTCGGACTTCTGCCTCCAGCTCTGCAGCCTGTCTTTGATGTCATCTACAACCTTCCGTCCGACCACCTCGTTTGGAGACATGGCAGGCTCATAGCGCGCCATGAACTTCTTTACTGCCAATCGCTTCATGCGAAAGTCCGAGGAGGCATACGACACCACAAAGCCTGCAGCAGACACCACAAAGCCTGCAAGAGCCAGGGAAAAGTCTCGTATGTCGCGAATGTCAACTGTCTTGTTGGACTGAGCATGCATTGCCCATTGTATCACAGCTCGAAGCTGCGGCAACGCTTTCAGTTGGATCGGTGGTGCGCTGAGCCGCCTCCCGCAACTCACTGGCATTGCCTTGCTCGCCACTGTTTTGACAAGAATTTTGAACAAGCAGCTCTAAGAATCATGATTCAATCAAAGCGGCAGCACTGCTTCCAATGAACTGCAGGTTTCCTCCACCGTGATTCGCTGTGCCACTGACTGTGGATGCCTTTTGCGGAAAAGGCGGCTACAAGCAAGCACACACACACACACAAAGCTTCTGAAACTCCCCGGCCTGTGGCAACAGGATGAAGTCTGTCGGCGCCAAGCAGAAACAAGCTGCTGCACAAATCACGCAAAACAATGACAAACTTCCTTTGCGGCGTCGCATGGCCATCGCTGCAGGGCAGGAGATGCACAAAACATCAGAAGTTGTCCGTGCGTTGGGATTAGAAGATAATACCCCAACTTCTTAAACGTGGCAACCCCCATGGAAAGAGGTGAATGTCAACAAAGCCTGTGTCCAACACTTTCTGAAAACATCATGCGACAAAGACATTCCAACTGCATTCGCCCACAAGCCCTATCAGCCCCGGCATTTTGAACGAACAGCCAACTACCATACTATGCCCCAAAAAATGAATAAACCTAACCTTGCCCGTTTCGGGATGTGATATCACCTGATAAATAGGATGATTTTCTATATGGGAATGTGTTTTAGGGATTATTGAGCACTAGTTGGTTGACGGTGATGTAATAACCCAAACTGGGCGACCCCATTACCTTGTCCATTTTGGATAATTGCACCTTATTTTCTATATAGTAAAGTGTTTTAGGATATTATGGCTATGATTTTGGCCGTGGTGGTGCAATTACCCAAACTGGGCAAGGCCTACCCTGACTCTTTTGCGCTTACTTGCGACTCAAGACGGGTCGCAATCGGAAAGAGTTGGCTGGCCAGGCGGTGGTCGCTTTCTGGCGGGGGACGTGGCGCCTTTCACAGCCGTCTGAAAGAAATAAGGAATGTCCCCGGGGGGGGGGGCCAAGGGGGGAGCTTGACTCTTACAATCTCAGGGACTCGGGATTTCGTCACTCTAGGGCATGAAGATAACTAGGAGCTCTTCTTGCGCAACTATGGTTTAGGGTTTAGGGTTTAGGGTTTAGGGTTTAGGGTTTAGGGTTTAGGGTTTAGGGTTTATAGCTGTCGCAGCGTCGGCACATCATTGCACGAAGCGGTCCAATCGGGACGCGAGCTTCAGAGTGAGCGAGAGTGTCCTAAGGTGGCCTGTCCAGAAGCCTCTCAAGGGGCTTAGGCTTTAGTAAACCCTAAACCCTAAACCCTAAACCCTAAACCCTAAACCCTAAACCCTAAACCCTAAACCCTAAACCCTAAACCCTAAACCCTTCTCTTGCCGGGAACGAGTTGCTACCATTGAAACCCTCGGACAAGGCCTGACTGCATGCTGCTGGCGGTCAAGGTGAGCTTGCCAATTGGCACCTTCCAGGCTGCGGACCTCCTCCTTCACGACCCTAAACCCTAAACCCTAAACCCTAGACCCTAAACACTAAAGCCTAAACCCTACAGTATAGTAATTTAGGGTTTAAGGTTTAGGGGGGTCTCTGGTGGCCTAAGAGGCTACTGAATTCTAAGCTGCCTGTCCGCGATCTCTGCTGAGGGTCATAGTGGGCTCACCGTAGCTACCCAAAATGGAGCATGCTATAGCGCCAAGTAAAAGCGACCCCTCATCGGGGCCCACCCTAAACCTAAACCCTAAACCCAAATACCCTAAACTGTGAACCCTGAACCCTGAACCCTGAACCCTGAACCCTGAACCCTGAACCCTAAACACTAAACCCTGAACCCTAAACCCTAAACCCTAAACCCTAAACCCTAAACCCTAAACCCTAACCCTAAACCCTGAACCTACAGGCCAGGCCACCCCCCCCCTCCCCCACATGCACGTGACAGACGTGACGTCGCCAGCCTTGGAGGCCTGCTCAGCAGCCCAGGAACCTGAGGTGGGGTTTGGGGTTTAGGGTTTAGGGTTTCGGGTTGAGGTTTAGGGTTCAGGGTGTAGTTTAAGCTTCAGGGTTTGGGGTTTAGGCATCGGTTTCACTCACTTCAGTTGTAGACCTATTTCACTTCCTGAGACAGAAAATAATTTTTGGACTCTTCCAGAATTGGACTCTTCCTGGCATAAGAAAAAACACCTGGGAACAGATAAGATCATACCACAAAAAAAAGGCAAACCCTAAACCCTAAACCCTAAACCCTAAACCCTGAACCGGCAAGCAAGAGGAAATGTTCGGGAGGATGAAGTACAGTAAAATCAGTACCAAGCTCAGTACCAACAATTCGTTTCTCCACGAAAACTACGGAATTAGAGAAGAAGCAAATTATAGCTCCTAAAGGACAGAGCAAACATGTGCTCTAAGAGAAAATATGTGCCATCGTCGAAAGGGGCGCGGCATCTCTTCCATGAGGGGGTGTGGGTGCGTGGAGCCTCCAAAGCCTCATTAGGATTTAGCGCTTTGGGTTTAGGGCTTGGGGGTTCATGGGTACTTCTAAGTAAGTTTATAACTCAGGTAGCTATGGTATACAACCTTATCTAGGGCACTTATAACCCTACTTATAAGTAGCCATGAACCTTCTAAGTAGGGCTTTGGGGCGCAGCTAACGAACGCGGGGAACAATGTGGGCCAAGAGCTGATTAGTGCGCAGCAGGCGTTCGTGAGCCCCGCGATTCGGGCACCACGCCTGCCCTCCAACACCTCGGCACTTTCATGAGGGTTTGGGGTGTATAGGGTTTAGGGTTTAGGGTTTCGGATTTCGGGTTTAGGTGGGGTCTCCGAGAATAATTGTTTAGGGCCTGGAGGGCTGTAAGGGCTTAGCTTTTTTGAGTTTGAAGACCACCGGATTTTGCCGCCTTCTACCAGAGTGTTCAGGCTCGGGGTCGTGGAGTCTGATTTGTAAGCCCTTTAGCCGTCACGATTTCAGGACCCATTGCTCAGAAGTTACGTGTCTCAGCCGCAATGTCAACATGTTAGAGCTTAGGGTCTAGGGTTCAGGGTGTCCGTACATTCCGTTTAAAGGAGGTCCTGAACATCAGCGACCCTCCGAGAACTGCAGTTCTAGAGTACCAACTGCCAGAATCTCTCTACATCTGCATGCTGAGACGGTAAGGATCCTAAGTCCTGAGCCCTTTAAGCCCTAAGCCCTAAACCCTAGGCCCTGGGCCCTAGGCCCTAAACCCTAAACCCTAAACCCTAAACCCAGCGCGGGCCTCGGGCCCATCCGTGAGGACGGCTGAAGCACCTCCGAGGGCCATGGCTCGGGTCACAGGATACTTCCCCCATTCCCCCCCCCCCTCCCCCGAAGCAGGGTTTAGGGTTTATGGGGTAGGGTTTAGGGTTTAGGGTTTAGGGTTTAGGGTTTAGGGTTTAGGGTTTAGGGTTTAGGGTTTAGGGTTTAGGGTTTAGGGTTTAGGGTTTAGGGTTTAGGGTTATAGGGTTTATGGGGTTTGTAGGGTTCATAGGGTTCATAGGTTTTATGGGGTATATAGGGTTTATAGGGTATATGGGGTTTATGTTAGGGTTTGTAGGGTCTAGAGGGTTGAAAGGGTTTATGGAATTTGTAGGGCTTAGAGGCGAGGGTTTAGAGGATTTATGAGGGTTCAAAAGGGGTTTATAGGGTTTGTAGGGCTTTATAGGGGTTCTGGAAGTTACAGCGTTCATAGGGTTTGGGGTTGCCCCTGAAAACCTAAACCCCACAAAACACCAAGCCCCGTGGCGGGGCCCTCTGGTTTGAAGATGCACTCGAAAAAGAGCACATGGGGGGTGGGGGGGGGTGGGGGCTTGGGGTACAGGGAACATTTCATTACTTGAACCCATGTAGTCCCTTTTCCTAACTCACCAAGATACAAGTTGTTGCATCGGACATGGGTCTCTCTTCTTCCTCAACAAGATCAGCTACCCAAAATTCGGCGCCCAGTGCCCGTTTCAATTCATTAGGTCCGTACTTGGAGGTTCATGGTACTTATTAAGCGACTATAGCTGTACTTCTGACCCACTTCCAAGCCCATAAGTGCCCGAAGATGGTCCAAAGTACAATTATAGGTACAGTTCTCCCTAAGCCCTAAACCCTATCAGTACAGCTATAGTTATTTCATAACTACCCTGAACCCTAAACCCTAAACCCTAAACCCTAAACCCTAAACCCTAAACCCTAAACCCTAAACCCTAAACCCTAAACCCTGAACCTCCAAGTCGGTTTTAGAGGCGCCTGAGAGGGTCAGGAACTCCGTGCCATACACCGGGTGCTTGTAGGCAGCCGGTCTGGGAGCCGCCTCGTCTCTGCATAGCCCTAAACCCTAAACCCTAAACCCTAAACCCTAAACCCTAAACCCTAAACCCTAAACCCTAACCCTAAACCCCAAACCCCAAACCCTAAAACCTAACCCTAAACCCCAAATCCTGAGCCCTAAACCCACCTGGGGCGCGTGGGCACACATCTGGTTCGTTCCCAGGTCGATTTGCAGATCCGCCTTGCCATCCGAGGAATCCAAGCCTTCCCGACGCGGGGCTTAGGGCTTCGGGTTTAGGGTCTAGGGTTTAGGGCTTAGGGTTTTAGGGCTTAGGGTTTTAGGGTTCAGGGTTTCGGGCGAGGGTTTAGGGCTTAGGGTTAAGGGTTTAGGGCTGAGGGTTAAGGGTTTAGGGCTTAGGGTCTCATGAGATCCCCCCAAAAAAAGGCCTCCCCGTGTTGGGATCTCCCATGATATTGCTACGGAGCCTTCTAGCTTTTTGTACCACAGAAGTTGCCGGAATTCAGGAAAAAGCCCCCAAGTTTGCTTCTCGTGCTGAAGGTTTGGCGAACCCTGCAACCACCTACACCCTAAGCCACGCCAAGCCCTAAACAACAAACCCTACACCCTAAACCCTAAACCCTAAACTCTGTCCACCACCTGCAACCCCCAAGTACCCCAATCATAAGGGAAGGCCAAAAAGGTGCCTCGGTGGGGTTAGAGTTTAGGGTTTAGGGTTTAGGGGGCATCTTAAGAGGTAATTACTTGGGGCGGAGGGGAGCTGCGGCACTCCAGCTCCTCATGGCGCAAGTTGATTCGCATAAATATGGGCCTTCCGCTACTTGAACCCTAAACCCTAAACCCGAAACCCTAAACCGGGGAGGGTCTAGGGAACCCGAAACCCCCGGAACCCCGACATCCCACCCCTAAATGCCCTAAACCCTAAACCCTAAACCCTAAACCCTAAACCCTGCTTGGAGGTTCATGGTGCTTATTCAACCAGTCGTACTGCGCGTATTACCCACCTAGAAGCCCCTCAAGTGCCCTTATCTGGTGATAAGCACAGTTTCAAGTGCAGTTCCCCTAAACCCTAAACCCTAAACCCTAAACCCTAAACCCTAAACCCTAAACCCTAAACCCTAAACCCTAAACCCTAAACCCTAAACCCTAACCTCCAAACTCTAAACCCTGGCTTATTAAGCACCATGAACCTCCAAGTTAATCCCCAAACCCATGAAGGGCCTCGGAAGGCAGCCGAGGGGAAAAGCCCAGTGCGGCTGCAGCTGCGGCCGTCCGTACTGCCGGGACCGGGCCTGCGTCGGTAGGGTTTAGGGTTTAGGGTTTAGGGTTTAGGGTTTAGGGTTTAGGGTTTAGGGTTTAGGGTTTAGGGCTTAGGGTTTAGGGTTTAGGGTTTAGGGCTTAGGGTTTAGGGTTTGCGTGGTAGGGGTCTGGTATACAGGGCTTATAATCTCAGGGGTCTGTACCCCTTATGCAACGCAACATATCGCAAAGCTTGCTTCTAGGCAGCGCAAACCCAACATTTCGGAAACTCCCATATAGGGTCTCCCTATTTGTTTGTCCCCGTACCCCGTAACTGTCCAGAGCAAGTTCCCCCCCCCCCGCCCGACTCCCTACACGGACACCTCTGAAACTAGGTTTGGCAAAAACCCTAAACCCTAAACCCTAAACCCTAAACCCTAAACCCTAAACCCTAAACCCCAACTTAGCCAGGGAGCTCTTTCCTCCAGCCGGGGCCCTGATAGCTCACCGTCAGCTTGCTCGGCAGCTGGCCATGCCTCAGCTTCCCTGAGCCCTAATCCCAGGTAGGGTTTAGGGTTTAGGGTTTAGGGTTTAGGGTTTAGGGTCTAGGGTCTAGGGTCTAGGGTCTCGGGTCTAGGGTCTAGGGTTTCGGCTTAGGGCCTAGGGTTTCAACCCTACACCCTGAACCCTAACCCAACCCCCACCCCCCCCCCCCCCATGAATCCGGTAAGAGCGCTCCAGGAACTCATGCACGACCCGCTCCTCCGCCAGGGAGCTTCTTCGATCTGCTTGCGGTTCAAGGTTCAGAGGGTTTACGTTTCAGAGTTTAAGGGCTCAACCCTAAGCCCTTAATGTTCAGGGTGAGGAGTTTAGGGTTCATGGCTCAGGGGTTGTGGGCTGCCTCCCTAAACCCTAAACCTCTGAAACCTAAACCCTAAGCCCTGAACCCTAAACCCTAAACCCTAAACCCTAAACGGGGGGCATCCCCGCCATCCTCCCCGGGTCTCCTCCAGATCCAGGATCAAGGCCAACAGCAGCCATCTCACTCTCGTCAGGTTCGTGACACCCTGCGTGAGTGGGGCCCTGATGACCATATAACCCTTGTATATAAAAAGACATATGTACGTAACCCTCTCTGATGGAACCCGAGAAGCCCTGAAACCAAATGGCCGTACAACCCTACAACCCCTAGATGCCTTTGGCTTGGACAGCCTCTTCTCTTGGGCGGTGACCCTCTCTTAAGAAAACGAACTCCGGTATGTAAGTTAAAGGTGCACTCCCTGACTTCATGGAACCAGCCAATTGGGTAGTTCTCTCTACGTCTGGGCCCCTATTTGGGTCCAAAGAAATAAATAACTATATATGTATGTATGTATGTATGTATGTATGTATGTATGTATGTATGTATGTATGTATGTATGTATGTATATATGAATGCATAGTACGGCATCTTTCGAGTAAGAACCACTCCTGAACCCAAAGCCCCAGAAGCCGAATATGAGATGTCGGGACATTTCGGGCCCCTCCGGGCCTTCTCCAGCTGAGGCTCGAAGACCCAGCCGTCCCCGACAGAGACGCTCTGTGTCGAGGAGCCTGCAGACAAACCCCTAAACCCTAAACCCTAAACCCTAAACCCTAAACCCTAAACCCTACGTGATTTGGGGAAACCGGCTCCGACTTCGGAGGGCGGCGCAGAAAGGTGTAAACCGAAGAGGAGCACATGCCCTGCAAATGCTATCAACCCTGTTGTAGGGTTTAGGGTTTAGGGTTTAGGGTTTAGGGTTTAGGGTTTAGGGTTTAGGGTTTAGGGTTTAACCCTGTGACCCTATAAAACCCCTCCCTAAACGTTACGGTTCAGGGCCTACCATAAAGCCTAAATCCTAAATCCTAAACCCTTCAACATTCCCAAGAGGAATGGAGCCCGCGCAGGCGAGGAGCTTCGCTTCATTGCCAGCTCGTCCAAGCACCCATCCGTCAGCCACGAAGTCACCTGATTGGAGGCTCATGGTACTTATTAGCCCCAAAACCCTAAACCCTAAACCCTAAACCCTAAACCCTAAACCCTAAACCCTAAACCCTAAACCCAACCCTGCTAAGCCATAAAAAAAACCCTTAACAAACCCCGGATTAAAACCCATAACGAACCCATGTTACCCCTTCCTAAACCCTCAGTACATCCCTCAGCAAACCCTTAATATACCCCTAAACCCTACACCCTAAAACCTACGGTCCGAGGTACCACCAGGCTCTTCTTCGGGTCTGCGGCCCTCACCGGCGTGGCATCCTCAGGGTAGGGTTTAGGGTTTAGGGTTTAGGGTTTAGGGTTTAGGGTTTAGGGTTTAGGGTTTAGGGTTTAGGGTTTAGGGTTTAGGGTTTAGGGTTTAGGGTTTAGGGTTTAGGGTTTAGGGTTTAGGGTTTTGGGTTTTGGGTTTTAGGGTTAGGGGGTTTTTGAGGGTTTGAGGGTTGAGGGTTGAGGGTTGAGGGTTGAGGGTTGAGGGTTGAGGGTTGAGGGTTGAGGGTTGAGGGTTGAGGGTTGAGGGTTGAGGGTTGAGGGTTGAGGGTTGAGGGTTGAGGGTTGAGGGTTGAGGGTTGAGGGTTGAGGGTTGAGGGTTATGGTTGAGGGTGTAGGGTTTTGGCTTTAGGGTTTAGGGGTTTAGGGCTTATAAGGTGAAGGGTTGATAGGATTGAGGGTTTAGGGCTTGAGGGTTTAGGGCTTGTTAGGACTTAAAGGGTTTAGGGTCTTTGTTGAGGGTGGTTTTGTCTAGGGCTTGTCGCCCCCAACTTTGCATTGCCATGTAGGATGTCAGGTTTGGAATTCTGGGCACTCCGGAACTCACATTCAGTCACAAGGTACTAGATCTCGTGCCATCAAACCCTGGTCTCGTAAGTTGATTTAATTTCCCCAGCAGGGAACCCAGGATTTGGGGTTTTGGGGGAAGCCTGCACCTAGAACCTGAATTATAACTGTATTGATAAGCACTGACCCTCAGTCCTCTTAGCAGGTTATAGGTAGACTTATAGTTGGGGTTATGAGTACCCATGGACCTGCAAGCATCTATAGGTGGCCGTAAACCGTGAACCCCTTTAGTTTAGGGTTTAGGGTTTAGGGTTTAGGGTTTAGGGTTTAGGGTTTCGGGTTTAGGGCTAAGGGCCTTAAGGAGGTGCCTGGCCGCGACAGTTCGCCACCAGGCGCTCGGCGACCTCCGCGGACACGCCTTGGGAAACAGCGATGGATCCCTAAACCCTATAAACCCTTCTAAATCCCACTAAAACCCTGCAAGCCCTACAAAGCCTCTGAACCTATCAACCCCGTATATAAAATCCCTACAAACCCCTCGAAAACCCCTCCAAAACCCTAAACCGCGGCCCCTGCAGCGCAACCCCTGCAAAAGACCGAACTCCGAACTCCGAAACACCGAATTCAAGGCCAAAGGACTCGAAGCCCTCAGCCCTCTCAAGCCTGGACCCTAAACCCCGAAGATCTAAGGTTGGAACCATGGGACCTTGGTGTAGTCCCTTGCCTTTACAGGGATCCGAGGTGTGGGCCATTTTTTGTTAAAACTATTTGTGTTTTTGTCAAGTACTAGGATGGCTACTATTAGAATTACTGCATTATACGTAGTGTAGATTATATGAAGTAGGGTATATATTTCTTGTACCCCCCAAAAGGACACCAGGTATATACACTCACCAATATTAAAAGGGAACCTTATATACACTCACCAAAAACAGAAACATAAACCCTGCTTCATATAAGGATCACATAACATGGGACCCAAATTAAGGGCCTCATACTTCGGATCCCCTAGAAGAAGCTCTAAACCCTGTACCCAAAAACCCTAAAACCCAAAAACCCAAATAACCCGAAACCCCAAAAACCCAAAAACCCAAAACCCAAAAACCCAAAAAACCCAAAAACCCAAATAACCCGAAACCCCAAAAACCCAAAAACCCAAAACCCAAAAACCCAAAAACCCAAAAACCCAAAAACCCAAAAACCCAAAAACCCTAAACCCTAAACCCTAAACCCTAGAAGAAGCCTCAGGTCCGGACCCAGCGATGATTGGAGCTCCTGGCGCCCGAAGCTCTGCAGCTCCGCGGCATTCTGCAGGTTGAGGGCCTCTTCGGCTGCTTCTTCTAGGGTTTAGGGTTTTTAGGGTTTAGGGTTTAGGGTTTAGGGTTTAGGGTTTAGGGTTTAGGGTTTAGGGTTTAGGGTTTAGGGTTTAGGGTTTAGGGTTTAGGGTTTAGGGTTTAGGGTTTAGGGTTTAGGGTTGTGAATTTAGGGGTTTAGGGCTGTGAATTGGGATGTTTCCCCTTCTACTAACAGCTCCTTAATAGGGAGTATAATCGAGGGTACTAGAATCTCTATTGAGGAATGTGCGAAAAGGGGGAACATCCCAAGCTGTGAATTCGGGGCTTTTTAGAAGGTTCTAGGGTCTTTTAGGGCTTCTCGGGCTTCTAGACGGTACCACAAAGGACACTCACCACGAACCCTATCTCGTGGAGCTTTTTGGGGGGTTTCTAGGGTTTCGGGGTTTGTGGCCCGTGGCATTCATTGACTGGATCAGGGTTTGAAGGTTTTAGGTCCAATTGCCGCTGTGCTACTTTTTCGGCTGGCGATGCCCTTTCTACAGAGGGGCTTGTTACCTACGAACTGGCATGACTAAGGACACTGCAGGGGCTTCAAGGATTCTGGGTGTAAGGCTTGAGGTGTAAGGCGTCGGGTTGTTCGGACTTGGTGCTTCTGAGCTGAAGCTTCGGCCACAGGCTCCCTAAACAACCCTGAGCATGTACATCCTAGGCACGTGCGGAATTGGGGTTTAGAGGGCTTGCAGGTTTTTTTTTTTCATGGAGCTTGTCTAGGATTGCCCTTAAAGCCCTCGGCACAAAACATTCCTAAGCATGATCCCCTTACACCCAACAAGGGAAAATATGAAATGTCCCAAGGGCCAAATGATGATCCCTTTTGGGGTACCCTAAATATTAGGTGCCGTATTATCATAGGGTTCCCAAAAGGGACGATAATTTTGACAACCACCCAGGAAAAGTCTTTGGGGGGTTTCGGGTGCCTGCAACTGTTCACCGCGGTTGCCGCAGCCCGGTAGCCGCGTGGCCGGCGTGACGGCCAGCAGCGAGGCACCTTGGATGTTTTTGAAACGCCCAGCAACTCAGACGTCACAGGGGGTTTAGGGTTCATAGGGTTTAGGGTTTAGGGTTTAGGGTTTAGGGTTTAGGGTTTAGGGTTTAGGGTTTAGGGATTAGGGATTAGGGTTTATATAGGGTTTGTAGGGCTTAGGGTTTATAGGGTTCAGGGTTTCTGGGGTTTAGGGCATCAGAGGTGGTTTAGGGTTTCTAGGGTTTTCTAGGCGTTAGGGACAACTGCCCCTAGAATTGTTTATAGGGTTCAGGGTTTCTGGGGTGTAGGGTTTGGGGACAACTGCCCAAGGAATTTGCTCTTCCGACCATGCCTTGTCAGACACTACGACTGCCTGTGCAAACCCTGAGCCCTGTCCACCCTAAACCCTATAAACCCTGTAAACCATAAACCCTATAAACCCTACAAACCCTAAAACTTAATATGCCTAAAACCCTAAAGCCCTAAAGCCCTCAAACCTGAAAACCCCTAAACCCCTAAACCCCTGAACCCAAAACCCTAAACCCGAAACCCCAAATCCTAAAACCCTAAAACCCAAAAACCCAAAAACCCAAAACCCAAAAAAACAAAAAACCAAAAACCCAAAAACCCAAAAACCCAAAAAGCCAAAAACCCAAAAACCCAAAAACCCAAAACCCAAAAACCCTAAACCCTAAACCTAGCCCTAGACCTAAACCCCTAACCCCTAACCCCTAACCCCTAACCCCTAAACCCTAAACCCTAAACCCTAAACCCTAAACCCTAAACCCTAAACCCTAAACCCTAAACCCTAAACCCTAGCCCTAAACCCTAAACCCTAGAGAGGCGCGGGCATCGGGACCATCCACCACGAAGATGCCGTCCCCTCTCGGAGGCTTCGCGGCAACCGACCCGAGCTTCGCCAACAAGCGGTTCCTCAACTGCTCTTATAGGGTTTAGGGTTTAGGGTTTAGGGTTTAGGGCTAGGGTTTAGGGTTTAGGGTTTAGGGTTTAGGGTTTAGGGTTTAGGGTTTAGGGTTTAGGGTTTAGGGATTAGGGTTTAGGGATTAGGGCTAGGGGCTAGGTTTAGGGTTTAGGGTTTAGGGTTTAGGGTTTAGGGTTTAGGGCTAGGGTTTAGGGTTTAGGGATTAGGGTTTAGGGTTTGGGGTTTAGGGGTTTAGGGGTTTAGGGGTTTAGGGGTTTAGGGGTTTAGGGGTTTGGGGGTTTAGGGGTTTAGGGGTTTAGGGGTTCAGGGGTTTAAGGGGTTTAGGGGTTTAGGGGTTCAGGGGTTCAGGGGTTTAAGGGGTTTAAGGGGGGATAACCCGGAGGGTCCATTTCTGGAAATAAGTGCCAAAAAAAACATACTAAATACGGTTTTGGGGGCACCTAAGCTAATTCCCATACTACTACATACTAGTACTACATATGGACCCTCTGGGATCTCCCCCCCCACTAGAAACGAAAGCCCCGACTTCCTTTACGGCCGCCATAACGCGCAGCTAACGAAAGTTAACCTTAACTAGACAGCAAGCAAAAACATGTTCACTAACAGTGTAGGTTCCTAGGCACTGAACCATATTCCTGAACATGATCCTCTTAAACCCAAAAAGGGAAAGTAGATCAAATATCCCAAGGGCCTGCCTATCCTACCTAGTCAACCACTTGTAACTGTACTTATAACTGTACTTATAACCATATTGGGGGCACTTACTAGGGGCCTATAAGTGGAAGCAAAAATGTCCCGAGGGCCTGCCTAGGTTCGTTGCGATGCCGACACTGACATGCACGCCGATGGCCGTCTGGAGCTCCGCAGCCAGCTTCTCGCCGAGTCTCCTCTTAGCAAGGGTTTAGGGTTTGGGGTTTAGGGTTTAGGGGAGTTGTGAGGAGCTCGCTACCCCCGTATGGGGGGCTTACGAAAATTGGGGGCCCTTATACTAAGGACCCCCAAAAGGGTACCCCTATTTTGGGAAATCCATGTGTGGTCCCTTACTGGAAGCCCCTAGCAGCTTCGTGCCTGTAGGGCTTAGGGTCGATCAGGATAAGCCTTGTGAACCTCAGACCCCCGTCTCCTCGCCCGTTCGAAGCGATCTGGGCCCGGCGCCAGGGCGCGGGACGCGTCCAGGAAGGCCTCTGAACACAGAAGAAAACCCTCAACACCCTGAGGCTGAGGGTTGAGGGTTGAGGGTTGAGGGTTGAGGGTTGAGGGTTGAGGGTTTAAGGTTTGGGGTTTAGGGCTTAGGGTAGGCTGGAGCATCCCAAAGCCCTCCACAACGCAACCCTCAAGCCCGAAATGCCTCAAGCCCTATGCAAGCCCGAAAAGCCTAAAAGCCCCAAAAGCTCAAAAAGCCCAAAAAGGCCAAAAAAGCCTCACAGCGTCTCAGCTGCTGCCCTGGCCTCGTCGATGCTGAGCCGCTCGAGGGTGAAGTCCCCCGGCTCCTTGGTGCCAAAAAGGAAACATCATGCCACATGCCTCCATAGAGAGAGAGAGAGAGAAGAGAAGAGAGAAGAGAAGGAGAGAAGAAAGAGAGAGAGAGAGAGAAGAGAGAGAGAGAGAGCAGAGAGAGAGAGAGCAGAGAGAGAGCAGAGAGAGAGCGAGAGACAAAGAGAAGAAACGTTGCCCCTCCCCCTCCCCCTCCCCAAAAAAGAGAGTGAGAGATGTTCCGAGTATCCTGTATACTGCAAATCTCACCCATGTATCAGGGGCGGCGACCTGGAGGGGGGGGGGGGGGGGAACCCGAAACCCTAAAACCTCAACCCTAAACCTTCATGTCAACCTCCTACAAATTCCCTAGCCGCATCATACAACCAAGAGACGGTTTTTAGGGGGCTGAGGGTTCGAGAAGCTTCTTACATGGGCACCCGGAGCTCTGAAAACTAAACCGTCAACCCAAAACCCCAAACCAAACCCTAAGCCCTAAATCCTGAACCCTAAACGGCCCTAAACGAAACCCTAAACCCCCCTTAAAAAAAAGGCGCCCCTGTTGGGATCCCAGTCTCCTCTGACAGCAGCCGGTGGAGGTGTGCGAACATCTCCCTGCTGACCGTCTGGTACGGGCCATACCAGACTCGGGGGCCTCTCTGGGTGTGTCCGATGGGATTTAGGGTTTAGAGTTTAGGCGTTAGGGCCACAGGATTTTTTTCAAGGGTCCCTTTGGCTAGGGTTGAAGGAGGCTTGGGATGAGAGCATGGAGAAGAGAAACAAACCTGCAGACATGCAGAGAACCCGGAGCCTTCAACCTCGAAACCACTATACGAGGTGCTTATGGCACTGAGGGGGGGGGGGGGGGGGGTCGCTTCTTTTGTGTAAAAGGCGACCACCTCCAGGCCAACTTGCTTAGGGTTTTAAATAGGGTTTAGGGTTTAGGGTGTAGGGTTTAGGGTTCAGGGTTTAAGGGATAAGCGAAAATAGTCGGACAATCATCTTCAGGAACGTCCCCCCCAACACATGTCGCAAAAAAGACGCTGCCTGAGTGGCATGGCACCCCCTATACACCTGCAACCCCTAAACCCTAAACCCTAAACCCTAAACCCCAAAACCCCAAACCCTAAACCGCAGAGCTGCTCCGCTGGGAGCTTTCGGAGGATGACTGTCCCTAGGATGGCCCTTGGAACCCTCTAAACCCAATGGTTTAGGGTTTGGGGTTTGGGGCTTGGGGTTCAGGGTTCAGGGTTCAGGGTCTAGGGTTTAGCTAGATATAGTGTACAAAATATGTGTATATTCATTAATTAGATTCAATGGATTTTTAAACAAGAGAACACACAACATGTCCTGAGGGCCTACTCGTAACCCTGGTTGGATACATGTAGGTGGCCACCCCTCTATACAGGGGGATCCGAATGCTTTTTGGGTGTACAGTACGGACGCCTATATCTTGGACATGCGCATATGGTGCATTCTCGACATCGTGGTTTCCTTGTACATAAGATGGGGGCCGCCTTTTAATCAGATGATCACATGATCCCTCGCAAATTCGGGGCCTGGCCAGCGTCGGGAGAATGCGTGCACCATGCGCCCACCGATGCCTTCCTCGGTTATCGGGTTCACGGGGGTGCGGGGGCTTCAGGGTTTTCACCTGGCAGCCAGGGTTTTGGCTAGGGTTAACTTGTTAGGGTTTAGGGCCAATTGTACACTATGTGAGTGAGGGTGCCTGTTCCATTCCAGATCAGGTAGCGGCCCGCTAAATGTCCATTCTGACGACCAAGCAGAACATAACCCAGAGCGTCCATTTGTAGCAACACTATAATTCCATAATGGCACTGCATCATGGACCCTCTTGAGAACAAAAGAAAAGGAGGGAAACCCTAAACCCTAAACCCTAAACCCTAAACCCTAAACCCTAAAGCCCTAAACCCTAAACCATGGCCAGGCTCAACGAGAGGCTGGGCCTCGCTCGGGCGCATGTGCTTCTTGACGCCTGCCGCCTGGTGGTCGTACCGGCGTAGAGTGCTTGGCTTCGGGGATATCGGGGCATTTCAGGGGTTGGGGGCTGCTAGAACAGTATGCTTCCCTAGAGGGTCTATGTCTATGATATGGAATAGGCACTCCAAGAATTCTATTTCGTATGGATTTGGGGGCACCTTTTATTCCACAATAGTACTACAATTGGGACCTCAGGGTTCCACGTGCCAAATCCCTAAACCCTAAACCCTAAACCCTAAACCCTATATGTATTGCCAAGAGTCTTTGGCTTCTGGGCTGATGCAGATGACGTCGTTGTACTGCCACAGGACCAGCGGACCGGCGGAATGTAGAGAGGGGTCGTACCTTGGGGACCAAAGGAACCCCAAAAGAGTTTATGGTTCATAGACCTCATAATAGCAATTGTAGTGCTAGTATTCATATAACCTTAATGGGAGTTGTAGTATATAGTCTAGGGTGCCACGACCCCAATTTAACAGTTCATTTGGCCCCCAAGGTACCGCTTATGTACCGCCAGGAAGAAGCAGTCGACGTCAAGGTGCAGGATGACGGGCTCCGAATTGGGCATCGGCTTCTCCGGCCCTTTTGGGCCTTTGGTGGTTTAGGGTTTAGGGTTTAGGGTTTAGGGTTTAAGGTTTAGGGTTTAGGGTTTAAGGTTTAGGGTTTAGGTCCCTTTGGTCCCTTTGGTCCCTTTGGTCCCTTTGGGCCCTTTGGGCCCTTTGGGCCCTTTGGGCCTTCCAGCAGAGAAGGGAGGCTTGGCTGCCTTGGCTGCGTCTTCTCCAGGCCCCCGATGTGGATCCCAAATCCTCGGACTTGCAGTGGCGTGGCCCCGGTGCTCTCGCAGAGCCTCCACACTTCCGCGCAGGCGCTCTGCGCCGCGGGGCTCCCAGGGGGGCCGGGATCGGTGGAGAACCTTAGCTGTTGCTTCGTTGGGGATGAGGGAATGAGGTACCCTATATCCCCAAATACAAATCTATATATATATATATGTATACTTTAAGGGAAGTCCCCTATATATAGTCTTGATAAGGGATTACACAGTGTACCCCATCTTCCTTCCTTCCCTTACTAACCAACAGCTAAGGAACTGTGCTGAGCGCGAGAGGATGTCGCAGCCCCAGCTGCCCACACCTCCCAGGTGCGGCGCGTCCGGCCGCGCCTTCCAGACCTTCACGGTGAGAGAGCTACCCCGCCTCGGTAGCTCAGAAAGCATATTTAAAATGAGGGCACCCTTCTTGGGGTTGGCGACTTTATAAGGGAACCCAGAAACAACAAAGAAGTAGAGGGCACCCTGTTTGGGGTTGGTTATACTTCGTAAGGGAACCCAGAACCAAAAAAAGGTAAAGAGCACCCTCTTTGGGGTTGCTTATACTTCATATAAGGGACCCAGAACAACAAAAGCCAAAAGGGGGTACCGCTGGAAAAACCAAGCCGCTTCCCGTGGCGCGCCAGGCGCCGCAGCACTTCCTCGGTCAGCTCCGAGACGAAGCGTCGCAAGGCGGCCACGTCCTCGAAGCGCACGCCCCAGGCGATCTGTGCGCCCACCTTATGAGGACCAAAAGAACCTGAAACTCGGGGTTCATATCATTCTAAGTTCAAGTATGAACCCTAAACCCTTTTAGGGCGTATGATTAATGGATACGCTAGACGGCAAGCATGAACCCTGGACCCTAAACCCCAACCCCCAAACCCCAAACCCTAAACCCTAAACCCCAAACCCCAAACCCTAAACCCTTAACTAAACCCTTTCAAGGTTCCTGTCATTGGTGCCCAGGCCACGGACTTCCGCGGGGGCCTGGGATCCCAGGGCCGGTCGTCGATGCCACGGCAGCGGTGGAAGAGGGACTGCGCCTGCTTCGCATGGTTTAGGGTCTAGGGTTTAGGGTTTAGGGCTAGGGTTTAGGGTTTAGGGTTTAGGGTTTAGGGTTTAGGGTTTAGGGTTTAGGGTTTAGGGTTTAGGGTTTAGGGTTGAGGGTTGAGGGTTGAGGGGTTGAGGGGTTGAGGGGTTTAGGGGTTTAGGGGTTTAGGGTTTAGTGTGTAGGGTTTAGTGTTTGGGGTGTGTGGCGCCTGCTTCTCTCCAAAGAGCTCCCGGAGCTTCCCCAACGAAACGTCCCGCAGGTCGCCCACGCTCTCCACTCCTGGCAGTTTTCGACTGCTGTCTAAACCCTGTAAACCCTAATCCCTAAACTTTAGGCCCTAAACCCTAAACCCTAAACCCTGAACCCTGAACCCTGAACCCTGAACCCTGAACCCTGAACCCTGAACCCCAGCAAACCAACCCAAGGTACCCCAATACTCCCTACTCCCTCAGGCTCCTAGAAGAGTATGCTTCCCCAAAAGTGCCCATTTGTAGTACTATTCCGGAACTATAGGTACCCAAATACAATACTATATAGGGGTTTGGGGTACCTAATTCGATAATCATTGGTACTACAAAAATGGACCCTCTGGAAGAGAAAGAGGGAGAGAGAGAGATGTCTATGTCAATGTAGAGTCTGTCGATGAGCCTTCCAACTTCGAGCCTACATACAACCGTGGTCCCGCTGCTCGGGTTACGGTACGTACCGGCAGGGCCCGACATATGGCCCCACATTCCCCCCCCCCCCCCCCCCCCCATATGCTCCGTACTTGTCAAAAGGAGGCCAACTTTCCCAAGCCACCCCCCACCAAACTAAATCCTAAACCCTAAAACCCTAAACCCTAAACCCTAAACCCTAAACCCTAAACCCTAAACCCTAAACCCTAAACCCCCCTCTCCAGATTTCCGGAGCTGCTTCTCGCTTTCCGGGCCCACGCCAGGCAGCTCCCTCGCCGCCAGAGCTGCCAGTCGCTCGGAGGTGTCCTCGCAGGGAGCTTAGGGCAGCTACGGCTTTGGGATGCGGGGACCCTAAACCCTAAACCCTAAACCCTAAACCCTAAACCCTAAACCCTAAACCCTAAACCCTAAACCCTAAACCCTATTGCGTGGTTCGCGAACAGCCTCCCGTCCTCCAAGAGAAAAATGCCTTGCCAGGGACCGACAGCGCTGCCACACCGCATGATCGCCCAGTGATCCCTTCCCCCTACAAACACTTTAAGGAAAATCCTGCCCAAACCGACCCCGCCTGTTAAACCCTATTCCGAATTAGGGCGGGTTCAGGGCTCCCAAAATCCGCAAGCCAACCAACATCCTGAAGCTCCCTTCCCTCCCTTCCCAGCCTAGACCCTAAGCCCTTTGGATCCCAAACATGACATTTGGATAAAAATCTCCCCCTGATAATAAAAACACATTTCGAGTTTCTATTGGGGGGGGGGGGGGGGGGGGTTTAAAATTAGGGGGAAGGGATTAGATATGTTCCCCCTTACGTATACTAAACATCCTTAAAAAGGATTGTAATAGGGGGTACTATAATCCCTATTAAGGGGAACATCCCAAAGTAGATATGTGTTCTACTCAAACTCCCGCTTTCTGACTCCTAGACCACTCCCACTCCTACAGCTTCCAGCTCCGACCATCACTAGGCTGCTTTGGACCACATACCTCTGAATGAAGTATCTGTCTAGAGGAGAGGGAGAGAGAGAGAGAGAGAGAGAGAGACAGACAGAGAGAGAGGCACAGAGAGACAGAGAGAGACGAGGAAGAGAGTGAGAGTGAGAGAGACAAAGTTCAAGACGATAAGCTGCTTCTGACCAGGCAGTAGACAAGTCAGGGACGCAGAAGGACAGGCAGAACGCACGGCGATCGTCCTTTTCCAATCGGCGGGAGACACTAGCCCGTGATCACGTCCTTTTTCCATTTCCTTCCACTTCTGAGCGGGCATGCTCTTCTCGCCTGCTGCAGCCCTAACAATTGCCATGAGAAAGCCGCTGCAGCATGTCAGATGATCGCCCAGGCTCCACAAGGCCGACGGGGTGTAGAGTCGCGAGCTTGTTCCGATGCTCGTTCAAACATGTCCCCGTGCGTCCGGCTCTCTGCCGCAACCTTCGCTCCCGATTCCGGCGTGCTTTTCTTTCCCGCCTCTCCTCGGCTGCGTCCACCGGGCCGAGGTGCTCGCAGGTGTGTTGAGCACCTTCCCGAAGGAGGGCCAGGCAGTCCGGGGGCTCGTAAGGGCATCGCAGGCTTCCCGGCACGAAGGCCTCGGCGTCGAGGTACAAGGCCTCTGCAAAGTAGACCTCTTCGACGCCGGCCGCGGCATCTGGGAGGAAGCGGGAGCAAGGCTCCTTACAGAAATCCTGCCAGGCAAGGGCGTTCCACGCCTCCTTGTGTGTTGCGAGAGGCTGGTCCTTAGCACCTGACGGATGCATGCTCTCCTTCTCCCGCACCTGTCTCCACTTCGTTCGATTCCAGCGATGCATGCTCAGCTCATCAAGCATGGGCATGAACTCCGTAGTAATAAGCTTAGACGGCTGCGGCTTCAGTTCAGGGAGCACTGTCTCACATGAAGACCCATTGCTCACCACAAACATGGGCACCAGGTGGTCGCCACGCTCCTGCACCGACGTATGCATCAGCTTGGGTAGAAAAGGCTCACCGATGTCCACGAACATGGGCATCAGCTTGTCATAAGTCCCCGCTTCCTGGGGCGCTGCGCCAGTTGAAGGCTCCCAGTCCTCCACAGACATGCCGATGGTTTCGTTCTTGAGCTGCAGCTTTGAATCTGCAACAGCAGCACCTGAAATTTGGCCTTCGCCATCTTGGCCCATGTTCATACCCCTTGCACAATGCCAACAGTGCTAGGGGGCCGATACCTTTCACATCCTGACACAGCCAAGCAGATCATTCCAGGATACAAACGCATGTAAAGCTCATGACCCCTCGCCAGCAAGTTTTCAAATCGGGAGCCCTACACTGTGAGCATGTGCAACTTAGTCATAACAGCCGTGCATCACGCCGAACAGTTGAACCTTAGACTGTCAAAGACTCTCCCCTACTATTTGCCTAAGAACGCGAAAAATTGAAGAAACTCTCGCCTTATTACGCTAGTGTTGGGGGTTCTTAAGCAAAAGTAGTCCCCCTCGTTGCCTGGGTGGTCCTCGCAGCATAGAAGCCCGCTTTCCCCACTCGCGCGGTTCTGTGCAGCTTTCCCGCACGTGGCGCATCCCGGGCGTGGTTTTGCAAACTTCGTCGCCAGCCTGGGATTATAGGGTTTAGGGTTTAGGGCTTCGGGTTTAGGGTTTAGGGTTCAGGCTTTAGGGGCTTGAAAGGGCACGATCCAACAAGTCAGGGTCCACATGTATTAAAAATTCGGGGTCAGGAACTGGGGCTCGTAACTCCTAAGCTTTAACCCTATACCCTGCAGGCTTTCTACGGAAGCGTGTCGGAAGCTCGGGGTACCGCTTCCTCACCCAAAGGGGCCATGTACCTCTACAGTATACACTTAGGCCCTAAAGGGGTTCCTATTTAGTAGCTTGAGGGCCCAAGTGGATACTACATGGGTACATGGACCCTTAACCCTAAACCCTAAACTCTAAACCCCAAAGCTACCCTAAACCTAAGCAAGCCGCGCGGCCTGGCAAGCAGCCGATTTTTGGCCACGCCGATCGAGGCAACGCATCCACTTCGACTCCTCAGCACGGTAGCTGTTATATAGTATGTGGGTCTCGATTTAAATGTAGGACACATAGAAATATACGATTATAAATATAAATAAATATATATATATATGAAAATGTTTCATACTTTATACATGCAGATATAGCTAACACATTTCATATACTCTAACAGGAGTCCCTTGAAAGCCATCCCAAGCACCTCTACAAGCCGATGCCGAAGCAAAAGCCCTGAATGGTGGACGTCCCCGGCCTTAGTTTAGGGTTTAGGGTTCAGGGTTTCGGGTTTAGGGTTTAATCAAGCGCCAAGGCCTCCACAACGACCCCCCCCCCCTCCCCACCCAAATAAGAAAACATATGCAAGACACCTGAACCCTACGACACTACTACAATCCCCAGAGTGCTGTAATCCTCTTTTGGGGTCTGCAGGCTTAGGGCTTTTACGGTCTATACGCACCCTAGACCCCTAAACCATAAAAACCTAACCATCAACTCTAACCCTAAACCCTAAACCCTAAACCCTAAACCCTAAACCCTAAACCCTAAACCCTAAACCCTAAACCCCAAAAAACGCTCCAAGCGCAGGCTCCAGATGTCAGCGCGGATCTTCCGCGCGAGAGCCAGCCATGAGCTTGAGTCCTGGTACACCGCCCTTAGAACCCGAACGAAGAAAGCAGGGTTTAGGGTTTAGGGTTTAGGGTTTAGGGTTTAGGGTAACTTGAATTCTTCCCTAGGGAAAGTCCTAAACCCTATAAATCCTATAAACCCTAAAGCCAAACACCCAAAACACCCAAACCCTAAAACAAACATAGAACTTGAAGTCCTCAAGGGACCATGGGCTTTCAGGTTTCCAGGAGCGGTTTAGGCGCCATCGGAATTTGGGATTTCGAGTGGCGTTTTTGCTTTTTCGGGTGTTGGTCTGTTTTGGGGGCTTGGGATGGGGCTTTCAGGGGAAAGGGGGTGTAGGGGGGCTTAGGGTTAGGGCGCTTGTCGACTCGAGGTTTTTGATGGATTTGGGGCTTCTACGGCATGTTGGTCGTCTCTGGTGGTCTGTAGGGTTTAGTGTCGAGGGTTGAGGCGTCCTCCTGTACCAGGTGCGTGACATCTGCAAACACCTCGTCGCACGAGATGCCTTTAGCCGCGGAGAGATTCAAGCCTTTGGTCTTTGTATTTGTCTTGCAATATAGCAGCCGTCACTTCAACATGCTTGAAAGGCAAGAAAAAGGTATTCTAACAGAGAACCTGAAAATCCTATAGACACACCCCTAAACCCTAAACCCAAAACCCTAAACCCTAAACCCTAAACCCTAAACGCCACCAGCTGCGGGCGTGCAATGGGACACCAAGAACTGACACACGCCAACCCCGGGCTCTTACTAGTGGAGGGGGACTTTACTTGCAGGCCCTAAACCCTAAACCCTAAACCCTAAACCCTAAACCCTAAACCCTAGACCCTAGACCCTAAACCCTAGACCCTAAACCCTAAACCCTAAACCCTAAACCCACCCTTGTACTTCTAAGCCCCCGAAGTCCCCTAAGTAAGCTATCAGTAGACTTCAAGATGTGGCGCGATTCTACCCACGAACCACCAAGTGTAGGATCCTGCAGAAGTCCCTTTTTTGCCCTAAACCCTAAACCCTAAACCCTAAACCCTAAACCCTAGACCCTAGACCCTAAACCCTAGACCCTAAACCCTAAACCCTAAACCCTAAACCCACCCTTGTACTTCTAAGCCCCCGAAGTCCCCTAAGTAAGCTATCAGTAGACTTCCAGATGTGGCGCGATTAAACCCACGAACCACCAAGTGTAGGATCCTGCAGAAGTCCCTTTTTTGCCCTAAACCCTAAACCCTAAACCCTAAACCCTAAACCCTAGACCCTAGACCCTAAACCCTAGACCCTAAACCCTAAACCCTAAACCCTAAACCCACCCTTGTACTTCTAAGCCCCCGAAGTCCCCTAAGTAAGCTATCAGTAGACTTCAAGATGTGGCGCGATTCTACCCACGAACCACCAAGTGTAGGATCCTGCAGAAGTCCCTTTTTTGCCCTAAACCCTAAACCCTAAACCCTAAACCCTACCCTAAACCCTAAACCCTAGACCCTAACCCTAAACCCTAAACCCTAAACCCACCCTTGTACTTCTAAGCCCCCGAAGTCCCCTAAGTAAGCTATCAGTAGACTTCAAGATGTGGCGCGATTCTACCCACGAACCACCAAGTGTAGGATCCTGCAGAAGTCCCTTTTTTGCCTAAACCCTAAACCCTAAACCCTAAACCCTAAACCCTAAACCCTAAACCCTAAACCCTAAACCCTAAACCCTAAACCCCCTAAACCCTAAACCCTAAACCCTAAACCCAACCCTAAGCCCTAAGCCCTAAACCCTAAACCCTAAACCCTAAACCCACACGGCCCGACGCCTTGCACGTAGGGAGTGGTGTCCAGCACGCTGCGGTAGAAGAGCTCGGCTGTCTCCATGATGGCATCGAACCTCAGGGTTTAGGGTTTAGGGTTTAGGGTGTAGCTGTTTCCGAGTAGCCTAAAAAGAGGGTGCCCCCCTGTTTATGTTGAAAGGGATTTACACCCCTTTGCGGGCAAAAAAAACATAATATATAAAAAAAGGAAGAAAGTTTAAGAAGGGTACACAAAAACCCAAAACCCTAAACCGAAAACCTAAACCTTAAACCCTAAGTACTGGGCATCCGAGAAGCTCATAGGGCATCACCACCAAGTCTGGGCACAATTGGAAGGCTTCTCCAGCCCACATCCCAGCACGAACACCTCGGCGTACTCAGGGGGAGTAAGGGGGGGTAATGGGGGGTTTAGGGTTTTTGGGTTTTAGGGTTTAGGGTGTAGGGTGTAGGGTTTAGTGTTCAGGCTTTAGGGTTTAGGGTTTAGGGTTTGGGGGGGAGTGGATCTCTGTAGAAAACCTGAAAAACATTCTGCAACCCGCCTGAGAACGCCATGTGTTCATTGCAGTAGCCGAAATACCAAAACCCACTCCCCTCTCCATGGACCTCTTGGGCGCAATCGGGTTCCTGTGTGGCGCGAGACCACAAAGGCTCATCTTATCGTCAGGCGCTGCACTGCCAAAAATGATCTTATGCTTAGGGCGTGTTCCGAACCCCTTTCAACGACCGACGGTCCAGACCGCCCCTACTAGCGGCCGACAGCGGTGGCAGCCAGCTCCGTCTTTTGCTGGCGGGGTTTGGGGTTTGGGGTTTGGGGTTTGGGGTTTGGGGTTTGGGGTTTGGGGTTTAGGGTTTAGGGTTTAGGGTTTAGGGTTTAGGGTTTAGGGTTTTTCCCTGCTGCCCACCCCCTGCCCAAGCCGGACGCCCCACCCAAAGGTCAAACAGCAGCTTTAGAACTAGGATGGTCCATAAAGCCCACCCTTCAAAACATGTCTTCCTAAATATGAGCCTGTTCAAGCCAATAAGGGAGAGATACAATCTCCAAAAGGGCCTACCTAGCTAAGTCCAGCAAAAATCCCTGCACAAAAAAAAGTTCAGAAAGTGTGCCCTCGGGTACCAGTGGAGGGTGTAAGCGTTTGAGGGCTCAGTCGGGGTAGATTTAAGGGTTCCCATCTAACGGTCTCGGGTTTAGTTTAGGGTTTGACCCTAAACCCTAAACCCTAAACCCTGAACCCTGAACCCGAAACCCTAACCCCAAACCCTAAACACTTAAGGTCTCAGTCAGCCCAGGCGCCGAAAGCCCGGGCACAGTAGTTCGCCGAGGAGATCTCGCTGCTGCTGCCGGTGCCCCATGCCACGGCCACAGGTAAACCTGGGGTAAACCCTAAACCCTAAAACCCTAAATCCTAAACCCTAAATCCTAAACCCTAAATCTTAAACCCTAATCCCTAAACCCTAGAGCCCCGAAGAAGGCTCGGTTGGCTTCCGGACCCCATCGGTGTTGTTGGGTTTACTGCAGGGTTTGGGGTTTGGGGTTTGGGGTTTGGGGTTTAGGGCTTAAAAGGGTTTCCTTTTTCATTCTTGACGTGGGTCCGGACTCCACAGGAGTTGCTTGGGTTTAGGGTTTAGGGCTGAGGGTTTAGGGCACCAAAGGGGTCTGCAGCTGTAGGCCCAGGCTGAGCCCGCGAAAGCGAAAGGACAACTCAGTGGCCGGCCCGCAAAGGTCTGCTGCCGGCCGCGGGTGGCGACACTGGCGAAGAAGCAGTCCATGTCGATATGTACAAACACCTCAGGTGATTTAGGCGGTGGTTTCCCCCAGAACATATCCAAATGGGCTATAATATGCCCCACTACACAACAAGAGTCTTTGGTATTTGTACTCGTCCCCCCACACCCCCCACCAGCCCCCAAGAAAAAGAAAAAAGGAGTACGCCCAAACCCTGACCCCCCAAACACGGTGCCCGAGTGTTTAAGAACCCCAAGCCCTAAACCCGAACCCCTGCCTGCCCCCAATGAAACCTGTAAGTAGCCGCCTCAGCATCTGCGAGGGCGCCACTTCTAGGGTCTCTTGGGCCCCAGAGTAAAAGGGAATAAAGGGGTTTGAGTAAAAGGGTTAGGGTTTAGGGGTGAGGTTTTAGGCTGTAGTCTCAGTCGCCCTGTAGGAACTTGCAAACTGAACATGCCTAGGGCACCGGTGATGTGCAATGGCTCTCAGTCTTTGATAGCGCTTGTGCAGCAAACCTGGAACTCCTAACTACTAAACGCTTCTGAAGCACTGCAACTTCAGCCCCTAACTTACAACAAAGCCCTGAAGCCCAAGTTTAGGGTTCAGGGTTTAGGGTTTAGGAAGCTTTCTAACCCTAACGCCCTCGGCGAGTAGCCGACTGCCCACTCGAGGCTGCCGGTAGCGGTGGCGGCGGCGGCAGGCTGTCGAGGATTTCCTTCCCAGCTTTTCTGGAGCAACATCATCGTCATCTCGGGTTTAGGGTTTAGGGTTTAAGGTTTAAGGTTCAGGGTTTAGCGTTTCTTTCAGGTTCGGGTGTAGGGTTTCCTCATAATCCTCATCCTCAGCAGCAGCATCAGTGGTCAGATTTGTTTTTCATTGACTCCATCATCTCGTCGTCGTCATCAGTTGGGTCATCATCAGAAGTAATTATACTCTTGTCGCTCCGAATTCTGTCGGTCTAATCATTACAACTGTTCTTCTTGAACGACAGGGTCAGCGACAAAAAACCGTCGATCACAATAGCAATACCCATGGTAACTGTAAAAAGTTATGGCGATGATGGTTCTTATTGACATTGCTATTGTCACTTCAAGAGGAGAGAAATACTGCTCCTGTGACAAATATGGTTATGGTCGTGATGATTACATCACTAATTACTGTTATTGCTTTATTGTTTTCTAACGCCGCTTCTTGTCTGGAGCAAGTGTCTCTGAGACTCAACTTGAGGCTAGGGTAACAGCTGAGCTGCTACCCTTTGCACCACACGTCGTCTTGCGATTGTGATCACCCAGGCGAGGACCTTGAACACTCTCATCCCCAAGTGCGGCCAAACCAGAATCCCCGAAACCTCAACCCTAAACCCTAAACCCTAAACCCTAAACCCTAAACCCTAAACCCTAAACCCTTTCGTTGACACAAAGCCCCGGGAACTTTGCGGGCAAAGCGACCTTGCACCGATGCTAGGGACTGCTCTACGCCATCTTTGCCATTCGCACTGCGGGAAGGTTATGGACTTAAAAGCCCTAACTCTAAACCCTAAACACTAAACCCTAAACACTAAACCCTAACCCTAAACCCTAAACCCTAATCCCTAAACCCTAAACCCTACACCCTAATTTAGGGGCCTAGTTGGCATGGACTGATGCTCCTCGTAGCGTTCGCGCCACACGCCGATGAAGTGAAGTCTGCTGGCCTGCGTACATGGTGACTCCGTTGCACGATAGGGTTTAGGGTTTAGGGTTTAGGGTTCAGGGTTTAGGGGTACTTGCAGGTGTGGGCCTTAGTTGGGAACAGTTATGTGCCCCCTAGAAACCCTACACAACTCATGGGCCCATACTTCGGAGCCCTTTACTTAGTAGCCCAGTAACCATATTTATAAGGGAACCAGAACCAAACAAAAGGGAGAAGGGTACCACTGGGCTACCAAGGACAAAGAAGGCCACAACATAGATGTTGTGCTCTGGTCACAGTCGTACGAATGACGCAACGCAGAGAATAGAATGTCGCCTTGGGGTGCTTCAGCTGGCAGCCCTAAACCCTAAACCCTAACCCTGATCCCTAAACCCTAAACCCTAAGCCCTAAGCCCTAAGCCCTAAGCCCTAAGCCCTAAGCCCTAAGCCCTAAGCCCTAAGCCCTAAGCCCTAAGCCCTAAACCTTAACCGCCTCAAACACCAATAGCCCGGTCGACTAGTTGAGTCTCCGGCTTCAATGGGCTCTGGCATACAAAGCCCTAAGCCCAAGGCACCCCTCAGGTGCTAGCTAGGTCAGCTTGCAGGATACCAGGCTTAGGGTTTAGGATTAAACCCTAAACCCTAAACCCGAAACCCTAAATCCTAAACCCCACAAACCCCAACTCGGGCTTCAGGGCTTGAGGTTCAGGTTCTTCCCCAACTAAACCCGTGTGCTGCTGAAATTGGGGGGGGGGGGGGGGGGGGGGGCGATGGCTCCAGCGGACAGTCTGTTGCCCCAAGGCCCCAAGTGGCCTTGAAGAATGTCTGGACCTGAGCCAGAATCCGAACCCTTGAACCTCACCCTAAACCTTAAACCCTAAAACCCTAAAACCCTAAAACCCTAGACCCTAAACCCTAGACCCTGCGGTTTGGGGTTTCGGCTTTGTGGGTGTAGGGTCTGGGTCCGGTTCAGGCTTCTAGGGCAACAACCCTAAGATCTACAAAGCCCTAAGCATCATTCTGGGTCTTCAGGGTTCAGGAGTTCTAGGGTAGGGTTTAGGGTTTTGGGGTTTCGGGGTTTTAGGGTCTTAGGGTTTGGGGTTGTATGGTTTTCGACTTGGTAGCCCAGTAACCGCATCAGAATTCGGTTACTTTATAAGGGAACCTTGAACCAAAAAAAGGGAAAAGGGTACCACTGGGCTACCAGGTAGAGCTGTGCCCGTGAGCCCCCTAAACCCTAAACCCTGAACCCTGAGCCCCCGACAAAGTTGGGATTGTCTCGCACCGTCCGCTGCCCATTCTGCAAAAGCGGCTCCTCATCGCGAGCCGGGTTTGGCTTCATCAGCCGGGTTTAGGGCTTAGGGTTTAGCGTTTTAGGGTTTTTGGGTTTAGGATTTAGGGTTTTTGGGGTTTAGGGTTTAGCGTTTTAGGGTTTTAGGGTTTAAGGTTTAGGGCTTTCCCAAACTACCCCCTCCGAGCACAATCCACCCGCACCGTCTACTCCTTTAAAGGCCCAGCCCCGAAACAACGAACTCCGAGATCCTAAAAACTCTCATTCCTCAACCCTAAACCCTAGCCCTAAACCCAAACCCTAAACCCTAGCCCCAAACCCTACACCAAAACCCGAAACCCCACATCCTAAACCCCAAGCCCGAAACCCCAAACCCCAAACCCCAAACCCCAAACCCCAAACCCTAAACCCTAAACCCTAAACCCTAAACCCTAAACCCTAGCCCTAAACCCTAAACCCTAAGCCCCCTTAAGCCCTCAACCCCTTCTCGCCGCTCCTTTGCTCGAAGCCCTTCGGCAACCTCCTTGGCCGCCCGAAGTCTGGCTTGGTAGGCCTCGGGTCTTGAAAGGTCTGGTTGGGGTTTAGGGTTTAGGGTTTAGGGTTTAGGGTTTAGGGTTTAGGGTTTAGGGTTTAGGGTTTAGGGTGTAGGGTGTAGGGTGTAGGGTGTAGGGTTTAGGGTTTAGGGTTTAGGGTTTAGGGTTTAGGGTTTAGGGCTTATGTTTTTGGTTTCGGGTTGAGCGTGTGGGGCTGTTGAGGCTGTCACCATGCGATCGACACCGATATTCATACCATGGTAGAGTTCAGCTGGCACCTAGGCAACCGAATTTCGTTTTCGTTGTCGAAAATTACTGGGTAACAAAATACATACGCCGCGCATATGTGCAGCTGGTACTGCACTCGCTGCATTCACTTTGTTGCTGTCACGTAATTCAAAGTAGACGGAATTGTTGCAACACAGTTCCTTGCAAAGACCAGAAAACCCGTGCAGCGCGACGTTTTCTGTCGCTGTTGAACACCATAAACCCTAAACCCTCAACCCTGAGCCTGAACCCTAAACCCTCAACCCTCAACCCCAGCCCCAAACCCTAAACCCTAAACCCCGAAAAACACCTCACATGGCCCTCTAAGGAAGGTCTTAGGAAGCCTTCCAAGGGTGTGTGGGCGCAAGAGAAGAAACTTTTGGCTCAACCGTCTTTCTCAGGCTGGTTCTTAGGAGGGGACTGAGGGCATGAGGTACCCCATTTAATCCCTTAAAGGGTATATATAGGGTACCTCATTCCCTCATTCCCTTCAAGAGCACCCATGACTGAGAACAAGGTCACGTCCAGGTAAGGATTTTCACATGCCTTGGGAATGGGAGTTGCTCTCTACATTAAGCTCTTGGGGCCCCTATACAGTACAGCACCTAAACCCTAAACCCTCAACCCTAAACCCTAAACCCTAAACCCTCAACCCTAAACCCTAAACCCTAAACCCTAAATCCCTGAGAAGGCTCCAGAGAAGTTGGGGGCTCCTCGAGCTGCGGCTCCTCCAGCTGCACGTCGAGGCAAAGCCTACAGTAGTGATCGTCAGGCTTCGTTTAGGGTTTAGGGTTAGGGTTTAGGGTTTAGGGTTTAGGGTTTAGGGTTTAGAGTTTAGGGTTTGGGGTTTGGGGTTTAGGGTTTAGGGTTTAGGGTTTAGGGGATCCTTCAGGATCCTTATGCTTCGAGAAGTGAGGGCTGTTAGGGCTTTGGGGCTGTTCAGGGCTTTGCCAGTGCCGGGCAGTTGTTTCGGGCTTTGGATGCGAAGGGCCACAGGGCAGCAGGGGATGATGTCGGTGATTCATTTTTCAGGGAACTAATACTGAGGGTTCCTCGAACCGCTTAGGACACAAGATTTAGGTCTGTGGGAGTAAGGTCCCCAATTTTGGGGGCACCCTAAACCCTAAACCCTAAACCCTAAACCCTAAACCCTAAACCCTAAACCCTAAACCCTAAACCCTCCGTTTCCCGCCTCTTGTGCAAGCAAGTTGCTCCTCCTCGCCAGCAGCCATGGAAGAGGGCTGCAGAGCTGAAGGGGGTTTCGGAGAGTGGGAGCCGGCCTCCAAGAAGAGTTGGTTTAGGGTTTAGGGTTTAGGGTTTAGGGTTTAGGGTTTAGGGCTTCGGGCTTAGGGTTTAGGGTTTAGGGCTCCCGTAAGATGATCTCTGAAGCAACCCTCCCGTCCAAACCTCAACTACACTTTGCCCTCAACCCTCTCCTTTGCACCGAAGAGTGTTAAACCAGGAATGAAAAAGGGGGGCCCTTTTGGCTCAAAGGGCCTTAGAAGGGAACCTCATACCCTAAATAAAGGGAACCTCATACCCTAAATAAAGGGAACCTAATACCGCCCACTTCTCCCCGCCCTAGTTTACCTAAATCGCTCCCGGCGATGAGAGTTCGGGCTCTTCCAGGGTCGGCTACGGGGCTCTGAAGAAGACCCTAAACCCTAAACTCTAAAACCCTAAACCCTAAACCCTAAACCCCAAAACCCAAACCCTAAACCTGCCTGAGGCTCCTCGCATGGTCGCGTAGGGCTCGCCTGCGCCGGCTGGGGCCTGGGCATCGCTAGATCAGCTTAGGGCTTTCGGGGCTTATAAGGGTTTAGGCTTTAGGGTTTAGGGAACTAGGGGCTTAGGGGAGGGGCTTCGGGGTTTAGGGGTTTAGTGGGTAGGGGTTTAGAGTTTATGGGGTCTAGGGTCGTAGGGACGTAGGGTTTAGGGGTTTAGGCGTTTAGGAATCTGAGGGTTTCGGCGTTTCGGGTCCCGTCTAGGAGCTGTGTCGGGGTTTAGGGTTTTAGTGTTCCGGGCTTCATGGTTTCCTTGGGAGGCTAACGGGCTCATCACCGCAAAAAGAACTTCAGACTCTGTTAAGGAAACATGAAAAGCCTGCAATCCCACACAGCTACCCTAAACCCTAAACCCGAAACCCTAAACCCTAGCGAGAGAACATGCGTCAGCTGAGGGCCTTACCCCTCGCCGTCCCGATCGCTGTGCTGGCTGTCCTCCTGATCCTTAGTGGAGCGATCCTGTGTAGGGCTTACCGTACAGTGGAACTTTTCTTGTGAGCTTAATGGAACTTTCCTTGCGTGTTTTTTGCATCAAAAGCATGGAGAGCCCAGGGGTAGATCATGGGTTTTGGGGTCTTTTGGGGTAGGGTTTAGGGTGTAGGGTGTAGGGTGTAGGGTGTAGGGTTTAGGGTTTAGGGTTAGGGTTTAGGGCTTAGGGTTTAGGGTTTAGGGTGTCAACGCACTGAAACGTTGCAGCAAGGACACTGCGACCGTGCTGGCCACACTCTCCGCATCGCTATCGACCTGGGGCCGACCATGCTCCGAGCTTCCCCCAGAAGGTCCATTTGTAGCACTGTTGTGGAATTAAGTGCTTTTTTTGTTGGGGGGGGGTACCCAATTTCATAGTAGTACTACAAATAGATCCTCCGACCTTTCGCTGATCCATCAAGCGTGCCAAGTGCAAGGCATCACGCGCGCGCTCCCTTAGCCATTGGCATGCCACACCGATCGGGTGATCAAGTCTCAAGTCTACGGGCAATCTGTGGCACCCCAAGGTATGCTGGACCCGGGAGTAACCTAGGAATAAAAAGGGTACCCTTTTTGGTTTTAACAGGACTACAAGGGAAACAAGCAAAAAAGGGCCTACCCCCGGTCCTGAAGCCCATCAGGAGTCCCAGAAGGGGCACCCCTAGACCGAGGCGGCCGCAAGGAAGACCGGGGCAGCACCAAACCAGTCCATGAACAAGCGCGGCGGGCATAGATTATAAGCAGCCCTGAAGCTTCGTTGATGCTGGGATTCTGGGAGTTTTTCCTGCTGCTAGGCAGGGAAGTAAGGGAATGAGGAGTTCAGGGATGAGGCTTGGTGTCAAAATATGCGGGGGAGTTCTGAAAGGTACCGAACTCGCTGACTTCCCCCATGAAAAACCGGGGAGGTGAGGAGCTGGGGGCTGCAGGTCTCGAGAATCGCTGGGCTCAGCTTCATGTCCTGCATCTTTCACGGAGAACAGGTTAGTCTCGTCATCATACAGATCATTAGGGTTTAGGGTTTATAAGGGTTTAGGGTTAGAATCCAACCCTAAATTCGAAAGGGATGTCGAAAGGCCTGCAGGGACGGCTGAGATGCAGCAAGGCATGTTCAACTGCTGGCGCTCCCCCCCCCCCACCCCCCGACCTCCCCCCCCCCCCACCCCCCGACCTCCCCCCCCCCCCTCCTGGGAACTGCGTTCAACCAACCTTGTTGTCCTAAACCCTAAACCCTGAACCCTGAACCCTAAACCCTAAACCCTAAACCCTAAACCTGACAGGGCCGAGGGCCGATTTACAGGTTTGGGGCCTTCACTTGTAGCATTTGCTCAGAAGCCCCAGGGCATACCCCGAGAAGGGAGCCTTACTCTTTCGGCCGCATGCAACCCCCCAATATGCAGAGCAAACAAACAGACGTTCAGTACTATAAAGACATATCTATAGCAAAAACTACCATACACTTATTTCTATAGAGAGTCTCGACAGTACACATATGTACATATATACATGTTTTGGTTATTGCAAATGCTCTGTGTCAGGTACCCACTCAAAGCCCAGCTCCATTTTGGTCCCTCCTTCGTCCCCAGAACGTGCCGAGCCCTAAGCCCAAAACCCCAGAGCACACCCTATACAGCCTACAGGGAGCTGCCACTACTTGAGATGTAGGCTGTGAGCACAGATTGCGCGGATCAAGCCAAACCCAAACAAAACATGTAGAGTTAGGGGGTCCATAGCATAGGGATCCTAAATCCCAAACCCTAAGCACTCCTTCCCCCCCCCCCCCCCCCGAAAGAAACACACACACACACACACACACACAGGAATCGTTAGCACTACATGGGAAAACATCGTAAAGCCGCAACCCTTGGACTTGCGAGCTCTTGAGCTAATTCTCGAGTTTAGGGTTTAGGGCTTTGGGTTAGGGTTTACGGCTAGGGTTCGGGTTTAGGGCTTATAGGGTTTAGGGTTTAAGGTTTAGGATTTAGGGTTTAGGGTTTAGGCCACACAGCGAACTAAGTAGGAGGAGCACTGAAGCTGCGGTAAGCCCGCAATCGTGGAGTGGAAGCCGATGGACTGGACAGAAGAAGGGCTTACAGGGGTTTGCTAGTTGCACATTTACATATTTATTTGTATACATACGTATACATATATATATATATGGTGTGCGTGTATAGTGCATATTTTGTGCAGGGGGACTGAAAAGACTAGAGCCTCCACTGTCCAACGCGGCTTGGGGGTTGTGATTCCGGGCTTTTGGGGTTTACATGTCATGTGGCCCTCCCCGAACCTCTCAGACCTAACCCAAACCTCGAGGACACAAATTTCGGAAGACTTGACCACCCCCGAACGCCCCCCCCCCCCCCAAACAAAAAAAAAAAAAACAAGCCCTAAACCCGAGAAGCTCTTGAACCCGCAACCCCAAAACCTGAACCCTTGAACTCTATAAACCCTCTCTCAAGAAGCTTCGCTGTGTAAGCTGCAGGGCCTCATAAAATTTCTCCACCGACGCCGCCAGCATAGGCTGGTCCACCTGGTCGGTGTCGGACAGTCAGAGGGGCCGAATGAGTTCATACGATCGTCATATGAGGACTGTGCTGCGTAATACCAAAATTCAGAGGGGCTGGCAATTGAAGAAGCATAATTAAGGGGGCCAGGCATAATATTTGGATACCATACTCATATAAAGAAAGTCTATTGGTAGTACCCCATAAACCCCAAAACCCTAAACCCAATTGCAGAGGCTACTGTAAGGAGTGCGGGGCCTCGCCAACTCAAAGAGATGCAGTCAAGAATTGAGACTTTCAGACCCCTAGGATACTTGGATACCGGAAATCTCCCGAAGGGTTTAGGGTTTAGGGGCTAGGATAAGGGCCTACTCTGGGTCCTAGTTCCTGATGCTACCCCTAAGCCCTAATACCCAAAACCCGAAACCCAACCCTACCACCGACTTAGGAGGGAGGCCCACTCATACATGCGCAGTTTTTCCCACAAAGTTTCTGGACCCAGAACCTGACAGGAAGCAGCTGACGAGACAAACGCGCCAAGAAGCCCGAGCCCGGGATGCAAGGCGGTAACATGTGGGCATTTCCCACAACAGGGGTGCCCCTTTTCTACCCCAAATAGAACGTTAAAGGGACTCCCCAAAGGGTGCCCCCTTACTTTCCCATATCTCGGTCTAAAGACCGCATGAGTAAATCGTCGGTTCGTCAAATCACATACTTGTGTACTTTCACCCCGCACGCTCTGTGGTTCGCTGGCATTGCATACGTATGCTTGTGGCTCTGGAATCTGTCGTTGCTGTTCACACGTCATCCATACATAGCCCTAAACCCTAAACCCTAAACCATACATAATATGTGTCCTATATTTTTAAGTTTAGCAGGGAGAAAATGGTTCAGAGAGAAATGGTTCCGGTCGCCCTGCACCTATGTAGTTTAGGTGCCTATAAAACTCACGGTTGATGTTAGAGTTGTGATTCTAGTATCAAGAAGTCTCCTGCGCAGCCACAATCAGATACGGAGAACTATACAATAATCTATTCGCATTATGATTTGGGGGACCATAAGCGGATTGCACTGGTAACCATCAAGGCTCTCGAAACTAGGGTTTAGGGTTTAGGGTTTAGGGGTTTAGGCGGCCTCGAAAATTGCGCGCTCGCCGGGCTTCATCGTCCGGGCTGCAAGATCGAATCCCTGGCAAGCCGGTTGAGGGTTTGGGGTCTTCGGGCTTTGGCCCTAAACCCTAAACCCTAAACCCTAAACCCTAAACCCTAAACCCTAAACCCTAAAGGGCCTTAGTCGAGTTTTGGGGTGGTGCAGCACATCCACACGACGCTCGCGGGGAGCTAAGACATGTAGGGTTTAGGGTTTAGGGTTTAGGGATCAGAGCTTGCCTTGTACATCCCGGGGTCTCCCAAATACCATCTCACAGGCCGCTTCTTGACCTCGGCGGGCGGGGTTTTTTGTCAAGGAGCATAAGTTAAG